TGCTTTTTACTGTTGGTAGCAGGCCGATTGTTGAGGGACGGATAACTAACCCTCATGCAAGCCCCATTCCACCTGAACCATCCTTTTTAAGTATGATGCAGTATTCACCCACAAATCGTACTGCACGTGAGGTAATGTCCTCCTCTTTCTCTTTGCAGGTGGCGTTAATAGAGGAGTTGGTCGTCGGCTACGAAACCACATTAAAAAACTGTAGAATGTTCAACGAGAATGGTGAGACGAAAAGGCACCTTGTCAATGAACTTGAAGTCTTTCTATACAAAGAAAAAAACACCCGGTCTCTGAACCTGCGGACATGAACTTACACAATCTCTGTCACAGATGACGGTAAGGAGGAGCCGCCCACCACGTTGCTCTGGGTGCAGTACTTCCTGGCGCAGCACTACGACATCATTGACCAACAGACACTGGCTCTAGAATACATCAACGCCGCCATTGACAGCACGCCAACGCTCATCGAACTCTTCCTTATCAAAGCTAAGATCTACAAGGTAGCGCACTCCACCGATTCGCACACATGTTACTAGTTTAACTGAGATGCTTGGTGCCGTTTGTCTTGATCGTTGTGTCAACGTCGCCCGCAGCACGCTGGGAACATCAAAGAGGCCGCTCAGTGGATGGATGAGGCCCAGGCTCTGGACACAGCCGACCGCTTCATCAACTCCAAGTGTGCCAAGTACATGCTGAAGGCTGGCATGGTCAAAGAGGCAGAGGAAATGTGCTCCAAGTTCACCCGGGTGAGAGAAACTGACAGCGGAGGAATGTTTGAGTTCATGGTTGTGTTTTCTTTTAAGTCAGTTTGCAGTTGTGTGTGTGTGTGTGTGTGTGTGTGTGTGTGTGTGTGTGTGTAAACAGAAATGACATGGGTCGCCCCCCCTATAAAATGGCAGTTGAAACACTGACGACGGGCAAACTGACAGTTTACGACAACGTTTTTCGTAGAAAAGTGTTTCCAGCATGTCACATCCCCGTTGTGTAATTTACTTTGTTCATGTCTTTTGCGCTTTTATTTTTTCAAGGAGGGAGCATCGGCAGTGGAGAACCTAAACGAGATGCAGTGCATGTGGTTCCAGACGGAGTGTGCACTCGCCTACAAGTCCATGAACAAATTCGGGGAGGCCCTCAAGAAGTGCCACGAGATTGAAAGGGTGAGCCCTTACTATCAGGGATCGTTGTTGTGTGTTCTTGCACAAAATGTCTGCGAGCTCCTCAGATTAAACCTATTTTAATTTTACATCTTCCTTTCCTTCCTCTTTCGTTAGCATTTTGTCGAGATCACAGACGACCAGTTTGATTTCCACACCTACTGCATGAGAAAGATGACGCTACGCTCCTACGTGGACCTGCTGAAGCTGGAGGACGTCCTCCGGATGCATCCGTTCTACTACAAGGCTGCCGTCAGCGCCATCCAGATCTACCTGAGCCTCCACGACAATCCCCTGACTGACGACAGCAAGGAGATGCAGGCTGAAACTGGTGAGGGCACTGTGGAGTTTTCAACAGCCATAAGATGTTGTTTTTGACCAATAGAATAGGACATTGGTACATTTTGTCCATCATTAACGTCATGACGCTTTTCTGCAGCCAACCTCTCGGACAAAGAGCTGAAGAAGCTGAGGAACAAGCAGCGCAGGGCCCAGAAGAAGGCCCAGCTGGAGGAGGAGAAGAAAAACGCAGAGAAAGAGAAGCAGCTTAAGAACCAGAAGAAGAAGAAGGAGGATGACGACGAGGAGATCGGGGGACCCAAAGAGGAATTGGTACCCGACAAGCTGGTCAAGGTGAGAGGAAAAGAACAACCAATAAAACGTTGTCGTCAGTGACCAGGCAATAGACTAACAGGTACACATAAGTGATGAGTTGAACTGATTTGTTGTCCCTCTCTGTCAATTCCTGTTAACAGGTAGAAAATCCACTGGAAGAAGCTGTCAAGTTCTTGATCCCTCTCAAACACCTGGTCAAGGACAAAATAGACACCCACCTACTAGCCTTTGAGATCTACTTCAGGAAAGGTAGACAGGCACATTGGAACGATACTTTACTAACCTTTTGGTTCATACTTTGTTCATACTTTTAACTTTCATGTTCAGCTTCAATCAGATTTACAATCCATTTTCTCTTTCAGAAAAATACCTGTTGATGCTCCAGTCGGTGAAGAGGGCGCTGGCCATCGAGCCGGACCATCCATGGTTACACCAGTGTCTAGTACGCTTCTTCAAAGGAGGTACGAGCGAGAGTTCTTCATTAATGCCACAGCTGTAGAATCAGCACACGTATCTGGTTTCACTTAAATATTCCTTATTTGTTCCTTTTATACATACATCTTTGTAGCTACTAACTAACCGTAACCTCTTAACCGCCTTTTTTCTCCCTACTTAATTTTTTTTCTACATTCCTCCCACAATTGCTTCTTCAACTTCGGCCTCTGCTTTCTTCCAGTCACTGAGAGCACCCAGCTGCCGGAGGTGGTCCGGATGGTGCTGAAGCAGGAGATCACCCGGCTGTTCGGAGACAGCAACGCTATGAGCTTCAACCAGGCCTACCTCACCAAGCACTCCAAATCCATACCGCACCGACTGGCTGGTAAGCCTCTAGCATGAGAAATGTGATTAAATAACTGGTAAACAACATAGTGTGAGCGAGTGTTAGAAGCCGTGCACTTGTCCCATTTCGGCAAGGCTTTCTCAGTCAATCTCCTCCGTCACATTCCTCTGCGACGTGCAGATGCCGGGCTGCTCGAATTATAATCCCAATTGTTCTGGTCAATATTGAAATCAACCTCGCACCGTCCAGCGGGACATTCTCCCTGGAGGAAAATGTCTTCTGAAGATAAATTGTGTTTCAAGGCCGTTAAAGTGCCTTGCCAAAGGCACCTAAAAAAAGAATCCTGCTTCTCCAATTTCATGTTCCTCCTCTAGTTTTTAAGTGCTAAAAGCACTCATGGACCCTCTTCTCTCCCCTTTGGCAGCTGCTAAAATGATGGCGTATCTGGACTCCTCGACGGAAACCAACGCGGCAGAGCTGGCCACTTCACTAGACGTGTCACTCAACAACAGAACCATACAGGTAAGAAGTACTGGACATCAATGCTATTAAATACGTTGATACCACAGTGGAAATACTTTTCTAAATGTGCTCATTACGGTACAAAGGCAATTACTTATTAATATGGAGTGTAGTCCATATTTCCCCCCTCGCTCACTGTAGATTGTATAAAGCTTTGTTCAGGGATTATTTTTAATTAAGTGACTTTACCTAAAATGTGTTGGACGTAACATAGTGCGTCTTTCCTCGTCAGATCTGCACAGAGGTCCTGGAGTGTCTTCGGAGCGGCGTGCTGGGCGACTGTAAGGAGCGTGCGGAGTCGTACCGTGCAGAGTGTCGCAAGCTTTACCCTTACACGTTAGCCTTCATGCCTCCGGGATACGAGGAGAACACCAAAATCGCCAATGGAGAGGTTTCCACGGAAACTGAGGAGCTAGCCAATGAGATGTGAGCGCGTTGGAACAACAGCAAATGTGAGAAGGAATTGGGCCGAGCACGGAGCCTTGTGGTACGCCTGGCAGCCATTTTTGTAGAGCCAGACACAGGGAGTGGATGTTTCGTTCTTTGGCTCCGCTTAATCGGGTCTGTCCTGCCACGCCGGCTCGGCTCGGCTCGGCTCTCTCCCACATGGTGGAAATCAGGACTGTGTGTGTGCGTGCGTGTGTGTGTGTGTGTTTGTTGAGAGCATGTGCGCGGGTGTGTATATTTGTGGGAAAGAGGGGGAGTGGGGGAAGAGGAAGATAACTGAATGGCCATTTTACTTTTTTAATAAAGCCGACAACCAAGCTGAAAATTAAAATAAATAAACGATAGTTATTTGCAAACCGTCAGGGTTAACTGGGACTGACTGACACTGACTGCAGATGATGATGATCAACAACAACGACCACTCAAGTTTGACTCTGTGTTACTCTGACACGCGCCTAACGCACACTGCGTTCCCCCTTATTTTTAAAAGCTAATTTAAATGATAATGGGACACAACTGTCACCGGGAGCCTGAGCTGAGTGGATCTGATCTCTTACGGGTCTGTAGGAAGCTGAGCAGGAGGGGTTACTGAGGACCCAAAGTAGACACTGAGGACACTCAGCGACAGCAGGCATGTCTGTCTGCTGTGTCCACACGAGGCAGGGCGGGGGAGTGTCATCACTGCGGGCGCACAACGAGAAGAACGTTGCCTCACACACGAACATTTGGTTTGTTTCTTCCCTCACAGTTCCTGGTTAAACGTTGGAATATGTTCTCCTTTTGTCTGTTAACATGAAGCACCTTGTAGCACAGATTAAAACTGTAAAGGTTGTGCGATGTGTGCCATTTGCAGTAAAGTGATTCTCTAACATTTCTACATCATTCTGAGAGTTGTAAAGATCTAAGCAATGCCATCGACCCCTTGCTGTCCACGGCGGATTAGTGAAACTCTTACTGATAATCATTTCTAGATCTGGTTCTCTTGGCAGTCACTCGTGTTGTTGCTGTTGTCACTTGTTAGAAATGGTTTTATCTGCATGTGCACAGGGACTCTTAACAGTCTGAAGTAGGATGAACTCTTCTCTGCTAATTAAAATGACCCCTCAAAAGGCCAGAGTTTATTATCCAAGCCCGTTTCCCGTAGTGACGGAAGGAAAAAGGTTGCACGGCTAGAACACTTATGACCATCTGAAATGTCTTAGATTTTCTATTCCGCTCCTCCCCCTCTGTCCCCCAATTATCTATTTTCTTCCCCGTTTTCCTCCAATTTGGGTTGTAATGTGAAAGATGAAATCTGAGATGGCGATGTATGAAATCTCTGGATTTTTGTATTAAAACCAAATGAAAGAAGAAAGAAGAAGATTACTTCTCATCTGTGCGTGTGGCCACTGTTTAACTCGCTGAGCCGGACTCCGTATTGTGGTCCTCAGCCACTGTATGTAAACTAAATATGGATATGGAGTCATCAGATATAGAGGAATAAAATCCAAGCTGCAGTTGGCTTGCGTCAAACAATACAGATTTCTGTAATTACGTTTCCACTATTTTTAATATTGAAAAATATATATAAATTAAGGTAAATATCACTGTAAAGGGAATTTACCAGTAGCCGTCGCCTGAGTGGATGAGTGAGCTTCCACATGACTGATTAAAGTCATTTGATTTGTTAGGTAACCACTTACGTATGTGACACATTTTCACAATCAATTTGTTAAAGGTCAGAGGGCAAAGACAAGGTGAGACAATAAACTAAAAGATTAAATAATATGTGGTTATATGCATCCGCACTAGTCGTTACAGACTAGTGGTCGTGTTATTGGTGTGTTTAATATAACTATTACAACTTTTTCTATAAAAAAGTACAGTTTCAATTTTAATTTCTTAAATTGTTTGCAGGCTAAACGTGTAACGTGTGGCATTATTTTAAAAGAAACATCTCCAAGTCTACGTGTATGAAACTATTTGTGATTGAATGAGATTCCAGTTTATTTCTCATGCATAAGTGGACTAACACTGCATTGTAATGTTACATTATTATATCCCTTTCTCTGATGATGGCAGACAGGTCCATCAATAAATAAAGTCCGATGTTTTTTTTACAAATTAAAAGGTAGAACATTTCCAAAAAGCTGCAGCTCGTCATTTGACCAGCTCCCCGCCCTGAGACACCAATCATCACCATGCTGTCAAAAGCAGCGTCAGGGACGTCCTCTCCTCCTCCTCCTCGGATCAGCGCTGTGAGGAGTTCTCCAGGAGGACGTGTGCGTGTTACACACACACAAATAAACCCGTTTTTTGTGGACTCAACCCTGCGTCTTTATTGGACGCTGTCTCTCTCTCTTGGAGATCTCCTTGGACGCGCTTTCTCTGCGCTTTGGTCTCCTCGTGAACTCGCCGTGCGCGACGGGGCCCAACAATGGAGTCATCTCTCGAGTTTTCCAGCTCCGTGGGCAGCGTGTCCTCCCTGATGAGTCGCTGTCGGACCTTCAAGGTGCTCGTGATCGGAGACTCGGCGGTGGGGAAGACCTGCCTCACGCACCGGCTGTGCGCCGGAGAGTTCCCCAGCCGAGCGGAGGCCACCATCGGGGTGGACTTCCGCGAAAGACAGCTGGACATCCACGGAGAGAAAATTAAGGTGAGCGTGGCATCGCGTGCGCATCAATTGAACCAAAATAAATGAAAGTGCGGACACGTTCAGCGGGCTTAACGCGTGAGGGAATGTGCCAAACTCACTCTTTGTCTTTACGCACGGCGGTAGCGATCGGACGCGTGGTTTGATTAAGTCAAGTCCTCCACGTCGTGTTGGTTCTTTTTCGGGTGAATCCCGTGTCATTTACACAATGGGGCCACCTCCTGTTGCTTAATCAACCTGGACAAACAAAACGGAGCCCTCCGGGGACATACTCGTTTTCTCATTTTCCTCCATTTTGCACTCGTTCGTGCTTTTTTCCGGTGACTTATGTTGTTACTGCCCGTTTTTATGGTCCCTTAGTGATCTCTCTTACTCCTGTGAGTTATTTGCTGCAGGCTGAATTCCCTGGTTGGAATCAAACCAGCAGGCCCGCTTGCCTGTGAGTCTCTGCACGTTGCATGATTCACTCTGGTATTTAACTTTTTTTCTTCTCTTTTTTTAAATTAAAGTCCAAATTCAGATCAGATGTTTGCCCTCCAAGTTCTGACGTGTTCGTTTTAAACCCCGTTGTCGGGACATGTGAGGGACTCGCAAGTTTATGCGATGATCTCAAATCTGTGGGTGTTCGTGGGTTCGTGCTGTTTCCTCAGGGTTTTGAAACCACCACATAGAGGAAGTGCTCGTCAGAGGGGACTGTGGATTTGTTTGTAGGGTGGAGAAGGTCTTTAGCTCTGCTCCTAGTGCAGACAACTTTATAGAATTCTGTTCAAAATAAATCTGCAGTTAAAGGTGCATTATGTAAAATCTGACCACATCCTCCAAACCAATAGGAGGCAGCATTTCCCCTCGATCACAGTCGGAACTGGGGGGATTGTTCACTTTGCGCCATGTTTTTCACATTGCCTCGTAGGTTTAATTTTTATAGTGCTTTTTTTTTTTTTTTTTTTGCTATGCAATGTAACTTGAGCAGTTTTATAGGACTTCCATGATATCATATTCACTTTAAAAGAAAAAGTTTCATGTCAATAAAATCAATACTCGAGTCCCGCAGGGCCATTCGAAGTCAGATCACAAGTCCTCAGAAGATAATTCTAACTGTTTACACGTCCTCTGTCTCACAAGTGCTGATGAATGATTCACCATCTCAAGAGTTTTCGTCTCATGTTGTACAAAGTCCTTTTTAATTATCATTGTCAAAAACATCAAGTGCCCTTTAAGTATTTTATAAGATGTTAAGAGAAGAGAGCTTTGATGTTCACGTTAACTTGTTTTTTCAGTGTTTTAAATTAGTTTCCCCCCACAATGACGCTTCACCTAATGTGTGTGTGTCAGCATGATTCAGACTATTTCAACACGTGATTTATTTTCCTTTCCTTTGCTTCCCTTTCATTATTTCCTCTGTCTCGTGTTTTTTTTTTTTTTTTCTGTCTCTGCCACCTCGTCATCATCACCAGCTCCAACTTTGGGACACGGCAGGACAGGAGCGTTTCCGTAAGTCCATGGTGCAGCACTACTATCGCAACGTGCACGCCGTGCTCTTCGTGTATGACGTCACCTGCCCCGCCAGCTTCAGCAGCCTGACCGCCTGGATAGAAGAGTGCAGGCAGCACTCCCTCGGCCAGGAAATCCCCAGGTGAAGGTCTTTCAGCAGGAGACTGCTGGGATGCACTAAGTAAATTTGTATGAAATACATTCTTAAAAATGAATGTTTTTAAAAAACAAGGTAAATAATGCCTTTCCTTATTAGATATCTGCTCATTGGCGTACGTCTCCAAAACAGAAAAGAGTAGTTTCCCCTTTTAAATTGTATCGAACCTCTCTGGTTAAGTCAACATCTGACAAACCATGGTTCTCTTTTTGTGCAACTCTTTGTATCATCGGCCTTCATTTGTCCCCTTGTGTTGCACAATCTGCTCCCAGGTTCCTGGTGGGTAACAAAAGTGACCTCCGTGACCCCAGCAGAACCGACGGCCAGGTGAGCCAGGAGCAGGCGAGGAGCTTCGCCAAAGCCCACGGCATGGTGTGTTTTGAAACGTCCGCCAAGAACCCGCCAGACAAATGCGCGAGCGCTCGACGAGGCGATGCGGAGCTTCTGCATCGGCAGGATATGGTGGAGGACATTGTTGTTGCTCTTGGTGCCAAACTGAAGAAGCAGAAGATACCTGGAGCAGCAAACGACTCGATGTACGGCTCCTTTAAAATCCTGAACAAGAAGAGGACGGAGAAAGCGGTGTGGACCTGCTGCTGAGAGACACAGGGAACCGCTGACCCTTTCAGATGGAACAATGTGACGTTTTTTTTAGCTCTTCTTAATGATCGTGTGTATGAATGTACGTGTCTATGTCAACAAGATAATTAGCATTGTGTGCATAATGATACTATTTGACCATAGACAACAATGCAGATCTTTTTTAAAATTTGAAATACAGTTGCTGTTACACCTACGCTGAGCTTTAATATTTATACTCTTAAATATGAGTATGTTCTTCTTGGAAATTCTATGTGTGTTTGTGATTTTCTTCTTTACAATTGCTGCCAAATAAAAGACTGTGAATGTAAACATTGTTTGGTAGAGGATGTGTATGCAGCTAACTTTAGCACCGAGGTGTTAACATAATCCTGGCCCTTGAGGGTCTCACCACGGGACTGCGTCCTGATCGACGAAGCATCACAGCGGTCAGACACCAGTCTTGTGCGTGAGCAGTGTGGCCATTGTGTATCACATGCGTTGTGATTGCATGTCCAATCGGTGATTCAGAAGTCGTCACATGATGAGGGGAAACCTCTTCTGCTCAATGGGCGAGCCAACGTGTGTGTGTGTGTGTGTGTGTGTGTCACAGTGGTGCAACATTCAACAGCCAACTGATGAGAAAACTTTAGACTTAAAAGGGACGGAAGTCGCTCTTTTTTTTCTTCTCTTCATTTGTCTAATTGGCTCTGCACAATCTTTAAATATCATTCAATTTAGCTGAAAAAGTGAACTAAAGAACTCAATCTTAATTCTCTATTTTGATGGTTTGTTGTGAACAACTACGTTAAAAAGAGTAAAGATTGCTCGCACAGCTTCAATTACTACGTGCGGGACTGCGTGTTGATGGAGCAAGTTTATATTTGGACATCTGCGAATAGTCCAACTCCTAACACGGTGATGTCAATTTAACTAGTCCAAGTCCAAGTGTATCTCAACTGGGCTGGAGCTGTACAACCGTTGCATGTTAAACTAAAGATAACCACACCTGAAAGGTGCTGTGACATAAATAACTGACTTCCCATTTACCCCTGTGATGAAAAGGGAACTTATTTTTCTGGGAAAGCATGTACTCTGCGCACGTAAAGGTTTGACCGTGTTCTGCATGTAGACTGGACCTGATGTGTTCGCCGCACGGTACACAAATATCAATGTTTTGGTAGAGCGAAGCGAGGACCCAGGACAGAACCTGGGGGGACTCCAGCGGGGGGAGATCGTCTCTGAGTTACCCGGTAAAGTGCGGATGTCGAGGTAGGGTGAGAGAAGGGAGGGAGCAGAGCCTGAGAGTTCCCGAAGGAACGAAACAAGGACCTGGTGGTTGACTGTGTCAAATGCAGCAGAAAAGGTGGAGTAGGATGAGAACAGAGGAGAGAGAGAGAGGAAACAGCAAGGAGGGCAGTCTCTGTCAAGTTGGTCTTCCTTAAAGCCTTACCGGTGAGGGTCAAGAAGACTGTTGTGGTGGAGATAGGAGGAGACCTGGTTGAAGATGGCTCGCTCTAGAGTTTTGGGAAGAGGGCAGGAAAGAGACAGGCCTGTTTCTGGGTGCTGGGTTTCTTCGGGAGAGGGTTGACTCTTGCCTCCTTCAGAGAGTTATGGAAACAGCCAATAGACTGTGTTGATAAGAAGGAAGAGAAAAGGAAGAAGGTCAGGACGGAGCAATAGACTGGAAAATGTGAGACGGGATGGAGTCAAGGGAGCAGGTGGTTGGATGGACAGAGGTTACCAAGGTGAGGACTTGGTTGGGTCAATAAATATTATGCATCCGGTGTCAAACAGTATCATAGTGTGGGTGGGCGTAAACATATTTAATGTTAGTGAAAGACAGTAACACATATTGTTTTATGCACATGGCGCAGGCGCACAACACCTCTGGAACAGCGCGCAACTCCAACTTGACGTCCTATTGACGAGGTTTCCACACGTCGCTTCTAAACCTGTTCCGCCAGGTCGCCAGCAGGGGGCGCGTTACTCTCCCTCGCAGGAGGGGTTGTCCTCTCTGCAATCAGCATCGGACAGCAGCCGAGCCGCTCTTCGTCTTTAAAAGCTGCTGGAAACACACGCACGCACTCACCTGCTGCTGATAACCGAGCTACGATGTTCTGCAGGCGGGCGTTCCAGAGAGTCGGGCCGCTGGCGCGGAGGGCGTTCAGGCCAACGTCCAGGAATGGTGAGCAGCCTAAAAGTTAAAGTTAGTGACTTCTGAGTGGAGTTCACGCGATTTCCCATCACATTTGAGCGAATTAGATTTAAAGTTCGCAGCCCGGTGCGTCTGGATTAAACATGCATCCGACTAATTGCCTCATTGCTTAATAATGATTTGTGTCGCAGGTTTTAAGCGCCGTTACACGCCCTTTTTTTTTTTTTTTTTCAGAGAAACATTTTTTGGTAGCATCGATTTGTTTTAAATGTTTCGGTTTTTATGCAGAATCTGTGCGTCAAAGGCTTTATTCTCACAGGTTTCCATTGCGCATAGCCGCACTAGGAGGTGTGTCCTGCTTTGGGAACACGCAGTTCTTGCACGTTAACTGTCTCACACGAACGTCAATAAAAAAACTCGTTTTCAAATAAAAGTTTTTATAAGCTTCAAAACATTTTAAATGGGAGTATTCAAGTTCCGATCTTTTGCAGAATTCGCTTCAGTTCATTTACGTGCGATTCTCCTTCGCGTCATGGTTAAAAGTTGTCCTGGGACACGTAACGAGAAGCTCGTATAAAACAAAAACTTGATGCTGATAACTAGTCACCCATTAAACCTGGAAAAAAATATTCCTTAAGTTTGTTTCTAACTCTTATTTGCATGTAAAGTGAATTTTGATCAGGGCCTTTCAGGAGGCTTTTGCCTGATCTTCCTGGACTCTGGTATCTGAGCGTGTGGAATTCAGCCTGAGGTCAAACTGCTGCATTGATTTCCTGTATGAACCTCTGAAGCAGACGAGACCTTTTTTCTTTTCTCTTTTTTTCTTTCTACAAAACCTCGGCCCTTATGATTTCCTCTTTATTCCGGGATAATTGCTTGTGTGCACCCCTCGTCGTCGCCTGGTTCTCCTGCAGGCCTTCCTGTGTACTGAGACATGTCGGCTGGCAGCAGGGTAGCATGTACCCAACATGACACGTGTGTCATCGCGACAGCCATTTTGTCTGTTGTTGCCTGACATTTTTTACAGGCTTGAACCTCACTGCAGGGATTAAACGATTACCTGTATAAATAACCTGTACTTGGCCTTGTGCCGGCATGGCGTCGCTGTGTCATGGTATTAAGAGGATCAATGCTTGAGGACACACTGCTACAGTGGCTCCAGATCAACAACAGGATCATGTCCAGCTCTTAAAGAAAACAAAACATTAATCAGTTTCTGCTTGGGGGGCGATCAATAAAAGCCCAAAACAAATGAGATAAAACATGCATGTCGGTGATATTTTGACCTAATCGGGCGAGGGTCATGCTAAAGCTGTATCTTCCGGTTTGTGTGCTAGAGACACGTAGAAGGATCGTGGGCTGTGGCGGCGTTTGGGACGAAGGCTGCTGCAGCCCGTCACAATGCCCACCAAATGATAACGCAAGCATTTGGCAGATCCTCCAACTCCTGCCACGTGTTGAGTGACTATCTAATGGGCTAATCTAAGATCTGGAAATGATTCTGTGCTTTGGGGATTTGATGCAAGCAAACAATTTAATTTGGCTGCTGTTAAATCTTTCCATTTCCTCTGCCATAACTTAGCAGGGCTCAACAGGCCCTGCGTGTAACCGGATTAAGGGATGGAGATGTTGACACGACCAGAATGCAACAGTCTCTGTGACCAGGATAAATTGTGATGGGAATTTCCTGAATAAAATTATGAAATGGTACTTGGTCAGTGTGATTTTAATCAATTGCTCACTTTGTAGCATGAAATCAAATGATTTATAATCAATTTCTGGTTGAATGTTTACAGGACTTTCTTGTTTTTTTTTAATTCATTGCATATAAACTTCATTTCTGAGGTTCCAGTTTCCAACCCAACGTTGTTCTTCTGCCCATGTGTCTCTCAGCAGCTCCAGTGCGACACATGGCCTTCGGGGTCCCTGGTGGCTCCTCCAACATGGCGTACATTGTCCTGTGTGGCGGAGGCGTCACTGCCGCAGTCGTCTATGTGAGTATCTGTTCGTCTGACCTGTATTGTGACCAGGTGGCAACCTTTTTAGAGCCTGATAAGCGTAGCAAAGGCTGAACTGCCTTTTAAATTGCATTCTGGATGCTGCAAAATGTGGTCCTTCTGCTGGGATTTCTTTCTGATTCTATTCTTTTTTTCCCAGTAAATTTAAACCGTAAAATCTAATCATGTAATTCTCAGAAACATGGTAGATTTACTCAAAATGAAAGTTATGCTGTACAGGCTGATTGTAGCAGTCGTCACAATGGAGCATCTAAAAACCGCTCTTTGTGCTTTCTACATACAGTCCACACACTGGCTATCGGGCCCCTGGCGACGCACAAGTGCATATCAGCTGTTTAATGTTAGCCAAATGTCAACGAAGGTGGACACTTTATTAATGTTATCATTTGTGTGCTGGAATGTAGTAAATGTGTATCTGCTCTTTTTCGCAGGCCTACAAGACGGTCGGCGGCAACGGTGAGCGCCATGAGGACCGACTCGCCACCATGGCCGTCATAGAAAAGGGTCAGCGAGTGACGCACACTCACAAAACGCACGCGCCAACTCCTGTGGTTACACTCCAAATTAGGAGTGACAGCGAGATCCTCCTTGTGGCAGTGGCAAGTGGGTGGCAACTTTGTGGCAGGCAGCGGCAATCGCCAGTAAATCAGTCGGCGTCACGACGGCACGCTGGGTGGGAGGAGCCAATTTTTCCCAGAAACAACTGTTATTTGTACGACAGGTCAGCTGCTGTAAATATTTAATTTTATTTAATTTTATTTAATTTTATTTGAGACACGTGAGCCCCCGTCTTCTTATTACAGAGGCTAATTTTAGGTTTGGACCGGCGGGTTCCGTGTAGGGGGTGGGGCTCTCAAGTTTGATGCCACCCACTTGCCACTGCCACAAGGAGGATCTCGGCCTTACTGCAAATTAGGCTACAGAATATTCATGCAGTTGCATCTACAGCAAATTGCTTCTTGCTTGCACGAAGCATTTACGGAATTGTACAAGAATGGAAGTAATTGTTAACCCCTGCATGCTCTCAAGGGCAACACAATCCTTCTGCTGTTAAGCAGCTGTGTTTAGTATGTTAACATTTTGTTGGCACTTAACGTACATTAGTACATTAGCTGGGCTGTTCTCCGTAATGACGGGCAAAAATAAATCAGACAATCGTGCTGCATTGCCTAGCCGGTTCTGGCTGCACCACCCAAATATCGACTACGGTGGAATGATCACACTCAATGGGTTTATCTTGCCTGTCTGTTCCGATTTCTGTCTGCGACTCGTTTGTCTATTCAGCCGGGATGTTGAGATCATGGCTGCGCGCCCAGAGCAGCTAACTAGCCTGTAATGGGATAAGCTGCGTCTGCATCTGGTTCAGTTGTGAGCATGCAGGCCGGAGGGGTTTTTGGTCAGGCGTGCAGAGCTGGAGAGTGAACTGCTCCTTTTTTTTTCTTTTTTTCTTTTTAAACCAACCAGAGATCACATTATGTAACACAGAAAACTCTACTTTTTTTTAATTAGCAAAATAATTGTTCTAAATGTGTTAAATACTTACTCGAAGATTTATATTAAAACTATAGATGGAGCTATCCTCTATTCAGCTGGGACTTTATTTGTTATTGCTGAAAGTCACTATAGATTTGCTGTAAAAGCAGGCGGTTGTAAGGAACTGCTTGAATGTAATGGCTTGCAGTTAGAAGCAAACATCTTTACTGAGGTTTGAAGTTATATTTCTGTTCTGAGGATGACATGTGGCAATTAAAGTTTCTTTCCCTTATCCAAAATTATGATTCACTTTTTTTAAACCGTAAGACACAAAAATTAAGCTTATAAGAGTAGTCATCATAGTCAGACTGCACTTATTTATCGCTGCTCTCCAACTTCTTGATCTGCAGCACCGGAAGTTGCCGCTCCTGCAGCTGAACCCGCCGCATTGGAGGAGGCAGCGCCGACCCCCGAGGTCCTGGCTGAGGTTGTTGAGGAGTCTGGCCCTGCTCCTGCCGAACCAGTAGCCGAGGCTGCTGCTGAACCCGACGTGCTTGCAGAGTCCATCCCTGCAGAACCAGTAGCAGAGACCGCTCCCGAACCTGCCGTCGAGGCGGTGTCTGAAGAAGAAGCTGCAGCCGAGGTGGTCGTTGCAGAGCCGGCACCGACAGAAGAAGCCGCTCCAGCTGCCGTGGAAGATGAGTCTGCTGCCACCGTGGAGGTTGCTGCCACCGAGGAGACGCCGGCAGAGGCCCCTGCAGCAGAAGCCCACTTGGCAGAAAGTGCTGGTATGGCAGTAGTAGATGGAGTCCCCCCTGCTCCCGCCGCTGAAGCAGAGAGCGGCTCTGCAGCCCCCGAGGCTGAGGCCGCACCTGCTGCAGTGGTGGCTGCATGAAGCTGTGATGGTGCCATAGATTCCCAGGAAGTAGGCCTCACTTAGTTGTGCTGTAGGCCCAAGAAAAAGGACTCCTGAAACCCTATTTTGATGAAAGTGAAATGATGAAAGTGGGTGATTCACTTCTGGGGGTTTTTCCAGTCCATTTTTTGGGCCCAACCTTCACACCCAGATCCACAACATTTAGCATTAAGCAGTCTGTTCAAATTCAGTTTCTATAGGAATTCTATAAATGGTGTAAAGCCACATTCCATTCTGGTGCTGTACAGTTGAAGAGCTGGTGACACAAGGGATGGAAGTAAGTTGACCGTTTTTGTTCGTTGTGCCTTTTTAAAAACGTGGCCGCCTCTATCTTTGCCTTTTTATGTCAGCGCGGTGAACGAATGTCGTTAGCCCAGTTTGATAAGTTGTTTGGCACTTGCACTTGTTTGCTGCTCAGCAAATGCTTACGCCCAGCAGTGCCATTAATCATTGCTTTGCTTCAGCAAGAAGCGAGAGATGGAACACAAAATTGTTTGACCAAAAACCAGTTGGCTCTTACTGTCTGCAGTTCTTGACTTGTTTTTTTTTTTTCTCCACATTGGAATTCACCAGCCATGTGGAAGACCTTTATTGTGTAAATCTTACTGCTGCTTTCTCTAATCTCACTCAACTCTATAGGCATTATATTCTATCATAATGCAGTTTTCAAAGAATAAAAAAAATCACTGGATGTGACTCAATATTGCATTTGTACTCTATGAATGTGGTCGTCTGTTTGCGTAAATCTGAAAAGTGTAGGTTGTAAAAATAATTGGTTTGATTTGACAAACAGTTTAAATCTAGATTCCTTTACCTGCCTGTGGCTTTGATGGTAGAACATAATATGCAAATGATATTGTATGTGTAGAAACACTTTTTTGTTGTTGTTTGGAAATGTTAAATTTCTTGTCCACGTTTATGCTCCTTTCCGCCAATCAAATATCCACTTGCAAAGCTGGAGATAAAATAACTATGTTCAATGCTTTTTAAATGAATGAATCCTACATGCAAATGGACACGCCCAATCAAATCTGTAGCCTTGTTCCCCTACATGAAGACGTTGTATACTACATTAAAAAAAAAAAAAAAAAAATGTATACAAGTTAAATGTGCTTCACGCTGTAAGGAGCTGGTTGCAACGCTGAGGAACCACCAGATGCATGTGACGGCTCTGCACCACAACTTGAGGAATCAAGAGATATTTGGCCTTATGCATGCACCTTCCATAAATCTTTCTGAAACTTTTAGTGTGAGATTTTGAGCCTTGTGGTCCGTGCCATTAATCCTACATTACAATGCTTGTTTTTAGTTGTACTAGCTGCTCATCAGCATGACCGATGGGCTCATTGCTGGTAGCCAGCCAAAACTATATTATTTGACTTACGCAAACATTTATGATTCATCAGTATCAAAAGTGCTTAAGGCTTCCATACTGACATTTAGTGCCGTCATGTGTCTTTTCCTAAAGGTCAACTAGCACAGGGAGCATGAACGGGGAAGTTAGTCTCCTGTATAGTATGCGCTGAACTTTTGGTGACTATTGACCAGACAATAGAAAATCACTACGGGTAAGATTTTTTTTTTTTTTAACATTTCAACCAATTGGACCATAAATTCATGTTCCCCATTAAAATTGTGTGTATTCCTAGTTTAATTTAGAAAAATGTATTTAGAAAAAAGCGGTAAAACTCTAAGAATGGAACAATTTCCTGTTTTTAGTTAAAAAATTGAACTATTAATTACTATTTAAAAGGGTGCTTTTTTTTAATATATACAAATCTACTTAAATGGTTGGACACCCTTAATGTCCTTGAGTCTTTTCCAGATAAACATCAAACCATACGGTGCGTGGATGCTGCACTCGTTTATACAGTGACGTTTTGTATTGTACCTATAGCTTCTAAAGAAGTTTAAGACATTGATAATAAAAGCCATTTTACTGCACATGAAGCTCATTTAACTTCAATGTTAAGATTTATCTAAAATCTCTCTCAGCCACTACTTCCTGTCCTCCTCTCATTCAGAGTCCTTGCCTGATCTGCTCACAGCAGTGAAAGTCTTGGCTGGCCCTCCGATTGAGATAGCGGCAGCTTCTGTTGAGAACAGTCTGGTGGAAGGTTTGGACTTTCCACTGAAGGTGGTCGAACCAGAAGCTGTGGAAGCGACCACAGAGGAGGTAGCCAAAGAAGCTCAAGAGGTGACCATGGTGAACGAGGAGGAGTCGAAGCCTGCAGATGCTGAACAGCTGGTTGAAGAAGGGACAGCTGCCAGTGTAGAGGCAGCGCTGGAGGAGGAGGTGGCTGCGTCTCTGTCTGAGGAAGCTACAACTTCAGTCCTGGCTGTGGAGGAGGAGGAGGGGGAGAAGGAGGAGGAGGTCCAGTCTGAAGACCAGACTGCAGACTCTGCAGCTGTCCGGGAGGAAGCCGCCGCCTCTTCTGATACCCCACCTGAAGATGCTGCTCCTGCTGAGGAGGCCACCACTGCTGCTGAAGCTGCTCCTCTGGATGACACGCCGCCCGATGCGGAGACATGGGTGGATGACGTAGCAGCCGAAGCTTTGGCAGCAACGCATAGTGAAGCTGCAGCAGTCGTAGATGCGAGTCAGCTGGCAGCAGCCTCCTCCGGGTCAGACCTGGAGGTGCTCTCAGCTGCTGGACCAGGAGCTACGTCAGAAGCTCCAGGGCAAGAGTCCAAGCGCTGCCACTCTTGCCACTCTGCTCCATCAATAGCCGTCGAAGTGGCGCCACCTGCTGCTTTGGGAGTGCAGCCGTCCGGTGAGGAAGATGTGGATGTTGCAGAGGAGGTCAAGGAGGCAGAGTCCCTGGTTGAAGGACAAAGTAAGATCATACGAAGTGACGTGCAAGTCAAATGCCTACTGAGTGTAATCTATAATACTTTATGAGGGTTAGAATTATTTCTTTCTATGGTTAATTGTAAAGTGAGGACACAGTAATATACAACATACCCTCTCCACTGCCCCAAAGTAAAGCAAGTAAATTCCACAAATATTTTGGCCTACCAGATGAAACGTATACCATATTACATATTTGAAGAAGGTAAGTAGTTTAGGGTAAGGAAGGGCACATTTTCTATTATTTTTTTTAACAAATTGACAAAATAGTGTGAGATTGTGAATCATGGGCACGGTGACAATTTCAGTTGCTAAATAGCTGCACTAATTACTTCTGTAATCGGATCTGAGCCCTTATTCATTATCTCAGTTCCACTGACTTTTTTCCGATGTTAGAAACTAATTGACGTAGAGGCAGATATGGATCCTTGCGTTTGAGGTCGACCACCATCACCTACAAAAGCATCTTAAACTTAATGTAATGAAGGTTTCCGAGTAGCTGGTGATGACGGCCGCACTAAAGACCAGCATCTGTATACCAAAGCTTTTCAATTGCAAAGCTCTCGAATACTGTGCTGTGATTTAGGAAGACCACCCGATTTATTGGAAACCTCAAGATTGAGTTTGCATCACATGTTAAAATATGTGATTCAAGCACAGATTAACAATACAAAGACACCATGTGGCTAAATTTGCGGCTCCTCAATTTTAGCTTTAAAATGATATAGTCTTCCCTGTATTTGGCTCTGACCACGTGTATTTCTGCCTGTATCCACAGAGCCAAAGGTGTCCAACTGGACAGTAAAAAGCTGCTCAGTGATGTAATAGTACAGTTAAGAAGGTAAACGGCCAAATGCTGCACGGCTGTGAGCACAGCTGTCTGTGTAAAGCTAGAGGCAGTAGAATGGACATATTCAGGATCAGCTGTTCGGTTGGTGAGACCAGTGTGACTCAGAGAGATTGTCACTAGACTTTTCTCTGCACTCCATTTAAATCCTGCTGCCCATGTCCATTCTACCTGTTTAAACTCTAGGTTGAGCATATTGCAAAATGACTTGGCCACGTTCCCTGAATGCCTTTCTGCCATGCAGACCAGTGTTGTGCTCGTTTGTTTCAGCGGCACAGACATTGGCGGTGGCAACGACCCAGTCGTGATGGACAGTGTGCCTTCTACAACACTCGCTTATCCGTCAACGGGGCCCGGATGGCCGATGAAAGCGGCACGGGGAGAACCAGCTACTGGTCTAATTAGTGAATGTGTCCTTTCAAATGTTTTCAAGGGGGTTTATTGTGTTTCTTCTGATCTTTAGTAGCCTTTGTGAAACTATTCCCATAATGTCTCTTGTCCTCTAGATGTCACTGTAGCATGACAAGTTGAGAGCACACAGGGTTCTTTGTAGTTGTTTCTAAGTGTTGGAAGGGTTTTGTTCTTTATGTAATGTTGTGACAGACTGATGTCAATATTCAGCTCAACAATAACTAGCAACTAAGACTGCACCAGATATTGTATTTGGGGAAATAGTTTAAATAGGTGCAGACATGAGAATGTTTAGTGGTTTAAGACCATCTCACCTTTATTGTGTTGCTTTCATAAAGGAAAACGTTACATATTAGATATTTGCTTTTTAAAGCTAGACTACAACTGGCATCATTAATGTGTGTATATATAATGTGATGTGAATGATTTTCTTCTTATTCTAGACTAATTTTCCTTCGACAACAAAGGATAGAAACATAATGTCCAGGGTCAACATGAACATTCAATCCAAAGAGGGTTGCAGATATATCATAATATATTGTCATCATTGAACTATGTATCATATGAACTAGTTAACATACCTCTTTGTATTTAGTCAAATACAATATCTTTCTTGTCATGAAAGTGCGCTCACATAGACAATAAAGTGATGGACAAACAATTCAAAGTTCGGCTGTTTATAAAGGTATGTTTAATAAACATGGTCTTGCACTGTGCTGTAGTAGATGTCAGTGGACCTTTTGATGGATCGATATAGATATTAGCTTTTCATGTTTTAGGAATACCATCAATTAATTGGAATACCAATTTAGTGACCATCTTCGTTGTCCTGAAACGGCCCATTGATGAGCTTTTAAAACCAACGGATCAGGACCAGATTTATGTTTATGTTCTTTGTTTTTATTCCTCAAATAAAAAAATAAAAAACTTAACAAATACACCAATAAAACCGAACTGATGGAGTCTAATCTGGTGAGCTCTGGATGTTTATTGCCCGGCGTGACGTCACAGATGTAATTCCCCTAAACAAGTGACTGACAGGCGAGTCGGTCTCCGTCAGCGGAGGAGCCCCGCCCCCCCCCCGCGTGCATTCACCCTCCTGCGCCCCCCGGCTCGCTTCCCGCGGGGCTCCTCGCCATGGAAACAAACCGCGAACGGCAACGTCAGGGCGGCTCCCGGTGCCGTTAGCAGCCCGTCGGCTTCACTGGACGTCACGCAGACGCGCCGCCAAGTCTCCCGCTCGCGAACTTAACGTGAAGTTGTTGTTTTCCGCCGAGGAGGCGACGAGAAGCACCTCACGGTGAGCGAGCGGACCCGCGTTAGCCACATGGTTTGTTGTTGTTGTTTTTGTTGTTGTTGCTTCTCACGGCTTGTTGTTCTAACGATGCTAACTAAGCGAGCTAACGTTAGCCACGTCCAGGTTCCGTCTCCTATCGGGTCGCTTGTCGTGTGCGACGCGCTCTCAAAAACGACGGATATTCAAATGCAAATCTGATCGCACGTGATTTAATGAGCAACTCTGAATATTAATCTATAAACCACAACTAAGTGATGCAAGAGTTTGCTAATCATTACTCCACGGTATCATCGCAGCGGGGGACCCCGTTGACTCGCTGAACGTGACCGACAGCAGTTGTCTTTGATAATATCGACTGTGTGATCTTGGTCGACTTTGATGATGCAGCCGCTCGTTATGTGTCAGAGACCTAAAGCAGACAAGCTTTGCGTCAACACTGAAACTATGAGAACCAGGCCATCGATGCTGGTCAAGATGGTGAAATGTCCGTGGAATTCAGGACATCTGGACATTTGCATATAGTTTTGTAAAGAAACTGACACAGGTGTGTGTGTGTGTGTGTGTGTGTGTGTGTGTGTGTGTGTGTGCAGGTGAGTTAAATCAGGAGCGGTCTGGCTGCTAGATGTTAATCGTTGCCAACCAGGACATCGAGAAACTGATATTTTTCTCTGGCAAGGAAAGTTTGGACTGTTTTTCTACTTTTAAAACGGCCTAAGGCCTTTCAACAGGGACATACTTTGTTGATGGTTCTTTCAGTTTTGTCAGCTTGAAAAATGTAAATAGATAATAACCACTTTAAAGATTTACCTGAAAAGTGTAATTTTCAATATGGGGGAAGTCAACAAACATAGTTTGTCCTGACCGCTGCCACCTGTCTCTGTTCGATGTCACTAAGTCGGCATCGCGTTGTGTCCTCGTGCAGCGCAGTACTCTACTTTTCTTTGTTCCGGTCTCGTTATGCTTTTATACCCGCTTTCGATCGTGTGTGTGGAGGTACTGATGTGTCCTTCACCAGGTACGTGGACCTGGTGAGAGCTTTGCTCAAGGGTCTGTAATTTGTTCTGGCAAATGATTGACCAGCGGGCATTTTGCTCGGCTGGTGTGACCTGCAGTCAAGGCAAACAGTTTCTGTCTGAAGGTTCCTGCTGAATGTTCTGGAATGGGGCCAAATCGTGAGCGGTCATTTATAGACTACCCATAGTTATTATTTTATTATCTCTTTCTGTAAGTCCTATTATGTCATTTTGGTCGTCGCGTCTTTATTTGGACATGCAGAGCTGCTAATTTCTATTGGAACTTCTGCCAAAAGAAGTTTTGAAGTAAGATCAGCTCTGAAAGGTATTTAATAGATAAAAAGGTTTTACGGTTAGAAAACTAAAAATAGATTAACATTTGCAATGTTAGTTTAAGAGTACTAAAATTCCTAAATGCAGGAACGGTCAATTAAAGTGGTCAGCAAACAGAAACGTCTTCCATATTTTCATCACCAGCAGCTTTCTTGTACTTTGTCTCAGAGATGTGGAGCAGAAAATGTTTTGTCCATGTTTTGTTTTGACTCTGGGAACAGAACGCAGACCAGTGCCAGACCACCTGAGGGCTCGGGATGCTTCACAAGGTATCAGCAGATCAGAAATGTAATCTTCCCTGAAGTCAATTCTTTGTTGGAGAGGAAGCCAGTGTAAAGACCTCAGACTGCAGAAATGTGGTTCCCTGGTCCTCGTGAGGCCTCGAGCTGCAGCGTTCTGGATCAGCTGTGGCTCTCTGGCCTTTCACAGACATGTGAAAACACCGTAACGGCGCTCGAGTCGACTGATGAAAAGAAGATAAAAGCATTTCTCCAAAGCTTGTTGAGACATAAATCCTCTAATCCTTGATATGTTCTTTAAGTGATAGCAAACTGAATCTGTAACTATAACTCAAACTAGAGCTGGTGTGTGTGTTGGATGTAGGTGAAGTAAATCCTGAGGTCATGCTGGCCATGTATTAGCCCTCAGTGTTATCACTGTGTCTGTGTTTAATGGTGGAGGGCGGGGCACAAGGCAGGGCGTTGTATCTTTAACCGCAGCCCCAGATACTTGGAACAAAAGCTCTGTTGTTGAAAGATCATGTGACTGTGTGTGTGTGTGTGTGTGTGTGCGGAGGAGGAAGGGGGGGGAAGTCGTCATGTGATCTCAGAGCTCGGGGCGGTCTGAGAAGTGCTGACTCGCTCTGCGAGGTTCCTTCCACCCAGAGAACAGGCGGACAGCGAGCACGATGCCCGCTGAGAGAGGAGATGGCCGGCCGGCTGGATGGACGTCAGGCCGAGAGGAGACGTGGGAGACGGTCACGGGCCGGCAGGGGGGGAGACGGCAGCGGAACCGGCCCTCCTGTCTTCTCTCACCGCTCTCATTCTGTCTTTGTCCTCGCTGCTCACTGGATTGTAAAACGGCAGCCGAGTAAAGATGCCAGGCTGCGTTTTGACTGGCGTCCACTTTTCTATGGCAAGGCAAGTTTAGACGGTTCTCCTCCTTTTTGATGTGTTTGTTCGGGGTCTGTAAAATAATTGATCTACTCATGTGCTTCCATCCTGGTATCAAAGGTTAGAAGTGAACTGAATTGTACTTATAGAGTGAGACCTGTATCTTTAGCTCTTATTCAGAATGACTTTCATGTCATAGCATTCAGTTCCTTGAATAGCAGCATGCCACGGGGACGTCTGACCTTTATTAAAAACACTTATTTGTTTTTTCTGAATTGAAGAGTCCGTTGCAATGTGATTTGCACATTTGAGCTCAGAAGCCACAAGGCCACCACATGTTCAGAGTCGTCCTGCAGTTCCTGTATTACTTGTTTGAGTCAATTCGACCTGAATATCCTGCTCGAGAGACTCAACAGAGTGTGCGGATGGGTGTGCGCTCGTGTGTGTGTGTGTGTGTGTGTGTGCTTGTGTTCGTGTTCATTCGTGTCCATGCATGTGCTTGACCAGTTTTGGATTCTTTGCTGCCGTCTGCGTGTTTCATGTTCCATGTGACCCCAAATTGTATTTCACCGGTTGTATGAGGGTTGGATTAGGTTGATGTTTTCCATATCTCAGAGGTTATTGCCGTATACGCTGTCGTTTTATTGCCTGATTGTTCTGTTCTTCTCTCTCTGACTTTCTCATGAAATGATTCAGACGGCTGCATGGATTACAAACCCCAAAGTGTCCCAATGTGCAGCCCTGCCGTCAGTTTACATAGTAGCTTTTGTCAGTCTAACTGCAGTAACATCGTATAATGCAGCGTGTGTGCACACACACACCTTCATTTGGTTAACCCGTTTCTGTGCCAAATGTCTTTGCACAGAACAGTGGGTGAATTATGAAACATTCAAACCAAGAAATGCATATTGGAGGCAGTCAGTTCACTCTCAGAATATGAAACTGTTTGTAAAAAGTAATTACTGTAATTCCCCCACACGGCGGTTAGATGCTCTGCTGGCAGGCCTGTCCATGTGTCTCATGGTTATTGGACAAATGCTGTCGCATGCAGGGTGCAAGTGCATTCACCTTTCATCTCCAAAACAGAACACGTGCTGCTCTGTGGAGGAACGTCTGCTCTTTGTGGTTGAATCATTAAACAGAGGATTCCCATCTGAGCCGATGGCACGTTGGTGTCAGTGACAGAGACTCATCGATTAGGCAGCCGTTAAGTAATCCAACATCTATAAACACGTCGCTAGAGGTGTTTTATGGCTATTTTAAAATGCATTACTTTTTTCTTTGGAAAACTGTCTTTGTGTCTACGGAGGAATTTGAAGAATTTTGCGTGGGATTATCTTTAAGCAGACGGTGAGCCGTCCTAGAAGTGGGGAGATGTGCTGTGGTTGATGAGAAGAATATAGTTTGTTTTACATCCTTGTTGATGTAAAAAAGAAAGTGTCAGATAAAGTGACATCAACACAGCGAAAAAGGCCAAACGGTTTCTGGCTGCTTGGATGTAACAGAGTGAAAAATAGGAATGAGGGACTTTTTCAGGCATTGAGTCTGTTTGAAAAACAGAAGTCGCAGGGCATTTTTTATGTTTTCCACTGACCAACATGGCAGGTTTGCAGTAGGTTCACAATTGAAATTAGTAGTAATTTCCAAACCAATGGTGCTTAATTTCCGACAAAGGTAGCGACTGATATAATTAAGTAAACTTACAGTAAAAACGTTCTCTCTGACTGACTTTTTAACGTCGTCAGATGTCTTGCTTTCAAAGGAGAACACTTTAGATTTATCTTAAAGTTCCTCAAGAGTTGATAATCCATGTAGAGAACATCATTGTAGCTCAAATGTAAGATGTGTTTTATTCTGACACAAGGCTGCTTAGCTTACCTCCGTACATACTATGGAGACCAGTTAGATGTAATCTTTACAGCTGGTATTTTAAAGAAATTACCATTTCACTTTCAACACTATTTCTGACCATGAGTTTGAATGCGGCGTAAATGTAACTTTAAATGTTGTTCCAGTAGCATTGAGGAGGAGCTCCCACAGTGGATGAACTAGTACGGAACAGGCCTTTTCTTTCTGACATCATCTGTATTAAATCCAGCTGTGATAGAGTTTGTATCGTCACGCGCGTAAGAGCGGACAAACACACTTTTTTCCATGCTGACACCACCCTCCTTACTAGAATATCTGTCTTATAATAGTCCAACATAGGCTCCTTTTTCCCAGGAGGGATGAAGTTGGAAGGACAACATTTGAAAGAGATCAGCGGCCAAGTCCACTCTATAAAAACGTAGCAAAGTCAGAGTATGTGGAGCATCGGTTGAAAATGGCGTCAGGCAGTTTGTACAACTATCAGCCTCTCCACAGTTGTGCACTCGCTTTGTCTTACGTCGTGTTGTCACCCTGCAGAGCCGCACAAAACAAGGACAGAGGGTCTCGTGGTTCTTAGCAACCGTTTCCATGGCTCCCGTCTGCCACTCCCAGAGCTCCCATTAGACACTGTGTGCATGTTTGAGGGACCTACTTGTCTCTCTCCCAGATGAATGCTTCCCGTAATAGCGGACAGGCACTTCCTGCAAGCCCAAGTTAGGAGGAAAGAGATGGAACTGATCCCTGGATTTGAGTTTACACTTGCGACGGACAGAGTAGGGTGTGGTTGTTATAAGAATTGTTCTGGTGTTTTAGTTTGAGCAAAGCCTTTATTATAGTAAACTTAACATTAAACTTTTAGGATAATAACTATAGCTGCGGCCCGTAGCTTTACTATGCTATAAAATACAACTACACTAATATAAATCGTAGGCTTCAGGTCAAAATCAGGTAAGGTGTTTGGGAAATAATTACTTTAATTACTGAAAAAGCAAACAGTTATGCTGCTTTGTTGAGAGCTCCGAGGCGATTCCTTTCGTGTGAAAGAAATCCATAATGATAAAACCAATGTCTCCTGTGATTATTCATCATCATTTCAGTGTTGAAAACAGGTTGCTATTAGCTGCCTACTAGCAATTCCTGATGTCTTGAGTTGGGTCTGTCGACCAATCAGATGCTGTGTTTCTAACCGTTTGGCAGTTTTCATCTGACCCTCGCTAGAGAACAACCATTGAGGTGTAGGTGGTCATCAAGGACATAAAACAGGGATAACACAGGCCAACGGTGTGACATCCGTTGTCATCCAACAAACCATCAAATTATTTTTGGACTCTTTGAATCTGCACCGGAGACTTCATCGTGTTTAAACTAAGTTTGATTTATCGAGTACGTTTTCTCTCTCCAGGGGCCTTCACTTACCCAACGGGCGCACCAGACGAGGAGCCCCGAGGAGCATGAGTCATGACCTCGGTGCTGCTGGTCGACTCTGGTGGGACGGTGGTGGAATATGTCACAGCCGAAGAGGAGGACTCCCAGCAGGTGGGTCAAACACGAGCAAGAGTAACACTTCACGCAGGTTCACACAAGTCTTCCGTCCTCTTTTTTTTTTTTTTTTTCCCTGTACGTTGTAATGTACTCTTGTTGATTCTCTTTTGGACGCGCCTGCTGTGTTTTCCTCCAACCTGCAGGAGGCCGAGTGTGACTTGGAGTTCGAGGGAGACCTGGAAGGCGAGTGTGAAGCCGAGGAGGATTTTGATGAAGCACAGGAAAGGGAGGAGGAGGACAACTACCCTGCGGTCATAGTAGAGGAGGTGCCCGGCGCCAGACTGGCCGATGAGCGAGGTTACCCAGCCCAGGCGTTCGTATATAACGACGAGGCCTACCTGATGCAGGACGTTGGTGATGAGCAGGAAGTGGAGACAGAAGGGGAGGCAGGTGAGACATCAATTTGACTTTTATTTATGGAAAAAAAATCACTTAATGGTACCATCGTGATGTTCATTTTGGCACTCTAGTTCAATGCATGATATGGTCTCTTTTGCAACACATAACACGCATTGCATTTTGGTAATGTGACAACTACAGTTGTGTCCGTATCGTGTCCAGCTTGCCAAACGAGATACATTTGGTCCAGAGGCCCAAATCTTGAAAAGTATCTTCTCTAATGTATTTTGTTTTTGTGGTGTGTCCGTGGTCATTCATAAATCCATCGTTTACAAAGTGCTGCTACTGTTGTTGTAGTTGGGCTGAAATGCACCATGTTTCTCATATGATTCTTTTTCTGGCACCAGTGTGAAAAAAGTCTGTTAAAGTAGGTTGTGAGAGTCTCAGTCCTCTGTGTTCACACACTGCCACCTCCTGGGTACTTCTCACAGTAACCTTTTTATGAACCGTCATGGTATTACATCTCCAACCCTTTATTGATTGGGAATCGTGTCCAATCCAGTGCACTAATCATAAATATGAAACCGACTGACTGGCTGAGTCAAACGTTTTTTTTTAACTAAAGAGAGATGCATTTATTCAGATATATACATATTGCATTTTTAAGCCTGGGTACAAATATAAAATATGGTGTCTCAAGCCATGAAGTGATTAATTTAGCAGATAAATGGTCTGTATACTGTGCTTGTCAGGAAATGAAGTTTGAAAATAAGTAATTAAATAAAATCAAAATGATAATGATAATGACCTATGCTGTAATATACTACTTGTTTAAAAACACATGGTGGAAAGTAATTTGAATATAAACTTCAAACAGAGCAGCAGGCATTTAGTCAGTTATTTAACGTAGCAGTAGTTTTGTTTTTTTAACTTAATTCAATTATTTACAATCTTATCATGTTGAAATGTAAACCTTTTGTCAATTCCCTGGGCAAACTGAAAATGTGTATTTTTTTTTTTGTAGATTTGTTTGTTTCTGAGTTTATTTCAAAAACGGTTATCACGGTTCAGCGTTACGTTACGTAGTAACTACGCAAGTGGAATGGAGGGCGACGCAAGGATTTCCTGTGTTGGCCGCGGAGGGATACATTTCGGGCCGGCCAAGCGTGTCTCGTCGAATTCGAGGAGATTTCCTATTCGCAGCGGAGGGATACGAGCTAGTAGCTTCCTATACAATTCAGTGAGAAGTCAATGTGAATCTGCAGCAAGGGGAAAACATGGCGACTTCGCAGCATGAGGGGCACGCGAACCAGCTCGATTTACTCATCCGAGCCGGTAACGTATCTTCATGTACTTATTCATTCGACCCGGGAGCTTACGGTAACATAATGGTGGTGTTTTACCACCGTCCGCTGCGCTTCAGTCAACTGAGTAGTGTGGTGAAGTAATGGAGGAGGGCAATCAGGAAGTGATCACCTTGGTAGCAACCTGCATGGCGTTGCTACGTGGTTTACCGGACTCGGTTTAAGGGGTGAAAAACTTTCGCAGTGCTTGCCGCTTTGCACAAACCGATCGTTATTTGCACGAGGGGGGCTTTGCATGTTGTAGCATTTTGTTACCACGGCAACATTAATGAGAATGACAATTTGCAGAGCGACCCTGCACAACCAGGAAGTGAAAAGATGTTGTCTTTCCTACGTCTTTGCCACGCTGTCTGAGTCGGAAGGACGTGTGGGTGTTATTTTTTACTACTATTTTTACTACTACACACAAATATCGCCTGTAGTATAAATATTTTAAACATCTCTGGTTCTTTTTTTTTTTTTTTAGGTTTTTCCGTTTGTGGGCAGTAGTTTGTCACACATTGTCCCTTACTAATTGCACATTATACATTAAAAGTAATAAACATCGGATGTAATTATGTCTATGGAGTTATTTGCAGATTTTACACGAATCAAAATGTTGGAGGTTACGATGTTTAATGTGTTCTGGTTTCCGTTGTCGGGTTGTACAGTCAGTTTGAAGCGTGGGGTGGCTCACTCGCTTTCTTCCCTGTGGTTGTGTCAAGTGTTGCTTCAACCATACTGACCTGCAAGTAAACAAATGTGTATCACTCGAAAGTTAACAATTAATGTTAATGTGCTGCGCGCTATCTAAACCCCGCGTCGTTTCCCTTGGTTTCTAGCAATTTTCAAAGTATTTTTTGTCCCGTTTCAATGGCGGAAGCATTGTGCGCGGAGAGGGCGGGGTATGTTGTTGATTGACTTTCTATTTAGTCCAATCGCGTGTGCGCTTGTCTTTAGCGTCAGCAGCAATCCAATCATTTTGAGCCGGGGGAGGGCTGTAAACCGGGAAATGATCCAATAGAAGGTGAGGCGGTTGTTGAGTGACAGGAGGATTAGTGAGCCTCTTCGAAGAGAACTGGAGGGAAATAATGAGGACTGTAAACACGGAAGTCATCACGGCCCGCACTACTTTTTGTCAGAGATGCTGCTATTCTTGGCGCCGTTACATTATTGAATAGGCTCACAATAGGCATTTCCCTCAATTCTATATGATATATTATACCAAAATATGAAGTGCATTTGTCACACAATTATTTTTTTTAATACTCAATAATTAACTACAAATACAAATCCTGACATTCGAACAGAATAGATCGATATCTATGTAGTTAAATAGCTTTCTGGCGTCCCCACCTTTTTTAGGGTGTTATTACACAATGGCTGCCTGGTTTTAAGGACTGCTCGGTAAGCTATAGAGTCTCTGCTGTGGCGGCTGCCAGCACGTCCTGTTTGTTTGTGAGAGGGACTTGAATGAGTGGGACACTCTAAAGATAGTCCATTTCTCCCCTATGCAGTGAGAAAGCCAAACATGGACAGGGCAGGGTGTTACGGGGTCTCGTGTTTCCCACCGGTGATTGACACCGACAGCAGGTTCCCCCGGGTTCTTTCTCAGGGTCCCAGATGGGGCGACGGACCATTTCCTTCAGTGTGAATCCCGTCTTCTATTTAAGCAGCATTTTACATGAACTTTTAACATACTGTGCCTGGATCAGTGTGAATTAGTTGTTTACATAAATTAGTCGAATGCATTTTCTTTTCACTAGGGGGTGCCATGTAGTTGCATACTGTGTGTGCTGCATATGCAGCACTGTGTTAACTGTGTGTCTGAGGTGATAAACTGTTGGAGGTAGTATTACATTTTCTCTCCCTATTTGGATATAACTAAGCTAACCGTTAATGTAGGTGCATCGTATTCTTTGCCCTTTGAATGAAGGACCAAATATCTCATACAATAAATGTTTTCCACTGTTTTGACCAGTAACTTTTTATTTTTCCTCAACTATTTACTAATCAAGTGTGTGTGCGTTTCAGTGGAGGCTTCTGTCCACGGCACCAATGTTCACTGCTCCGACAAGACGTTTGAGGCTGCAGAGGCGCTGCTACGCATGGATTCACCTTCCAGCCTCAGAGGAGACCGTAGCCCAGGTAAAACACACTAACTAATTATACCCCCCCCGAAAAAAAGCTTTACAAATGGTTACACTTCAAACACTTTAATGTCTGATCTTTCATTCCGCCATCCAGAAGCTTTTATCCCTCCTTACATGACGACACCCGACTTCCTCCACGCGGCAATGCGTCCCGACATGATTACAGAGACAGAGGTGGAGATCTCGACTGAGGGGTGCTGCGAGGAGGAGGATGAGGAGATGGTCACTCTGCTTGAACCAGTCAGGAAGAGTCGAGGTAAGCAGAGATGTCTCATAGCTTTAGTTTACAGAGACGCTTTCTTTTATCTTCCAACTGAGGAAAGTGAACCCCAAATACTCCAAAGCTGTAGAAAGCTGCATACATATGTATTAAAATTGTCTTTAATACAGTTGAGGACTTACCATCAGCTTATTTTAGAAAAGGGCAGTTTTAAATTGGGAACATCTGTGGGCTCTGTGATTAAGCGCAACCTCACAGACCTCAAACCTAAATCTAGACTCCTAATTACAGTTGTTGTGTTTTCTGAAAGCACCATCTAATGGAAGTGTTTCCATCTGGTCTAAACTTGAGCTCACAAGTCGAGGATTCAGCATTTAAAGACAATGCTAAAGTCTTATGTGAAAATGTTCCTTGTTTAAAGCTGGACGGAAGCCAAAGACACATCAGTCATCTATTTCCAACGGCTCACTGGACCTCGGCATCAAGAAGAAACCAAGAGAAGGGAAAGGTACAAAATGGCAATCATTTTACGCTTAACGGCAAACAGTTATTTGGGCATGTGTCTATTGCCATGATAATTTGCAAATCACCAGATAAGTATAGGCTACGTCTTAGCATCCCATCAAATTGGCTCCTTTTCCAGCGGGGTGCACCACCTTCCTTTGGGAGTTCCTGTTGGACCTCCTCCAGGACAAAAACACCTGTCCCAGGTACATCAAGTGGACTCAGCGGGAGAAGGGCATCTTCAAACTGGTCGACTCGAAGGCCGTGTCCAAGCTGTGGGGGAAACATAAGAACAAACCAGACATGAACTATGAGACCATGGGACGGGCACTCAGGTCAGCAGTGTGTGTGTGTGTGTGTGTGTGTGTCTGTGCTGTAGATTTTCTTTTTGCGTTCATCGTGTTTTTTTTGGAAGCAGCGTCGTAGTTCCTGATGATCTCTCTTTCCTCAGATATTACTACCAGCGCGGCATCCTGGCCAAGGTGGAGGGCCAGCGGCTGGTTTACCAGTTCAAAGACATGCCCAAAAACATCGTCATCATCGACGATGACAAGGCAGACGTGCCCAGTCCCGACGACGGGGTCGGCTCGGAGGTCGTGTCCCACGGGCGCGTGTCGCCTCCATCAGACGTGCTGCTGCATGAGACGGAGCTGTCGTCCTCCAAGAAGCCCAACATTCTGCGGGGCGGGAACCGGGCCAACGCGGCCCATGGTACCGTCGCCAGCAAAACGGGGGCGGCAGGTGGCGCGGCGATGGTGGCAGGGATGTCGAGGATAGTGTCGGTTCCTGGAGGATTTGATGGGAATCAGCAAGCTCATACGGCCATCATCCGAACCTCCACTGGGCCCAGGTTAGACCCCCGCCGATTAAGGGTTTCTCATCTCTGCAGTGCTGATGCAAGCGGCCGCACCTTTTCCCAACGGCAAGTATTGACTTCTGACGTTTGCTTTCTTACGTCTTGTCTACAGGACGGTGCGCGTGGCGATGCAGGTGCCTGTAGTCGTGACCTCACTGGGTCAGAAGATCTCCACTGTTGCTGTGCAGCAGCCGGCGGGAATAACGTGTGCAGGCGGCCACAGCACCCTCCTCACCAACACTTCTGCCATTGGTGCGGCTGGTAACGCCAACTCTCAACAGAAGGTGTGGATACGTGGAAACTCATTGAATTGAAGTGCTTTTGCATATCATATGCACATGTGGTATCTGTTCCTCCGTGGCAGCTAAGAAGCCCATGTGTAACTGTACATTTGAGCAAAATTGAGTGAATAATTGTTGATTTAATTAATTCCTTCATCCATTTTGTGCATCTTATCCGTGTCCTTGTTACATTGATTATTTTATCAGGAACTATTGCTGCTGGGAAATGCAAAACAACACAACAGATTCCATTGTACCTTCCTAGTTGTAAAATATAGGAAGTGCGTTCCATCTGGTCCTGTAGGGGATTATAAATCAAATGATAGTTTTTTGTGTAATCTTTGTTTGTAGTTAACAATGTGGTGGATTTTTTTTTCTTTTTCGGGGTAGGTAATGATCCAGACCATCCCCACCATGGTGCCGGCCACAGCTGAGAACGGAGAAAAGATCACTGTCCAGTTGGCCAAGATCATCACCATCCCGGCCCACCAGCTGGCTCAGTACCAAACGTCAACGGGCTCAAACAAGCCCGGCGTCGGCAGCTCCCCAGCGGGTATCAGCCTCCTCCGGAACCCCTTGACGGTGCGTGCTCTGGCACCGGTCAACGTCGCCGCGGGAACGCAAGTGATGAGACTCACTGTGCCGACACAGGCGCAGCAACAGACTCTGGTGGTGTCCCAGCCGGGCAGCGGGCCGGGGGTGGTAACCGTATCGACGGCAAGTCAGACGGTGTCGGCCCACCCTCAGATCATAAGCGGCGTCTTTAACGGCTCCGAGCTGCTGATCGGAGCCCCGGGAACCGGGAGAGTCTCAATGGAGAAGCTGAAGGCAGCAGGAGTACAGGTCCAAACGGTGCAGGTGGCTGTCCAGCAGAACCAGGTGAACCGCAAAACGGTCCAGACCTCGCAATCGGACGCTGAGGTGGTCGTCAATCTGGAAACACCTGACAAGACGATAAAGAGCGACGAGGCAGAGTGTTGAAATGCCCACTTTAATAACGTCTGTCGCGTTTTACGTAATAACCAGCAGCAGTCTGTGAGACTTTAAAAAGACTATTTTTAGTCCTGAACTTGTTTTCACAGCTTCCTTGTGGCCACTTTAACTTTACTGATCCCAGCCGATCCTCAGAGCCACACTGAAACCTCTCCGAGTGTCGTGTATGGAGCTCACGGGAAGACGCACGAGACTCTGGAGGCTTCTTTTGAAAGGTAAAGGGACCAACATTGATCACTACAATTCATGCTTTCTAAATTGATTGCCATCGCTGACTCAAACCCGGGAAAAGGAAAAAAATCCTTGAATACAACAGAAACACTACAAAATGACAACCAGCCAAAATGAAAGAGAAATACACAATGGGCGTGTAATTAAGCTGGTCTAGACTATTTTATTTGATAGTTTTGCCACATCAGATGTTTAAACCAGCCACTTTGTTTCTGTTATTTTCTGTTATCTTTCTGATATCAGGAAGATAATGGTCATGTATGTACATATTTCGATTGATATATACATACACCTGTATGTATATATATCTCTACTATTTACGGAGCTAAAGTTAACAACCTTAGATTTAAATATTGACTTTCATTTTCATTTGTCTGAACAATAAATTGAAATTTATTTTTGTGTTTTGATACCTTGTACCAAGCACAGTATTATTGAAACTAGATGAACTAACATTGTATTATTAATTCCACTGTCACTTATTGAGCTATGAAACCCTCCTATAGATTGGAAAAGATCAGTGGCCAGATTGTTTTTGCAGTCTTCAAATGTCGGGAAGGAAGGAATTTGACATATTTGACTACGGGATTTTGGCTGTTTCACTATTTTATCTCGGCTTTTTTCACAACTAAATATTCAAATGCAAAAGATTGCGACTCAGAGCTGGTGCTCGCTGCAAAGTCTTGATTATAAAATTCAAATAGGAATGTGAACTCAAACCAATACTTAATTGAATCAATATTTTAATTTGCAAAACGCTGCAAAAAATATCAAACCACTGTGGATCCGAGGTCACTTTACTTGCAACAAAGGGTGAGTTAGCACAGTTACTGCCACCACATTTCATTATTTTTTTATCTGAAGATGTTTTGTTCGGACTGGACTGTTTCTATATTCAACATTTGAAGTATATTCTATTTTGTTTGTATTCTTGTTTCAAAGTGTATTAATGTAGATTTTACTGAAATATAAAGACATTTGAATACCAACTGCTGTCTGTCTGTTTTGAGGTTTTATGTAATATATTTAATGGGTGAGGTCGGAGAAATCAGATTTTGGGGAGACAAATCCTGTTATGGGTTGACCCGTCGAATGATTACACTTCTTACACTAGATCGTCATGGTGTGTTGCAGTAAACACAGCTTTCAAAGTGCACTTTAAATACTGTTTGCATGCACAAAACAGTTTTACCATAACTCCCTTAAAATTACATTACAGGTCATTTAGCTGACTTTTATCCAAAGCGACTTACATTGCATTTTTAACCCATGGCTTTTTACATTTAGAGCAATTAGGTTGGGTGTCTTACTCAGGGACATGGGGCAGCCGGGGCTCAAACCACCAACCTTGTGGTTCCCAGCGCACCCGCTCTACCCCTGCACCACATCGACCCCCCCCCACCCACCTTTCAAAGTGTTTGAGATGCATTGAAAGTGGACAGTTTCTGTGTGAGGTGATACAGAAACAATGCCTCAGTTAATCTACAGAATGCTTCCAGTAGTTTTAATAGAGGCGACATCTTCTGAAATGGATTTTTTGGAGAAACCAGGACAGTTCATAAACATTGAAGTTTCTTCAATGTTTGAACGCCACAAAAAACAATCATTCCTGATTAGTATAATCTGCAACACCAGCAACCTTTGCATAATGTGCATATTTCCTTTAATTCCGCCCAGTATTTATCAAACTAACGAGAGGGAACGTCTACAGAACCCGGTACTGCAAAGAAAGTAAACCATACATGTTCAGCAAAAACATTTTATTCTCCGTCAGGCTGTAGTAGAATTGCAGTCAACAACATTTACTACAGTTTTGGGATCAGAAATGTGTGTATATGTGTACATATCTATAGTTTCCAATCCAGCACGTTCATTGTGCAGGTAGGTAGGTTGAACACAACGCGTACGACAACTACACTGCGACGTAATGGGGCCACTCGATCCATATTGTTGTTCATGTTACTTGCAGCATGTATTTGTGTGTAACTCTGGTTTCTCTGTCGCCTTCCACCGCTTGACACTTCCAAATAGCGTCTTGTGCGCCTTGTTGTTGAGGGAAGCCAACGGTGTCCCTCCTCAGTGTTGACCCGTCCCGTTGTGCAGGGTCACCCTTCCTTCTCCTTAAAGCTGAAGTCACAAACTAGAGAGAGATGGTCTGACGGATAGCTAAAAGACGGAAGCCTGTTTGGCCCGATCTGTTCCTCAGTGGGCATTTCCAAAACGCTGTCCACTCTCAGTGTGTCCTGACTGTACCAGATGTAGTCCAGAGTGCTGCAGCATTCCCCCGTAGGCCGAATCTTCCAAGTCGTGTACTCTGGCTCGGTCAACCCGTCCTGACTGAGCTTCTTGTAGGCCGATTCCAAACGGAGAGGCGACGCGATGAAACGTTGGTACACCTCCTCGGTGGGGACCGCGTTGAAATCCCCGCATATGAGGAGCGGAATGTCTGACCCGGGGGCCGCCGCAGGCTCGCCAGCGTGCTTCTGGACCAGATTCTGGAGGTGTCGCAGGAGGTCCGAGCCCTGGGTGCTGCGGAGCCACTCCCAGCCAGAACGGGCCTTCAGATGGGTCACCGCCACACACGCGCATCTCCCTGTGCTCCGGCACCGCAGCATCGTCACCACGGCAACCTGTGTCGAGAGAGCAGCGTGTTAGGGGTGCTTATGAGAAGCCGCCCCCACCACCACCACCACCACGTGTCTGCGGTTGGAGTCCACTCTACCTGATTGGTTGGAATCCGCAGGGCAGACAGCTTTAGGTTCACGCTGTCGAGGCACTCGTACCGCGACCGGTCGAAGAACAGAGCACAGCCGTCGGGGCCGTTGTTGCCCTCCACCTGCAGGCACGGCGACCAGGGTTTAGGGCAAAAGCTGCCGCTGTAGCCGAGGCCTTCCAGAACCGGCTGGAAGGTGTCGTGGTAGTGGTCGACTTCCTGCAGACACAGGATATGAGGTCTGTAGGTGAGGATCTCCTCTAAGATGAGGTACTTCCTGCGGGACCAGCTGAGGGCCTCCGGGGGACACTGAACAAAACAGTCGAGTCCCTCACCCAGAGCTGAGGGACGGGGAAAAAGAGGGAGATCTGACTTCAGTATATATATATATAGTATATAACCTGCAGGAGCGAAACAGTGCTCCACGGTTTGTTAGCAAGCTTCCTTTTCCATGTCCTCCACCAGCCAGCTTAACCGGCTACGTCTGCAGCGTGGTGCTGGGCAGGTGGTGTACAGTGGATGCACCAGAGATCGGTCTGAGAACGTGTCCTTCACATTAGCTGTTCTAGCACTGTGAGGAGATATTAGACTACCTTGTGCCAGTATGTTCCACTGCATCACCCTGATGGAGCTGCTGGAGCCGCTGTCTCCATCATTGAGGTGGGTGAACTTCCGGTGGAGGCGAGGTGGTCGGTCCCTCAGGGCCTCTTCACACTGTCGGAGCAGCTCCGCTGGAGTGGGGGGACATGGAGGGGACGCCTTCTGCCCCTGCGGAAAAAAGAAACGTAAGTATGCATTTCGCTGGAGGAGGCGCATTACTTCACAGTTCTCCTGCCGTGTTTATTTCCTGAAGTCTGCGTTGTTAACAGAAGAGAAGAAGTCACCTGGCAGAAAGGCGGATCCAGGTTTGTGTCTGCAGGCGGAGGGAGGGGCGGTGGAGAGCTGCTGCTGCTCTGAGTCAGGGCGCCGTACAGCCTGGTAGCCCCTCCACCCATCGGACACACTGATTGGAGGAAAAGGACAAAGACGGTGAGGTGTATGTTAGTGTGATAAAAAAAAAAAAGGAAATGGGAGCTAAATTGAATGTGTCTGTTGAACTTCAGCTGAAGAATCTGAGAGGGAAGTGAGCTCCTCTTTGAATCTGCACTCTGTGTTGTGACAAATCCCTTTTTAAACTCCAGTGGCTTAATTAGTTCTGCTTCACGGGTGGAAATCTGCTCACTTTTTGCCCCCCCCCCCCCCCCCTCCAACATCTGTCTACTCATCCGTGAACTGAATCATTAATGCCGCCTGAAAGGAAGACTGGTGCTTCCCACGAACTGTCAGAGTATTAACAGTTTTATAAAATGTGTTGAAAATATGCTTTTTATCTTTAATGCACCTCCACCAATGTGGTTCTGAGGTGAACAACTCCTTATCTCGATCCCCCGGGGGGAGGTGCAAACATTAAATACGGAGTAATCCACACTCCAACATTTGTGCTCTGCATATCGGAGTTGGGAGGCAATAAAAGACCTTTGCTCCGTCAAACCAACGCTGGTGACTAACTAACTGCTCCTTTAGGCCATAAACGGAGAGATCAGATACTGATGTTTAAGGTCTATCCAGTTATGTGTGAGCAATAACACGACTCCTTTGTTAAGGAGTCAGCTGGCACTCGTACTTCCTATAAAAGACCCCGGTGCATTTAGATCCACAAAAACAGACCTTTAAACTCTTTATTTACACCAGTCCATGTTTATACACACGAGCGGCCAGACTAAGTAACATTCTAAATGTCAGTAATGAGATACTATACATGCAAAATAAAGAATATCCGCCTCTTACCCATCGTGTCCATCACTGCCCACAGCTATGTCCAATCTGCACTTCAGTAAATTGTCCTTAACGCCGACACGGTGCGTGTTCCTGCCAGCTGATTCAAACCGGTGTTTTCACTGCAGCTGGAGACTGTGACACTGAATGCAGAGCTCTAACGCCTTACTTCCCACTATAAAGCCTTGGGGAGGGAGGGAGGGAGGGAAGTGTAGACGTCACCAGGCTCGACGGATTATTACAGGATGTGCTGGTGAGGCAGAGAGGACAACACTGCGCAATCCAAACCGCTGCTTTCTCACACACACCAGCTTCAGTGTGGCAGATACGGGACCGGATGAATTGTACTAAAGGCATACGGAGTCTCACCCTCACCATTAAAACACGCATCAGACTGTCAGCCGGTGAAACGTACCCGTTCTCCGGGTTAACTGCTGCACAGCTGGATAAGAATGCGCCGCTAAAGGGTGTATTCGTTTTGCAATAACAACTTCCTTGCCTTGCATGTTGTAACTGCGCCCGGAGCCCTTTGAAAACGATTTACCGTCAGCAATGTCACAGCAGTTATTTTCCGTCTACCGTGGTAATTTTCCAAAAGTACAAATAAATTGACATTTTGGTCTGGAATCAAAATTCAGCTGGTATAACAACAGTACGAACCTCCTGCACCTTTAATTCGTGGGGGTCACAACTCGATTTCAAAAGGGATTTTAGGAGATTTAGGACAAGGCACAACTGGCACCCTCTGTCATGAGACGACACTGAAGCATCTGACCGTCTATTAATATAAACGATGTGCGCGCGCGCGCTACGTCATCAAAATAATTCGGATGTTTTATGAGCAAGTGTCATTATTAGTCTCCATCCAGGTCTCTTCACCCGAGGGAACGGGGTTGGGAACAAATGTTTGCACTCTCCGCTGCGTTGCCATGACGTCAGTGTGTCGCACACAGACTCGCACGCGTTGCCGGGACAAAGAGCGAACCCCTGGTTGGAGCGGAGAGGGGTGACTCACATCTGTAGACGCAACACTCTCACGACACTACACACTTGGCAAACATGCACCAGAAGTCACGACACGATCGTAGCCAGTGGCGGCGAGGGATTAACGGGGAGGATTTCATCTGAATGGAGGTTGTTTTTTAAGCCGCTTGAAGAGACATCGTCTTCCACGAGCAACTGATGTCAAAACAGGATGAATGTGCATATGTTGATGATAATATGTCAGAGAGACTCGCATCCTGTGAACAACCTCTAGTGGCTCCAGGAGTTCAGTGTTGTTTGTGTGCATGAGAGCGAGAGCATGTCCCTGTATCAACATTTCCATTCTGAAAAACAGCGGCCTCATGACATTCCAGTACGTGTGGGGTTTTATTTTTGATGCAATATCTTCCACGTGACGGCCCTCAGTTTTTACAACATTATTGCATAGAAACAAAACAAACAATGGTTGTATTTGAATGCATCAAGACTCTCATTTAGATTTTTCTGTGTTATATCTTCATTCATCAGTTTAACAAATGATCCCCACGCTGTGCTTTGGGCTAAATACCAGCACCTGCATGCTCACATGCTGGAATTTAGTGGAGTGTGTTAGCACCCTAACGTTTGCCAACTAGCGGGCCAAATGCTATTCATTTGGCACATTTATGGTAATGAACATGTGTACTGACAGTTGTCTAAAATCAGACGATTTAACTTCATTTCTTGAGCGTTGCACGTGCAGATTCACATGTGTGTGTCCTGCAGATGCCAAAGTCATCGTTGTGTGTGTTGTGCAGTTTGTGGTATTACATTACTGCCTTTCTCTCTGACCTTTAGACGGGCGCCTCCGCCACAGCAAGCGGAGTGAACACAGCGCGTACGACAACTACACTGCGACGTAATGGGGCCACGCGATCCATATTGTTGTTCATGTTACTTCTTGGTTTATTTAGTTTCATCTGTGGCGTTTTGTCAGGGTTTAACTCTTAACTTAGTTTGTCGTGCTGAAAAGCACTCAAACTACCTGGTCACATACTACAAAGTACATGTCAAAGTCAATTGTAATATTGGAAATATACTACTCTAAATCAGTTTCAGCTATAAAAGTTGTTGTAGGAAAAACTGGTTGTTGAGGGGAAACTTGCCAACTTGAACATAAGGAGGTATATTTCATTTTGGTGCATTGATATTACTATTAATATAGCCCAAAGAAATAAGAAAAAGAAATCACTGGTATGAACGTTTGCCCTGTTCAAATGCTTTAAAGCATAAGAGCAGATTCAGGACACGTTTATTAAATATCGTTGCTTGTTTGTTCACAAATCTAAGAAGCATTGTATCGTTCATTTACGTCACCGTGAATCTCCCCCCACCCAGCGGATCTCGCCGATGAACTTTTAAACTCTAAAGCCGCATGTGTTCTCAAGACAACAAGCGGAAGCCAAGTGCCAAGAGTCTTGTTACGGCATCAATCCCACGCAAACACAACGCCGAACGTACTTCAGCTCATTCAAAAGGTACCAAACCCATTCTAAGATACAATCTGACCACAGCGAAGAGCCACGCCGCCGCTGGCTGCCAGATGACGCGGCACAAAGGGAAGTTCAGAGCAAAGTTGACTCATCTGGCGGCTCACCTTCTTCACTGGAATGAACGGCTCCCCCCCCCTCAGCTCCACCGGTGCAGATGGCGCCGTGCGTTTCGTCGATCTTCCTCTTCCTCCGCGGGGTCCCGATGGCGTGAGACGCAGACGGAGGGAAGGTTTCCCTCTGTGCTTTTGTTCAGTGGGACGTGGGCGGTTGATCGACCCTCTTGCTGCAGGACAAGGTCACCGGGGAGAGACAGCGGGCCTCCTGTGCCACCTGCTGGTACACAGGGTGTCGAACTTCATGCAGTCTGAGCAGAGAGAAATGTTGATGGTTAATTACTGTGGATTTACACGTTGGGAATGAATTTGGCAGCAAGAGCACTTTGAAATTGAATAATGATAGTTCTTAAAAAGGAGTCAATTATTCAGTTATGTATTTATTTCGGCATGGTAATTTGGTTCGTTTTTCCACAGTAAAACAATGTTTCTTTCTGACAGTAAGGGGGCGGAGCCAGTCACCATGGTATCTACACCTGGTTGGTTACAAACCCCGTCTTTGGATTGGCTGGAGTGATGCATTCACACAACTATAGAAGCCCATTTCCGCCCTAATGTACGGGGATAAAAAGAAATTATGAGACAAAACGTCAAAAAACAAACGCCCCCCTTCGGTAACCGTAGTGGACCGTAGATGACAACCAGCTACAACCATAATTTACCATCATTACCAGCACATTAAGAGCAACGCGTCCAGCTCGCAGACCGGTCCGTCAGTCTGAATCTGAATATCTTGCCAACTTGACCGAACTATGGAGGAGCCTGCGCACATCTTACCTCATGATTTCGATAATAAAAGTCGATCCGTATCGAAAGTTGGCAAGATATTCACAGATTTTGACTTTTTTCCGGTATTTTACAAATACGGACCAGTCTGAGACTAAGAGCAGCTTTTTATTCATTTAAAAGAAAAATGAATCTGTTTAATATTTTTTTTACATTTTTTTTGCTACTTCCATATTGTGTTGAAATGCAAGCTGCATTGGTTCTTGCATTGTTGATAGAAAATCATATTTGTGACAGATTTTTTTTTTCTCTTATAAAAAATTAGAGAAGGTAATTCATCTGTTGATTTTCTTTAATTATCAAATAAAGTAGGAAGTGATTACCAACATCTGAGTAGCAAACTTGTTATGGAACCAATGTTTTTGCATTAAAAATGAACTCAACATGACTTTGCTGGCAGCTTTATTCAATTTCATCGTCCCAAATGAATATCTAAGTTGTGTTGTCTTATATTCATCATCTCAACTCTGCTGTTCTATAAAAGCTTCATCCCGAGTCGTCTGCTGAAGTCCGAAATTTGTTGCTGTAGAAGTGTGCTGACGTTCGCCAGCTGTTGCGCCCTGGTCCCCAAGTGGTCCAACAGGCCCCCCATGGACACCAGCAGCCCACCATCGCTGTTCTGATGGCCCCGGGTCACCGACGAATCCTCATTCCATGCGTCCCGCAAACTCTCGGACAAGATCTCAGTGTCCTGCTGGAACCGGTGAGCCTCCCGCCGGTACCGGTCTCTGTCCTCTCTGACTCTGTCCACGTCCCCCTTCATCCGACTGATGCAGAGGTGCAGCCTGCTGTTCTCCGGGCCGATCTGCTCCAGGTTCGCGCCGTCGCAGTAGAGGCACACCTCTGCAGCTCCCAGCTGTGAGGCCCGTTGGTCCAGCGCGTCCATGTGTCTCCCTCGCAGCTCCTCCAGCCGCGCCTTCATTTCCTCTCTGGGCTGCAGCAGAGAGCTCGTTCTCTCCTTCAGGCCCCCAATCAGCAGCTCCAGATGCTCTCGCTTCCCTGTGAGCTCCGAGGTCAGCGCTTGTATCCTCCGCTGCCTCGATTGCTCTTCGTTCCACTTTGCAAGCTCCTCCTTCAGCACCTCCTCCTGCTCCTCCACCTTCCTCTGCTTCTCCACGAGGCTGCTCGTGATCCTGGAGGCCTCTGCGGTGACCTGCTCGATTTCCTCATGGTGTTTGCTCTCTTCTTGTTTGTATTCCACCTCACGCTGGGCCGCGTGGCTCACCAGCAAGTCGGCATTTGTGCTCTCGGGCTGGCGCGCTTGGAGTGCCGCCTTCTCTTGGCAGAGCTCCTGGTATCTCCTCCTGGTGCTGCTGATATCCGAGGTGATCTTCGCCACGTGCTCCTCCTGCTTCCTCCTCGCCTCCTCCAACAGCCTCGTCAGCCGCCTCTCCTCCTCCTCGAAATGGCAGATGTTCTTCTTCTCCGTATCAACGTCGTTGCACAGCTCCCCCCGATTCCTCTCAAACATGCGCTTGGTGATGGCGTCGGCCTCGAGGAGTTCTTGGATCTGCTTGTCCATCTCTTTGATCTCCTTGCTGTGTTTGACCAGGGAGGCGATTCGGTCCTTCAGCTGCAGCCTGGAGCGCTCGAGCTGCCGCGAGACGTGCAAGTACTCTGCCCTCACTTCGCCCTCTTCGTCACGCTGCTGCTTGAATATCTCATAGATTTGAGCTAAGGAGTCTCGATGGAGCAACCGCGACGCTCGACCCTCCTCGATTTGATTTTTCACTGTGGCAACTTCTTCTTTGAGACGCTGGGCGGCGACACTGAAGGCTTCCCCCAACTCACGCAAGTCCTTCTTCAGAATGTCTCGCTGTTGCCTCAATTCTTGAAGCTTTCGGATTTCCCCCCGCAGCTGTTTTTCGCACTGGCGTTGAGATGCCGCCAGCCTCCGTAAATTGCTCTCCAGCTTGGCAACTTCAATTATGAGCTGACCCAGACGGTCGTGGGTTTTTTGTTTCTTGATATTTAGCCTGTCCAATTCTTCCACGCCCCTCCCGACCGACTGCTTCTGCTGCTTGACTTTATCCTCGGCCCGGTCCACCCTTGTAGACAGGTGATCTTTTCGCAAAGTGAAAGCCTCTCTCTCCAGCACCATTTTTTGCCGCAGCGTTACTTTGTCCTGTTTGACGGCAGCGATGGAGGACTTCAGCTCTTCGATCCGCTCCCGCGTCTCATCCAGCTCCCTCTGCAACGTGTACTTCAAGGTGATTTGCTCATTGTGAACCGCGATGACCTCTTCGTGTTCGGCCTTCACCTGCTCTCGCTCTGGGCGCAGCGCTTCGTTCTGGCTCAAGAGCGTTTCCTGCCTCTTCGCAGTGGCGTCTTGCAGCTGAGAAACTGTGTTGATGTATTTTTTAAGCTGCTCTATCTCTTCAGAATTAGATGCTCGGGCTGCTGCTACGTCAGCCATCATTTCTTGGCACATTCGTTCTCTTGTGTTGTTCATTTGGTGTCTCAACTTGCTGTTTTCTATGGTTTCCACTTCTAAAAGCTCATGAGCGGCACGCCGATCCGCCTCAAGTTCAGTGATGGCAGCACTTATCTCCGTCAGGTGGAGGCTGGCTTCAGCTGAGAATGGTATGTCGTCCTCTATTATCTGCTTCTCCAGTTCCTTTAAACGCTCCAGAGCCACCATAAGGGCCGGGAACACCGGAACCAGGCAAGAAGCCATTTTTGTTATCCGCGTGTGTGTGTTTTGAGCTCAAAGAAGTATTTGCAGCAAGTCCGGTTAACCTCCACCAACGACAACGACAACTTGAGAGTGGGGTCGCTATGACAACTAACCCGCCACGAAGAAGTCAGCGCTCTACGGCAAGTGCTGAAGACCATATTTATGTTAGCCGCGGCTATACCTGAAGCTAACTGTGCGAGGGCTAACGTTAAGTAGAACCTAACGTTACCGGGAGAAATGAACTTCCTTTAGAATAAATGGATAATGTGAGAACTGTATTGATCCTATTTGGGGCGAATTCAATTCGAAAGATGCTAGAAAAATACGTCGGTTGAGCTTTGTAATTGCAGCATGAAGACAATGTCTGGCCGTACGAGAGAGGCTGTCCATACACAGTTTAGCGCTCACCTGAAGAAACGTCACGCAGCCCTGCAGATATTTGGTTACGACCTCGGATCCCCAGACGCGTGTGTATGATCTGAAAACAATGGTCTGACACGCCGTGTATGATTGCCAAACTGTAACGTTAACTAACTAGGAGGCGGCCGCGGGGACTACGAGTCCGGGTGTTGCCAGGTTTTAAGATTTTACGCAAATTTGTTTAAAAAGGGTACTCGTATTTGTGTTGTACATGTTTCCCTCGTTGAAGAGGAAATTGTGGTGAAATCAAAATTATTCTTATTGTGTTATAACCCATATTGTAGTATGCATGATTCTGGATAGGCCATCCTGCAAAATTAGTTTATGTTACTTTTGTTAAGACACTACTTAACTACCAATACTTATGAATTCGTAATTCCATTACGAATTCTGAATGCTGGCCCTTTACTTGTATCAAAGTAGATTATTTCTGTACTGTGACATTGGTACGACTGATCAGAGTAGCCTACTTCTTTTCCCACCAATTTCATTTTTGGGTGAGAAATCAATAAAAGATTCCAGGTGGGAGTGTGTGAAATGTCTGTGACAAAAGGCTTGCCAATGGACTCCAAACTTGTTTTCCAATTCCGTCCCTTCTCAGCTCCCCATTTGAGCACAATTATCCCTCTGGTTGTCTGCTTTGATCATTTTCGCTTGACAGAAAGACCTAAATAAGGCCAGATTTGATTGATAATTTAAATAATGCAGCATGGAAGAACGATTTCAATTTACAAATAGAGGCATCAGTCTTTTCCATGAAAAGGGACCCTTTGCAAGACTGTGACTAAACATGACACAAGATTACACTTTAGGTCCTTATTGTTATAATATAATATCTAGCAGTTTATACTCCCATATAAGTGTGCGAAACAGCTCATTAAAGTTTGTACAACTCAGGACATGGCAACCCTAACCCGTCGCAGTATGCTGACGTCGGTCGACAGAAAACGACGTATCAAGCAATAGAAATATAGCAGGTAGATGCATCACCCCTTAATGGCTTTCAAGTGTTTTTATTTTTAGGCCCATCAAACTGTTTGCAGTTCCTGATGTCTCAAAATACAACACAAAGAGTGAATATATTCACAGTGTAGGAGCAGAGTTCATTTAAATATGTTTACAATCATGTGATGGTGACCAGAACATCAATATAAACACACATGAATTTGAGTCTGTGTGTGGGTTTTTTTCTCACCCTCATTAACATGCGTTAATAGTACAATTTAAATACTGTTTCAGAATAATTACCATAGTTCATCCAGCTAATTTACTTTCTATCTAACCTAACTCCTGCAGTGCCGCCGCCACCCAGCAGAGCGGATTGCCTGCCAAAAAGCACAGAATCATGGATCTTGTCAGTAAACCAAGAAGCAAGTCAGTCGTGTGGCTGTATTTTGGCTTTAAAGCTGACGATAAGGGACAACCTGTAAACTCGGGTGAGGTGATATGTCGTTTGTGCCGAAAAAAAGTACTTGCAAAAGGTGGAAATACCACGAATTTAAGAAGTCATCTCAAACGTCGACATCGTGCAGAGTTCTTCAAGAAGATTTCTTCGACGACCAGAGGTACACACATATCATCACTTTCCTTGCAATGATTGTGATTCCAAAGCGGTGGTGCATTACGTTGGCCTCTTTTGCTACTAGCGTTACTACATTCACCCACCTCCTTTATGCGATGCCATTGCCATTTGATTTTATAAAGTTGCATTTGGCTGTGAGCAACAACAAAAAAAGGACAAAAGGTAGCATCAGAAGTCATGGTTCTTTACAGAGGACAACGTGTAAACGTGCTGCGGTAAGTGTATCACTATCGCTATGAATGAACTAGCTATGGAGCGATGAACATTCATTTCCGACCATGCACCGAGATCGTCTCACACGCTCAAAGAGTAAATCGGTTACAGTCGTGCGTCGTGTGAGCAACAGCGACCGGCGAGTCGAAACAAGGGGGGGCTATTTCATGTCCGTTTCATTCAAACCAGTTTCTGCCCAGGTTACGGGTTTGGGTTCTATTTTGCAGCATTGCATTGCTATTCCCACATAAACATTCTTCTACGCATGCGCTAGAGGTGGAAGTCTGTTTTACGGCAGTATTGTTATTACTATAATTTCACCAAAAAAAAGTCACCAAAGTAACGTTAGCCTAATTGCGTTTGCAATGAACTGACAGTGACCGTTGGGAAAACATTTTAACACACAACTCATCATTTCGTGAAGAACATGTCTCCGTGGGGCCGTTTTTACGACATGTCGTAAAACATGTGTGTGTAGTGCAGTCAGAGTCGCCATCTTTGGTGTTTAGAAACGAAGCCATACGCCGCGAGACGCTGCGGTTTAACGTGATTTCACGGCTAAAGGGCGACGTGAGGCACTGCGCGGGGCGGACTGCCCCATCGCAGCAGCGTTAAGACCCTTCAAATGCGCAAAAAAACACGTGATAAAAAAACGTGTCCGGCCTAGTGGCCCTTCACTGGCCACCCGGACCAGCAGCATGTCCGCTGCTCTGTTGTTGTAAGGGAGGCAAAACAAAGATGGCAATAAACAACACGGGAAATAAACGAGGCTTCTGGGGAATGATACGACATCAGAATGGAAGCAAACATATTTAGGGCCGTGCAAGTTAACGCGTTATAAACACGTTGACGTAGCAATCCATTAACTCCCGACAGTGATGTGGTCATGAGTTAACAGCATGTTGTTGGGGGAGGGGCTTAACACCGCTGCACGCATTGCCGAGAAAATGGGGAAAGGCACGGCGGTTTTAAACGGACATTTCTATTTTAAATTCCTACCAAACGGCGTTTTCGACAGAAGCAAAGCCATCTGTTACCACTGCAAACTGGAATTTGCGTACCACCGGAGTACCACAAGTCTAAAGTACCACCTAAAGGCGCTGCACGGCGTGGACGCCAGCCTCCCGCCGGCAGACACGCAAACAACCATCGTAGCTAAACCTCGGAAGACGACGAACGCCGCCGCCGCTGCGTGCGGGAGAACCATCGACAAGCCAACGGGAGAAAGGCTAACGAATGCGCTGGCCGCGTGGATCGTGAAGGACTCCAGGCCGATTGACGCGGTGGAAGACGTCGGCCTGAGGAGGCTCCTCAGGATCGCGACGAACGACGGCGCGTACGAGCCTCCCACGAGACGCACGCTCGTCCGGAGGATACACAAGTTGTTGGAAACGGAGACGTCGACAAGCGCCGCGGCGTCGCAACACCTGCACCCGGAGAGAGGTTGTTTTATATCTCCAGTCGTCATATTGTTTAGCATAAGGGCGACGGGGGGTCGTAAATGATCCACGTGCGTCTTAGTAGCTGGCCTGGTGCAGAGGGGAACTGGAAAGTCGGAGGAATGGATGAAAGAGGGTTTAAAATTAAATTTAGCCATTGAGTTGTCTTTTCCTGATGTTCTCTAAAACAAATCAGTGAGCTTTACGGACCCCTGCGCAGTACATTTCAGCTGTGTTTTTTTTTTGGTGCTGGGCCACTTTACCTGACTACAAGTCTTACAACCTGTTCAAGAAAAAAACAACTCATGAACTGTATGTTAACTTAATTGCAATTGATCGCTGTTAATCACAGAAAAATAAAAAAATTGCGATTAAGTTATCGGATGTTATTATCTTTGTCCAGCATTATAAAATTCCTTAACTGTCTTCCATGTTTTCCTCTTTTTTTTTTGCCCCCCGCAGCTTTGGATTTTAACCATGATGAAATATCAGAGGACGGTCCTTTCCTTCAGAACGCCTCCAACACAAACTACGTCCCGGATGCGGTTTTGCCGCCGGGAGAGCCGTGGCTCCGCGGCGGCCCCTCGCGAGCGACTCTGTCGCTGCCCTCCTGCCTGTTCCTGTGTGGGGAGCCTGGGGCTGAGATGTCTGGTCCCGGGTTTTCTGGCGAAGAGCAGATGGGAGAGATGAAAGTGTACGCCAAGTGTCATCTACAGCAGGGCACCATGTTTGGGCCGTACGTAGGAGAAATGTGCAGAGGAAAAATGCCGACCGACCTCAAATACGCCTGGGCTGTAAGTTGACAGATCCGAGTAGACGAAAACATACAAACCTTATTTATTTTAATTACTCTAAACACATTTATATTCCACGTATAGTCCATCATTTAATTTTCTTGCAAGTGTCTTAATTCTATAAAGAATTATTCATAACAAATAAACATGGCTCCCATCTCCAGATCAGAGACGATGCTGCTTTTGTCTACGTTGATGCTTCTGATGAAAGCAAATCTAATTGGATGAGGTGGGCCGATGTTTTTTTTCAAAGTAGTTTCCTTTCTTGCTTGGGACGAATCGGAGCCCGTGTCTCTTTCCTGCTCACGTTTTCAAAACAATACACGTCTACTCTGCTTCAGGTATGTAACATACACCAGCCGGGAGGACGGACATAACCTGGTCATTTTCCAGTTCTACCGCCACATCTACTACAAGGTTTCCCAGCCCATTACGGAGGGAGGCGAGCTGAGGGTCTGTATCGGTAAAGATTATGCCACCTTGCTGGGCATCGAAATGGGTAAGTTCACTCACTCATCCATGCATGCGGTAGAAGCAAACTTTCGGATTCATATCAGCTGTTTTATTCCCACATTAATATTCAACTGACCGTAGATTTGTTTGTTTTTGACCCATGACATGCAGGTGACAATATGAAATGTGAAGTTGGAGACAAAGAGACATTCCTGAGCCTCCTGCACGACATCCAACTGGTCACCCTCCCCGAGCCCAGCGGCTCCTCGCTGTGGTCGGACCGCAGCCAATCGCAGAGCCCCAAGCTTATCATCAGCGACGTGACCACGGTGTCAGACGCAGCAAGTGACTCGGGCATTATGGCCGGCTCTGCCTTCCCCTCCCTGGTCTCCCCAGCGGGCTCTCAGTCATTCGACAAATATGATTTTATCCCCGGAACCGAGAAACTGCTGAGTAATCCGAACGCCACGCCGACCAGCCCGTGGTACTTTTTTGGGTTCGAGCCGGACCCCACCGGCCGGCCTCTAGACCGCGGCACTGCAGTGTGTAAGCTGTGCGTAGAACACGTGGGTTGTGGAGGAGGAGGAGCAGTGGATCTGCACAACCACCTGACCGGCAAGCACCACATCAGACTACCGCGCGACTGCATCAAGGATCGGACCTGCCTGCCAATAGGTAACTATTACTTTACACAAAGAGTACACTTGGTTAATGGGAATATCATTTGTTCCTTATGTGGCTGATGATGAGAGTAGATGGAAAGTCAGGGGAAGACGGATTGGGATCCACTCTGTGTGCACATTTTAGACGAGCAGTCACCAAAGGCAGAAAGACATGCTGAAGCTTGTGGACCAGGACTACGCTGCTCTAGTTCACAACTCCTGTGCAGACCCCAACAGCATGCTCCACCCAACAACAAAACTACATATCCTACAATATGTAAAGCACTGCTTTAAAACAATGTGAGCATGATGATAGAAAAAAAGGTCCCGTTTCGATGAGCCGTGTCCCCACATGCTCTGCATGAATGTGCTGAGAGGTTGTTTTCTGCCAGCTGGAGACTTGTCTTCAGTCAGTGACCAAAATTAACAAAATAATTGGTTATGGCAACCTTTTAGAATTGTACTATACAATAAGAACGACATCTTTGTAACGCTAAGACGCCATGCATACAAACACTAAAACATCCAATGCAAACACTCAAGAACCATTTCTACAAACAAAGCGGTGTGACCTGCTGTCGGCTGTAGTTAAACACTGACCGTGAGAATGCCTTTTCAAACCGCTCGTTTTTCCTTTTCACCAAAGGTCCGCAGCGCCCGCAGCCACTGATGGTCAACGGCAGTTTGGTCAGCACCCCCCCGCTGGTGCTCTCCACTCATGTGACCGATGCCATCGCCAACTTTCTCATCGCGGATCTCCAGCCGCCGGCTTTGGTGGAGGGCGACGGCTTCAAACAGCTGATCAACACCTTCCTGCCCTCCTGCAAGAAGCTGCCTTCACCGTGGCAGCTGGAGAACCTCCTGAAAAAACACCACACCAGAGGCAAGGCCAGCCTGGCTCTGCTGCTGAGGAGGAAGATGGGCGGTGGCAATAATGCAGACGCATCCGACCACACTGCTCCCGTGGAGTTTGAGTCCAGGAAACGCGGGCGGCCTCCCGGCCATCGCAGGGAAGTGCCTCACTTTGTCACGTTAAGTGTGGACGTGTGGGCGCACAACTGGCAGGGCGATACTGAGCGGTACCTCACCCTCTGGGCGCATTACATCGACCACGGCTTTAGTTTTCAAAACATGGCGCTGGCCACCCGAAGACTGACCGCAGGCGGCGATAAAGATTACAGCCCGCAAGCAGTGGAGGCTCAAGTGAAGGTGATGGCTAAGGAGTGGGGGATCTCCGTGCCAAATCTGGTCTTGCTGGGCGGGGAGGTCCGGAACAAGGCGAGACCGGGACCAGTTAAGCGAGGCAAAACCGGAGACGCTGCCGAGAGCGGCGCCCACCCGAACTCGACCAAGCTCCTCGAGAGGGAGGACGCCGCCTCGCCCGGGGAACCGCAAGGCGGGGAGCCCGGCGACGCGAGTCAACGACCGCCCGCCGTGCCGAGCTTCTTCAGCGCCGCGCAGGGCTGCATCGAGGAAGTGATCTCGCACTCTGTCGTCTCCAAGACCCTCGGTCAATTCCAGGGTGCTCTCGCCAACCTGTTCGAGCCGCCTGCTCCGGACAAAGGCTCGTATCAGCCCCACGCCCAGAGTCTGCTGCAGAGCCTGGAGAAGCGAGAACAGGCGGAGCTGAAGTCGTGGGCTCACAGCCGGCCAGCGTGGAACAAGCTGTACCCTCTGCTGAGCACGCTCATCAAACACAAGAGCCGTTTCTGCGATACGCTTGGCGAGATCAAAAGCGACGGCCTGCTTAAAGAAGACGCTGGTCCGGAATCTAGTCTGTCCGGCAGCTGCCAGGCCAAGTCCGCCTCGGCGGGCTTTGCCGCTCTGCGATCCGAGTGGAAGGTCGTGGAGGAGCTGTGTTCAGTCCTCAAACCTTTGGACGTGGCGTGTCGAACCCTCGCCAAGGAGGCCTTCCCCCGTCTGTCCCTGATCAAGCCCATTCTCACGGGCCTGCTCTCCCGCCACCTCGTGTCGCGGCCGGGAGATTCGTCCTCCATGCTGAAGGAGGTGAAGAGGATGATGAGGCGGAACTTGGCGAGCTGTTATGAAAACCCCGCCGTCAACCAAGTTCTGTGTGTTGCGTGCGCGCTCGACCCCCAGTTCCACGGACTGGGCTTCATGGAGGTCAAGGTGAGACTTCAAAGTTAAAGAACATGAAATATACCTGGTTAATTTAATGTAAAGGAAAACCACAAATCAACACAAGCGGTAATTCATAGTCACATTTGCAAGTTTGATCCGTAACATTTTACTAAAGGCAGTGTTTGAATGAGCCTCAATACAAGATGAGTTTTCTTTCCTTGCTTCTGTCCCTTTGTGATGAAACGTCATTGCTGGAAATTCTAATCCCGTTCACTTTTGAGGCAGAGTTCTTGATCTGTTGATCCAAATCCTTATTTGTAACAATACTGATCTCCCTCCCTAATCCTTAATCTCTGCACTAATAATGTGCAAAGTGAAGGAAGCTCACAATTGAGGCTTTTTTTCTGTGGTTGGCTTTCAGGAACGGAAAGCCACTTTTGATTCGCTGAAGAAAGAGGCTGTGAGGATTGTGAAGGAGGAAAGGAGGCGAAGTCAAGGTCATCGGCAGCGCAAGCGGAGCCCCTCACCTGGGTCAGCGGAGTCCGAGGACGACTTCATACGGAGGAGCAAACGCCTCAAAGACTCCCGGCCGATAAACTTCAGGGAGTTTGCCGATCTAGATGAAGATGAGGAAGCGGATGAAGATGAAGACGCTGACGTCGATGAAGAGAGCGACGCAGTGGAGAGCGATGACAGCGAGGGGGCCGATCCCGTCCCTCAGGGAGGACTCTCTGGAATGGAGTTCCTCCTGGGAGACCTGTTCTGCTCCGCCCCCAAGAGCAAGCAGAGCTCGGTGGAGGTCTCCGTAGACATGGAGCTGTCCGTCTTCAGAGCCGACAAGGGGGCTTCGCTGGGAGTGGAGCCCCTGCAGTGGTGGAGGACGAAGGCGGTGCAGCTGCCGCTGCTGGCCACGGTGGCCCGGGCCTACCTGGCTGCCCCGGCGGTGGCGGGTAGCGCTGCGCAGGACTTTGCGCAGGAGGAAGCGCTAGCGACGTACAGGAAGAGGGCCAACATTCCTCCAGAAAGTTTGGACCCCATCTTGTTTCTGCACCACAACCACATGGCCGCCGCTGAGAGCGGGCAAAAAGCAGCCAGACACCACGACACAATGTGTGGGATATAAAAGGTCCCTTTTGACACAAATGTCCTTCATTCTTCACCTGCGCTGAATTTAACCAGCTTGACTAACATTTATCTTGAATTCAAGAAAAGAAAGAACATGTCGTCCCGTGTCTAAGTTCTTTGAATTGACTTAACCTTTTTCTAGTATGTATGACGTGCCTTACTCTTTCTGGAAAATCATTTCTGAGAAGAATCTATTTAGAGTCTATAAACATGAATAATTCCTCCGTGGTTGCACTGTGGAAGGCTATTACCATGTGGTGTTTCTTTTCAGGCCATTTTTTATTTGTATGAGAAAGTATACGATGAAATACGACCCAAAGACTGAATATTAGCCTACTTAGTGCTACTTGATTTGAACATAAACTGCTGTTACGTTTTGGTTTTGAAGAGACGTTATTTTGTTGTTCCTGCTGTAATTCTGAAAGTAATTTGTTTTATTTTTCTAGTTTGACTCACCGGATGTAGAGTGTTGTGATGGCTACGTTTCAAAAGCTACCCTGTTGAAAATGTGCTAAGCAATGTCACTATTTGAATTACTTCATCAAGTAATTTTATTTTCTAGCGTAAACCCCACACATTACTCAGTACTTGACACTGGTTACTGTGAGCCCTTTAGCTGATAAGGACTTGAATTAAAAGTGTAACAGAGCTACAGCATAAATGTTGCATTTGATAGAAAAATGTTTTCACTGAAAATATTTGTTAACCCTTCCAAATCAATGATATTCTTTCATTGGTTTCATTTCTTACTTTTTCTCAGTAACGGATTTAGCATTATTACTTTTTTTCACTTGTCATAGTGTGATTCATTTTTTCCAGCAATTAGCTCAATGTCTGTATTGCTGTAGTAGAGTTGAAGTCTTCAGTCATATTTTATCTTCGTGCATAAAAACTGTCACATACTTAAATGTAAAATGAATCATAGATAAAAGACTGTTTAAACACGTTGCCAGGTTGAGTTGTACATTTCTTGCTGTACTTTGAATTCTTTAGACAAATATGCAGTCTGTTGCTCAGTTACTGCTCAAACAATAAAACAGTTATTTTGATAACACTTTTAATATTTCATTTGTATATTCAAAACATTTTGAGGAAATGTATTCAAAACATCTGTTCTAGCAAACATGAAAAACATTACTGTGTACAAAGTTGTACAGAATATTTGAGTTAGTAAGTAAAACCTCTGTCATTACTTTGCTTCAGCCTTTCAGCTGTTGGCAACGTCCTTCTGGGCGCTGTCCTCTCTTTTGCGGGCTGCTCTCCTGCAGTGTGTAAAGACGTAGGCGGGATGCATGAACCCCAGCAGACTGACGACAATCAGAGCCACGTCCACCTGTGACCGACCAAGTAACCGCTTTTCAGACATTAGTTTATTTGGCGTTACATGTAGACGTACGCAGCAGTGATACCCTTAAATAATTGTGTTCCACAAGAGGATTTGCTAGTCACCCGGTTTAGTTCTTCCAACTTTCTTGAGCACTTACGAAGAAGGGGTCTCCACCCAGTGCGCCTTTGACAAGGGTGAAACAAGGGTACTGCAGCAGAGAGACCAAAGCAGACATGGACATCACCAGGCCGTACAGCTTCCCAAAGTGACGCGCTGGAAAACTTGAGAGGGGGAGGGAGAGACGTTTCCACGGGTACTGTTAAAAGTTGACTTGAGTGGACTGAAAGACGATATATTTGTTTAACAACAAACAAGCCTCGGTAGTGAAGTCCACCCTTTCTGCAGGGGAGTCTTGTGAGGTGTCTTCTTCCACCAATTTTATCCGTCATCTCTGAGCATGAGTGTGTGTTTGCATCGGATCGCTACTCACGCAATGCTAATGAACGCTGCGTTTCCCCCGTAGAGGAAGGAGCGATTGAGGACCTGCAAAACGAAGGTGATGTACTGCAGAGGGAGGAGGGGGACGGAGGCGCACACGGAGAACAACAGGCACTGCAGGGAGGTCAGGAACAGAGACAGAGAGGAGGAGTTCAGGTCGGCCTCCTGCTCAGTTTCACCTAAAACAGCGAAAGTGGGTTGAAAAAGAATGAAACACGCAGACACATAGACACACGTGCAGTTACAACACCACATGTGTATTTACCAGGAGCCAAAGGCTTTCCCTTGTGTCTGTCCATGATGAGTCCGTTCCAGGGAGCACATAGCACTCCACACAGCTGGGTAATGGCAAAAGCATTGGTGTACTGACTCACTGGCGGGAAACGGCCACAGAGAGTCAGCAAAAAAAGAAAAACAATGAAGATGATAAAGAGAATAGGGAGTTGAGTTTGTCATTTAATCCATGATCGACACATTCAAAGGACAGTGACTTTTATGATGTGTGCTGACGATGAGTTACCCAGGTCGGGGTCGTTGTCGGCCAGCCGGTTGAGCATGGGGTTGAGCGTGCCGATGAAGAGGTAGTGCCTCAGCTGTATTATGGACAACCACAATAGGTGCCACAGGAAGAACCACGACAGCACACAGCTCCGGAAACTCGCCTCTGCACATGTGGACATTTACAGAAAAATTAAAGCATGTGCAACTCATTGAAAGGTGCTTTAAAGTGTAACGCATTTACTTGTATTTGCTCGTGATCTTTGAAAGAGGTAAAAGGAATACTACATTCATAAGCAGCCATTGGCTCATTGAACTCCACAACTGAAATGACCAAGCTACTAATTAATTTGCTAAGATGTGCTGATTTACTAGATTAAAACTCGTCCATTTTTTCAGAATGTTGGCCATGATATAAAAAGAAAATATGACATGCATTAGGTCTAAAATACGTATTTGTTCTGAAATGGTTAGTTGGGCTTATTTCCATTGCAGCTGAAAAAAACTATTGTACCAGAAGCCTGAAAGTCTTAATATTCCAAAATTGTCTTTTGACTACAGGATGTGTGTGTCTGGGTGTGTGGGCTATGCAATGATTTTTATGCAGTTTTATTTATTAACTATGGTGTCTACACCTTACAACGACACTTGGTACCTTGTGTCCCGTCCTGACGTGCTGCCGGCACATCGTCCCTCCCACTGGACTCCTGTAAGCTTGTCATCGCACCATCCCTCGTCCCCTCAAAACGCTCCACATTGTAAGAGTTGGATTTTCCGCAGTTCAACCTGTACATCCGGAAAAGTGAATGTCACGTCAAGTCCCAAGTGTTGTGCAGGACGTTTAAAGAAGGAGCTAATGTTCTCACCCGTAGGTGTAGTGCTGGGGCGGAGTGTAGGGGATGTAAGTTCTCGGCATCAGCAGGAAGGTCCTCGCCAGATGTAAAGCGCTGCAGAAGGACACAACAAGGAGGGAGGAGCGAAGAGAGATTCCTTGTTCATGCAGAACCTGGACAGCAGAAAGAAAACTGGCTAAAATTCTAGAAAACGGTAAGGCAATTCTGTAGAGGTCGAGAACGCAATTATCATAATGTCTTCACTTTCACCTTAATGATTAGAAACACACAAGCAGAGGAGTCAAAGGCACCATTGTAGAGGGTGATGACAGTGGAGCGATGAGCAGCGAACAGGTTTCCCACCTTCCCAAAACACAGAGACAGCAATAATGGGTAAGTGTCAATGGACAGTTGAAAGGTGCATCGTTGATTTTGGGCATGTTTTTATAATGAGTCAGAATTCACCTGCATGTTGGTCAAAAGGAGCAGGATTCCTCCCACGGCGATGAATGACAAGGCAGGGAAAAGTAGCTCTGAAAAAGCTTTGTGACAGTGAAGGACGGGTTAAGAAAGACGAGTTCCCTTGATCGGGAATCAGGAATTAAGTGCGAATGACATGTTTGGGGAGTGAGAATTGGAGTTCCATGATCTGGCTTCAAGAGTTTTCTAGCTGAAGGATTTAGGAATGAAGTCTACCTTATTTTAAACCCATTGGAATAACATTGACTTTGAGTATCATGAGTACAAATAGGGAATTTTTAGTTTTCAGTAGTCCGCAGCATTTTTAATTAAACAAAACAAAGCAGAGGAACTGGACCAGTGATAAAAACAATAACCAGTCAGCCAGCACTCTGGAAACACTTTTATGCATGAATTAAGACAACCTCAGTCAGGAAGTGTTTTATTGCTTTGTCCACTGTAGTGACCTGCATTGAATTATTGAAGTATGCAAAGGCTAAATTGTGTGCATCTACCTGCACTGCTGAATGCCAGAAGAAGGGTTCCAGTGGTGTACAAACATCTGGAGAGATAAATATGAATACACACACTCAGACACCTGAAGCTGATGGCTATTTTAAACTTCAAACAAAGAATACAGTTGTAAATGTTACATTACATTACATTACATTACATTACAGGTCATTTAGCAGACGCTTTTATCCAAAGCGACTTACATTACACTTTAAACCCACGGCTTTTTCACAGTTTTGCCTGGGGAGCAATTAGGGGTTAGGTGTCTTGCTCAGGGACACTTAACACACAAATGTTAAAACAATGATAACTCTAATTATATGATATATATATTATTATACATGCATATATCTAAATAGTGCATGCCTGTTTAGAACTTATGTTTGTACAAAACAACTTTACTCTCAGCAATGTATTTCCACGGGTCCCTAAACTCTGTACTGCTATTTTTTTGGAAAACACTGAAAGACATTTACTTCACATAGAAATGCAACTGGTTAGGTTACATTACATTACATGTCATTTAGCTGACGCTAACCACAGGGAAACAAACTCAAGAAACAAGAAAGTGCAATTTCATCAAATAATTTCCAATTTGGTATAGATGAGTGGCGTTACAAGTACAATTTAAGTGCTACAATTTGTTAGTCTTTTAGTGGAGGTAGAGTCTGAAGAGGTGTGTCTTTAGTTTGCGGCTAAGATGTGAAGGCTCTCTGTTGCAACATATAACAATAAGAATATGATGCAATATGATTTGTTAATTGCATTTAAGTATGGAGCTGATAATGCCTCTCTTTTAACATTTGATTGCATGACTTTTTAAAGATGTCTTGAAGCTCCACCCACACTGCTTCCTGGCCGGACTGTTTGTGTCCAGAGTACTCCACATTTAGCAAAGCACTCCACTGGGAATGTAGTGTGAAGTAGATAAGATGAGTGGCCCTTGAGACCTATTTAGACTTGGGTATTAAATCTAACTGCCGTCAGACAAAAATAACAATGAGGCCTTGTGTGAGTTTCAGATTTAATAAATTAAGAGGTAGGTTGGCTTTGCACTTTAACCCGATTAGCCCTAACACCTACTCTCAGCAAAGCATTCACATGCAATGTGGGCAATAAACAGGTATCCTCAATTGCCAATGTGTCTTACAAAAGCTCCAGAAATAAAGAAACCTTACTGACCCAGAAGAGTGAGGACACCATATTGGCCCCATGTTGTATGCTACAACAATATAGGGGCCGAATATTTCACATTAGGCCTAAGTGACTAATATGAACTCCATATACTGACAATGCAAGTACGTAGTGACTCACATTCCCAGCAGCCTGGTTACCATGGTGCCAAATCGATCAAACAGGTAGCCATTGATCAGGTTCAGGAAGTTATTGAGGAACGCAGCGACGGTAAAGACCAGAGAGAACTGCTCGTCCTGTCTACTACAGTCTGTAAGAAACGGAAACACACGAGACGGCTTGGAATAATGGAATTTTGAGCAACTGCATGGAGAACACCAAAATGTACAGAATAAATAGTGGAATTAATTTCCTCAGAGATTGATGATGATGTTGATTTGTGTCGGCTGGATGTGCATGAATAAATTATTTTTTAGCAACACTCACTACAGACGCGGGGTGTGACTCTCATTGTACTTTGAAGCTTTTATGCCACCAAGCAGCAACAAATCTATTCAGTTTATATTTAATTCACAGTACCGTTTTAACTTTTTTGCTCCAGTTCAATCATGTGTTTTCCTTTGCTCACCCAAGATGGGCCCGGTGCTGTTGGTGACCGGGTCACTGACGCACAGCTGACTGAAGTATCCGTCCTCCTTCAGCACAAACACCAGAGAGGCGTAGCCAAAGAGCACGCCGGCAAAGCACAGACACTCCAGCACCCCCGTGGCCAGAGTCAGCCTGTAGCGCAGCCCGGCACCAAGCCAGTCGTACCTCTGCATGCTTCACTCCCTTTCCTCCAGCTCGCCAGCAGTTTGACTTTCAGTGGGAATCTAGTCCTTAGAGAGAGACGTTCCTCCAATTCCAGCAGACTTTCAGGGGGTTTTCAGGTTTCGGGTTGAAGGTCTCCGCTGGATGAAAGTTTCTAAGAAACAGAACAAAAAAAACAGGTATGTTTCATCTCTCCGATGTAAGACGTGTATCCTGACTGCATGAAGGATCATTTCTTAAAACTTCCGAGTTACTTGTGTCATGGTCTGCAGGTTTCTTCTGGCCCTGTGGACAGGCATCAAAGGCCTTTTAAAAAACGTCAAATCCACCTGCAGGCGGATCTATTAGTCTGTCCTGCTCATTATTGATTCTCTTTCTGGTTCTCTTTTGCCAAAATGCTGCCTGTGTATATGTATGTATGTAGAAGCTTTAAGCATTTCTACCCAAATGTCTTCTGACAATATTACATATTCTGGGAAATTGCACTATAAATTAAGAGCTGCATTCACTATGCAAAATAGAACGTATAGAAGTTTAACTTTGGATAATTCTCCTAATTTATACCATAAAAATATTTTATTTTCTGTACAAAGGTAGTGAGAGAGGTCCTTCACACATGTACATCAGTCATTGTGTGGAATAATCGAGAAAACTGCTTCTAGGACCAAAAGATATTAAGATATTTTTTCATTTGTTTACTGTAAATGTCAGCATACAGATTCACTAAAATGTGTGCGTCTGCTGAGTTGACCCCGTTAAGAAATCAGAGTGTCTGATGAGTTGACCGCAGTCCCCAGGTGGGGTTGAACGTTAATCCAGATTAGTTAGCGTTAACTTAATCCTGTGTGTTCTGACACACATGGCGCAATGTGGAAACCAATTCGCTGGTCAAATTCAACATTGATGCTCACTTCTTAGCTTGGATTTTTTTAGAAACACGCTAAATATTGAAACAATTACTTACTAACTGTATTTACTGTTCTACTGTAAATATCCAATATAAGCATTGCATGTAATGCAATATAAGCAATACATGCATGTGTGCAAACAGTAAACGGATTCATTGTTGTCTTGTATATACCAATTGCATTTACTTGTAAGGATACATGACTAGACCATTTACCAAACCAAACTCATAATATTCAACTATGAATTCATTTAATTTAATACAAACGTTTTAGACAAAAACAGTTAGTAAAATATGCATACATTTAAAACCCATAGCTATTCTTGTACTGAATAAACTCACCCCAGGCTTGGGACAAAAACCTGCCACCAACACGTTGAGCTGTATAAATGTTGAATATTTACCTTCTAATTTGCTACAGTCCGTCTGTGCAGGAGCATCGATGCACTTTGCACCGAGGCAAATACGCAAAGCTGCTCACTGCAAATATCTCTCGCTATTTATCCGTCTGTCTGTTTCAGAGACTAATGGGTAATGGGCTGTTATATAGGCAGTAATTCTCAGTAACAGCTGTTTTTTGGTTGAGGATCATAGAATACTCTGGTAACTTTCTATGATAATATAATATAATAACTTTTTAATCACTACTAAGTTGGAAATTGGTAGTTGATTAAACTCTTGTTAAGTTACTTTTCTGTTAGTAAACAATATAAAAACTAACAAAGTTGACTGTTATTTGATGATTTGCTCAATAATGATGTTAAATAATTTGTCCTTAGCTGATAGGGGATGACAATAATTACATCAGAATATATTTATTATTTTATTTTATTACGACACGCTTAGCCTGCATTTACACATATTTGTTTCAAGATTCAAACAAAAACAAATCTAAATTAAATGTATTCATTACATGGGCTGGGCTTAAAGGGCTGGTATACTATTCAAATAATATACCAGCCCTTTATGATACATCAACTAAAACCTGCAAATGCTTGCACTGATATTTGAGGGTTTCTTCCCTTTCTAATTGGCCACTCTGAATAAAGTCCACTTTTTTATACCAATCTCCTCTTATTCTGTTTTTCTGTTTGGCCAGCGTTTTGCAGTAGAGCCTGACGCAGACAGGAAGAACAAAGTCAAGCTGGGACACTCACAATTACCTATGGCAATGACACAGAGAAATGTCAGAAGGGGTAAAAGAGACGACCTTACTGAACAGGCCTCAAGCAAGTCTGAGTAAAGACTGAGGAGCTGGTGCTGAATGAAATGTTGGATTGCAAACTGGCAAGCAGTACAATCTGCACCACCATTCCTGACATCTTCCCAAAATGAGACATTGGGAAGCTAAAGGAAAGATTAAACTGTCACAGTGAGAGTGAAAGGAGCAGCCGATTGATGGATAAGATATCGTTTGCTGAATTTGATATAGTCAATATGTTTTGGGATTGTGAAGGTACACAATGCTGACTTGGTGACCTCAGTAAAAGAATGAAAACATTTGTGATAGAAGCGAGATGTTGCAGAGAAATGACAGGACAAGTGAAACACACACAGAAGAGAAAGCACTGCAGGTGAAGTACAGTTATAAAGAATATTTTCCACCAGGACACAGTCTCCAATATAAACGTAAGTACAACGGGTGCATTGATTGTTATCCTGTGTTGTAGCAGCAGTGAATGACCACATGAAGGCAGCAGGTGGCCTCTTTCATTTTAGAGGATATTTCCATAAGGATAAATAAATGGAGGCTGAGAAAAAGAAGCTCTGTATGAAACCGAGTAGTTAATTATACTATTCACTTTGTAAAATGTATTGTATTTAATAGCATAGTATTTAAAGTATAGATGGTATAATTTACACCAGCTCCGTGTGTGCCACTTTAATGACACACATTCAATCATTACAATGAGAAAGTTTCTCAAGATAATAATTTAGTTACTCATAATAATGGCTTGGAATCTTGGTACCCCATAACATATAAGCATAAAATATAGATTATTTATCATAATTATTAGAGCGAAATTGTATTATAATACAATATGTATATGAGTTATTAAAAACGATTTCATAACATTGATGAAAAGACTAAATGTAAATGCACTGTTATGTGCAGTAACCTACAACACCCAGATAAAAACAGTTAGTGGATTTTGAAAAAAGTCATTTGAAAAACGCCCCCTCGTGCTACTCTGTTCCCGTCCACGCCGCCCGCCCGCAGAGCCCCCCCCCCCCCCCCCCTTTTCCCCCAGCGGACAGGAAGAGCAGCGGCGAGTGAACAACAAGCCTAGGAGAGGAGCGACAGCAAGCAGCGTAGGTTGGTGTTTTCTTCGCCGTCCCCTCGCAGGGCTCTTGCCCCGCCGGGGCCGCGTTAGTTTTTTGTTTTGTTTTTGTCGGGGGCTCCCGAGGCTTTGGGCTCCGCCGCGACGGTGTTTTCGTTGTCTCGTCTCAACTCTCTTCTTCTCTCCGGTTCCCCGGATCGTGTCAGCGCAGCGGCGCCACCCTCCTCCACCTCCACCCCCCCCCACACACACACACCCCACACCGGCTGGGCTAGGCCCGAATCCAACCTCGCACGGCACGTATGGACCTTTGGAAAATAACAGCCTAACACCCTCCAGAGTCGGTAATGTGCGGTCTTTCTGTGTTTTCGTGCTCGGTGCGGGGGGGTCGGGGGTTTGCTGCCGGCGGGGGTGGGTGGGGGGGGAGAAAAAAAAAAAATTTTTCCCCCCTTTTTGGTTTTTGGGGGAACTGGGGGGTGTTTTACCCCAGCGTTTACCAGGGCAGTTTAAAAGGGCGCAAGTTAATTTTGGTTAACCGAGGTGTTCCCCCTTGTGCTTGCCCTGATGGCCCATTTTTTTCAAGTGAGAAGCCGGGGAGGGAAACCGGTGGCGGTACGTGTCGTCCCAGCAGGTGGATACCGGGACGAGCCGTGTAACGTTTGCTAACAAAGCAGTTTATTACATAAATGGTCTGTTTTGAGGGCGGCTGGTATGACGTTATGACCTTAACTTATCTTTGCAGCCCTCCTCCCCGTGTCCATTAACGTATCCATGAACAGGCGTGAGTCACACGGAAGTGACCGGCCGGCCCGCCGCGTCGCAGGGCGCAGGTGAGGGGTCAAAGTCCGGGCTTATCGGTTTCCTATTGTGTAGTGTACCTGCGACGCCCACTCTCCGCGGACCGTGAGGCTGCGGGGCGCCGGCAGGTGAGCTCGCGTGACGTAGTGTGTCTTTGGGGGGGAAGGTTGCCTTTTTAGACTTTTGTTTAAAAAAGTGTGTGAAAGTCTACTGTGAAAACCTCCCCACTGTTCATTGTTGTCATTGTGCAGCTGTTTTTTGATGTGGTCTGCCAGGTAGAGGATGGAGGCAGGAGTGGGTGGGGGGGAAGAACCTGTTGTGTGGGTCTGTGTGGGTGTGTGCGTGTGTGTGTGGGTGTGGTGAGGCGGCGGCCATGTTTGTTGCCTGTTATTCAGTCCCCTTGTGAAGAGGCTTCCTACTCGGGCACCTTTCTTGATTTACTGTTCTTCAGTGAACGGATTCCTCAGATGGACCTGGCTGCATTAGTGGATCTCACCTTGGAGTAAGCTTGCTTCTCTTAGTCTGCAGCCCTTCCTTATTTTGTGTGTGTGTGTGTGTGTGTGTGTGTGTCGCTCTACAACAACATGCACACCAGCCTGAGATGTGGCTCCCTGAAGTAACTGAATTGCTGATTTGCAGTGGGTACGGTCAGCTGTGAGTTTCAGTGCATGGCCGTCTGTATTCCTCTGAATGCCCTTCGGGCGTGTCGGCTTCGGCCTGCTTGAACACAGATGGGAAAAGATTGGGAGCAAGTGTGGACATGCAGCCTTCTCAGGTGTTGTTTCTGTTTTTAAAAAATGTAATACACGGAGGAGCAAAAATCTGAAGTTGGCCGTTTATTTTGCTGCCTAGAGGATCGGTTCCGAGCCGTCTTGTCTGTGGGGGCCGGAGTCTTGATGCTAATTCAGTTGTTTTAAAGCAGGGCTATCATTTGTGAGGCTGTGTAATGACGGGCTTTCAGAGCGCACTGTGGGTGTGTCCCTCTCGACACACAGAAGCTCTGGGTTTTCTTATATCTGCTTCTCCTCCCTGTCTGTTCTCTCTCTCTCTCCCTCCCTTCCGCTCTCTACTTTCAATGTTTGCACTGTGTTTTAAAAAAAAAAAATGTTTTTATTTGAACGCTGCCCTTCTATGCGGTGGAAGTCATGTGAGATTGTATCAACGGCGCAAAATCAAAGTTCACAGATTGTTAAAGCCGTGGTGTGGAAACTGTCGAATAGCTTTTCTCCGTGGTGCTGATTAACTTCTTGGAAAGAATTGAGTGTCCAATAGCACTTTTATGGTCCTCACTGCCTCGTTCACTTCCTTGTTAAGTTGTAGTCACCAAAGGTAAATCTTTAACCAGCCACTGAATGTTGGTTTTTACTTAGTTTGAGGCCATTTCTTTGATTAGGCTATCAACCAGATATATTCAATGTTTGTCAAGTTTTTACCTGTGTTTTGAAATTTTAATGTATTACCAAAATTCTGCATTTTCATCCAATTGATGAAGCTTTATTTAATTTCTTTTGAGTAGATAATGTAATTGCCTCAATGTAGAGATAGCCTATGTTGATAGAATTCAATATGGTGAAATCTTACAGACAATACACCAACAATTGTTGGCTTCCAGTATGATAATGTTAGTTTATGGCATATAAACTTTTGATTAACCCTGGTTACATTTGGCATATTGTGATGTACCAGTGAATCGATTTGGGAAAAATACATCAAATTATGGCACTGATTTTAATGATTTCATTTATCTCAGAAACAAACCCTTATGTTTTCATTATGAAATTAATTATCAATTTCAGCCTTTTTATGATACAACAACTAGATGCTAGTTGGAATTATTTTGTAATGTGGCCAAGAACGTTTCATTTACATTTCATCTTTCCAGGACAGCACTTTTTTTTATCAATTTACTATAATCCAGCTTCCTATTATATCTCCATCTGGGTAAACGTATAGTTGAATTTATTTTTTGGGGAGTGTTTCAGGCTCAATGAATTACAGCCGTTTGAACATTTCCTTCCTCACTCAAAATAGTTAGTGTCCTTTTAGATTCAAGTGAGGACGGCGTGTTAGTGTTTGGATGTGGGCCAATGCTAACACACACACACACACACACACACAGGCCAACTCTCCGTGTGACCATTCAAATGAGGCTGAGTCAGCGTAGCACTTAGCCAAGCCACAACAGCATTTTACCATAGCTTCACCTCAGCAATGTGTGTGTGCGCACTGGTACAGAGTGCATGTCCGCCTGGCTCAACCACAAAGTGACCATAGTTTCTGAAATAGCATTGATAAAATATGAGACTGGAGGGATGCACAGCGTCAATGCTCAGCGGACTCTGGGCGGCCGATAGTAAAAGTTTCTGCGAGTGTTCCTCACAAAGTGTTCAGTGAGTGCTGATAGTTTGTGTACATCCGCAGGGGCTCAGGGTGGCCAGTGCCTTAGCGATGTCGTTCCTGGGCTTTCCCCATTAGCAGATGCAATTTAGCGTAGCTGCTAAGGGCCTTACAATAGATTAAGGCCTAATGGCCGGGCTTTAAGTGGCTAAATCCATTTAAAGCTCTCTCGCAAGCAACTACTCCAGTCCAGGGCTGTCAACGAATATTCTATATTCAAATAGTTGTTAAAATGTTAGTTAATTTACTTATTTTTGTGTAGGTAATATGTTGTTAAATAGGTTTAAACTTAAATAAATTACCTATACAAGTAGTTATGTCTCATTGTATTCATCTGTCCTGCTATTGACGTGTTTATTGTGGAACCAGATATTCAAATATATTTGTTTTTTTAAAGCGAATATTCGAACGTCATTTTTGAGCGATTTTGACAGCCCTACTCCAATCCACATAAATGTTAGTGTTGGCTAGGGGTGGGAATCTCTTGGCACCTCACGATTTGATTCCGATTCCGAGGTCAACGATTCGATTCTAAACTGATAAAACGATTATCGATGCATCTCAATTTTCTCAAATCTGAGTTTGCTACTCAGAGGTTGCTAATCACTTCCTACTTTATTTGATAATTAAAGAAATCAACAGATGAATTACCTTCTCAAATTTTTTTATAAGAGAAAAAAATATCTTTGTCACAAATATGATTTTCTATCAACAACTTTCAATACGGATCGACTTTTTGGAAAATCAAAATAATGAGGTAAGATGTGCGCAGGCTCCTCCATAGTTCGGTAAAGTTGGCAAGATATTCAGATTCAGACTGACGGACCGGTCTGCGAGCTGGACGCATTGCTCTTAATGTGCCGGTAATGATGGTAAATTATGGTTATAGCTGATTGTCATCCACAGTCCACTACGGTTACCGAAGGGGGGCGTTTGTTTTTTGACAACGTTTTATCTCATAATTTCGAACTTTTTATCCCCTTACATTAGTGCGGAAATGGGCTTCTATAGTTGTGTGAATGCATCACTCCAGCCAATCCAAAGACGGGGTTTGTAACCAATCAGGTGTAGAGACCATGGTGACTGGCTCCGCCCCCTTACTGTCAAAAAGAAAAACAGCGAGCTCGTAGAAAACACCTTCGAGCGCGAGCAGAGACTAACCTCGCGAGCGAGGAAGTTCACGCTCCGCGAGCGGGCAAATATCTCGCACGAGACACTTTTAAAATTTTTTTTAAATTCCGATTATGAACTTTTCGGAATCAAGACCGAATCGTTCTAGAGAGAATCGAGAGAAATCAATTTTTTTCCCCCACCCCTACTGTTAGCGGTAGAGTTTGTGTGAGTTTGTCTGTCTGCTGCATACGAGGCCCTCTCCCTATATGCTCTAAATGAAGAGCCACACGGAACAGCCCGTGCTGTGGTCTGTCCATGTATCGGACATTTTTCTTTTTGAGTTTGATTTCTCGGCAGAGAGATCTGTCGTTGTTGAGTAAAGTCAAGGTTTCAATTCAAGTCAAAGTGGGTGCTCAGCTTTACACAGTGGTTCCATATACTCTATGCACTATCATTCGTGAACACTCCTCTAGAGGAGCACTTTCCTTCTGTGGTCAGACGCCCTGATTGGATGAGAGAAAGTAATGGGGCCGCACACTGTCTGTCCAGGAGAGTGAAGTGCTCCCTTATTAGGACAGTTTTTAACAGCTGAGACAGGATATGACACGCTACATCTCACTATGGAATGTATGACAATGGCGGTGGCATGTGTGTGTGTGTCTGTCTGAGCGGCTCATGAGTGTTTCTGTCAACAAACGTGTCTCACCGACACAGTGTAAGGAAACATGGCCGTGCTGGTAATTGTGCCGTTCGTGCACACTCAGACTTCCTGCAGGAGTGTTTGTTCACTCAGCCAATCCAGTGGATTTAATCTCCCCGTGTTGGTGAACTTTGGAGTAGCAAATGTTCTTTTTGAGATTAGCCACGCCCATGTCATCCGGTTATTACACAGACACCGTCGAGTTAGTCTTCCTCATATCCTCACTTACCGGCAGGCGTCCCTGCTGAGGGGGTGTGAGAAAAGACACGTTGTCAATGGTCAAATTTTGGCCGAGTGACGTTATTATCATTCCTCTGTAATTTCATCGAAGATCATCTGCATGTGCTTGAGCTGCTTTTTCTTTCGAAAGTCTTGGCTGACATATTGGCAATTTAAAACCCAACTGTTCCACTTAATTTCTTTGCTGTTTTACTTCCTTATTCTTGGAACGCAGTGCTCTGTATTTCTGCACAATTGATCATTGGTATTTGTGAGGGTCAATTGTGTCCATAGTTTGAATCTGCTTTCAGTCTTCGAGATCGTAGCACGAAGGTCATGGAGAAATGGTGCCTGTCATAGAAGGCATGAAAAAGGAAAGTGCCTCCACTGCAACATGAAGAGTTAGACGTGTGCTTTGTGGCATAACATGTTTTTCACTTCACAACAGCTCTGGATTTTCAAATTCAGTGTAACCTGATTGCACGATACCATCTCTCGACTCATCTGAATGCCCCCACACCTGCTCCCGCCATCCTTCTTCTTCTCCACTTCCCCTGCATCCTTGGAGCGAAGAAGCGCTAACGAGCTGCACACGCTTGTAAACGGGCCGTGATCATCCCCCTTCATGTTTCTCACCTGCTCCCTATTTTTAACCTCGCATAGCAGAAGGTGAGGAAACACGCTGACGCCTTCCTGCTCTCACCTCCAGTTGGCTTCCGTTCCCTCCTCAGCTGATGCCGGTCCCATCTTGAAGTTAAACTGGATAACCACTCTTGCCGATGAGCTCTCTCTTTGTCCCTGCTGTTCATGCTCACTCTTCTTGTTCTGACTACTCACATTTGTTCTTACACCCTGATTCTTCATCTCACCCATCTCTCTTTCCTCTTCATCTTCCCAGCTTTTTGCTCTTGCGTCGGATCCTTCGGCTTCGAACCTCTGAATGTGATCATCGTTCGCACTTCATTGCTGTGCCTTCCCAGATTGTGCACAGTGCCTGGGGCACTTCTGTCTCTGTGCCTGGGGGTTTCAGCCTTGCTCTACGCCTGTACTTTGAATCCCGGTGTTGGTTGAATCTACTCTGCTCTCTGGTGTTGACCTTTTCCTGTCCTGTCTTGTCCTTTCCTGTTCCTGTCCTGCTCTGCTCTCAGCGAGTGAATGGAGCAGTGTGCGAGTACGGCCTCCCTGCTGGCCTCGGTGCGGGAGCAGGAGAGGCAGTTTGAGATGCTGAGCCGAGCTCTGGAGGAGGAGCGGAGGTCGTGTGCCGGCACCCTGCCCCGCCCCCTCCCCAACATGCAGGTAACACGGAACAAACCCCATTCACCTTTCACCTAACCTCATCCACATTCAAAAAAAGTCCTTTGGATTCACCTTTTTTTGATCTCGGCGAGTCCATCCAAATCCATCTCCATGGTAACCCTCATCCCATCTGTGTGGACCGGCTGGATGGCAGCAGAATCCAAAACAAATCGGTTGCAAAAACATCCTCCGCTGGAGTCTTGGAAGTCCACTTGAATGTTTGGAACAAAGGAAGTAACTCCCAAATAGTCTTCTTGAGGAGGTCATTGGCAGCCTCTGCCTATTTTCTTAGAAGTCCTCTCATCATCACCATCATCATCATCGTAGTATTCCTCCATCAATCAAGCTTAACCACCGTGTAACCATCATGTTTTGCCTTGACTTGTACATTGTTTGCATGAAGATGTCTCGCTTGGCATAATGTTCTTAAAGAGTTTGCTCATGTAGCTGCAGTATCTCAGCCAACTGGTTTATTGTGTTATTTATTTTTTGGTATTACGAAGACGTCCCTCTGCTGTTTTTTCAGTGGGGCATAGTCCATTAGATTGGACAAAGGTGTCCAGTGTCCTCAGCTGTGAATTCTTGGGAACCAACCTGGTTACTGAGTCTGTTTCATAGCTGAAGTGTGTTGTGCTGTTTGCTTACACGCCGTCTTCATCATCTCTGGGTCTGTTATGTGGCTGCAGAGGGACTTCACGCTCTGAACGTGATCTGCGGTCCCACCAGCTCTCGCACGTTCTTTTGCTTCACTACTGACAGTCATTGGCATGTGTGAGTGAACTAGCGTGTGCGCGCACACACAAACACACCTTTGTCCCTGAGGCAACCTTTGAAACGCGCTCTCATAAAGGAGCAGGCCTCTTTCACTCGGTCACTTTCTCTCATTCGTTTGTCGCGCCTGCATGCGTCCTCCAGCTCACATTCCAGTCTCTGGTATTTCTTGTGGCAGATAAGGAGCAGAATTATTGGTAATGTGTTTGTGTTTAATGAGAACGGGACAGAAATGTAGCCTGTGCTAGTTCTTATCTCTGGTGTGTGTGTGTGTTTACATAGCCCAAAGGCTTCGGCATGCCTCGGCTACTCTCCCAGGCCGCGCAAACCTGTCCGTAGTCTCTACTGACAGGTTCCCACATGCTCACATCTGCCCTATTCTCTTTGACATAGTCGTTGTATGAATTAAAGTCCTTATCTGAACTAAAGTGTGTTCATAAAGTCTTGTTTATTTGACCTGGGCACAGTGGCACTTAAAAAGGTTGTCATTGTTTGTATTTATTCCAGATTAAAAAGAATTGTCTAATATACAATTTTCTGTCAGCATGCTGTTTCCCAACTGTTTCCCATCTCCAAATCAATGTTGGGAAATCCTCTCCCGCGGTTGGGCCCCCTTGGCCCCCATTGTAGTGGAGAGATACAAACAGCTCCCCCTGTGGCTGGAATGAGAAGCGCACCACACCCATCACCACTCCTAGACCAACTCTGGTGGTGCCGACTCAAGTGTCTCTCCGTGGATCATTATTCATTTAATTACTCATTATTCAATATTTTAATCTCCACAGTTTAGTCTAACATTTAAAGTGTTTTGTTTTTGGTGTATTCAGATGTTTGTGTTTAAAGGGGAAGATTGTTGACATTAAAGCCTTACTTGGTGTTCATGCAGTGTAAATTGTTACTTGTCATCTAGACCGCAAGCGTGTCAGGATGCGTTTTCCCCTCGCACGTCTCAAGCAACTCCTGTGCATGTTCGACTAGTTGCAACCCTCGTAAAGGAACCCATTAAGAATAAACTAAGCATATTTTTTATTTAGTTTTGCAGTATGTTCATACTATGAGCCACAAATCGGCAGGCTATGAAACATTTTCTCCACCGTGATTTTATAATAATAATAATTACGTCAGCATCAGGAACACTTCAGCAGCTGGCCACTCTGTTTTTTTGTTGCTTTTGCCGCATGGACATAGCATGACAGTCCTTCTTTCCTCCCTGCAGAACGGACGCATTCCTTGTGATGCAGACATAGAGAGGCTGACGCTGAACGAGGGTTACGTCAACGGGACACATCATGTAAGCCTTGAAACCTTTCAGCTCTTTAACTCTTAAGATGTTCAACCCTAACCTAATGATGTTACACTTAGATATAAATAAGTAATAGGGATCCGTTATCGATAACAGAGAATAATCAATTTTAAGACAGTTGATGCCACTTGGTTTCCTTCCGGTGTGCGTTCACCCCTGACACAGTTAGTCAGACAGGAGAGGCCGACACCGTAGTCGATGATGGAGACTTTGCATTGGCAGTAAAAATACACTCTAAAGTGAATACTTGGTAATTTATAAGATTTAGTCTATTGCAGAAAAATTTTTTAACTGTGATTGATCAATTTATGAATGTGAGATTAAGTTTTGAGTAGTTTTCTATTGAGCCCTAATATATATTTTTTCACTGAAATGTGTGTGCAGTTCAGGATGGAGCCTGGACAGAGGGTGCAGGAGACGTACACAGTGGAGGAAGATCCCCAGCTGGTGGCCCCCGTTGTCTCTGTGGAGACCGGTGAAGATGGGACCACAAGGCGCACGGAAACCACGGTAACACAAGTTGATAGAGAGCAGGAATTCCCTTTGTATTGAGTGCATTTCACCGTTTGGTGTTTCATACATTTGTAGATCGTTACAATTCTGGTCTCTTTTTAGACTATTTTAAGTTTGTAAATATGAACTGTTCTCCTTCTTTTTTTGGTGGTTAAGGTAAAGAAAGTAGTAAAGACCACCACCACCCGCACAGTCATCCCCTCCGTGTCAGACACCCTTTCCCTGGATGGTGGTGGTTCAGTGACTGGCATGGGGGGCTACCCTGCACCTATGGTGTACAGACAGGGACCGGGAGGTGGCGGGCCTATGGACTACCCTACTCACACGGTGCCCCGCAACTACCAATACGGACCGCCGGTGGGTTACGACGACTACCGCTCTGGGCCCCCATCTGAGGCCTACACAAGCCTGAGCAGGGGAGCCCGCATGGATGATCGCTACAGGTACAGCTTTTGTTGAAGCTCACGTAGACGGCGTATTAACCTTAAGAGTCAGTGGATGATCCTTCCTAAATTTCCATCGCTTCCCTGTCCCTCCCCTCTCCAGACCGGTCCATCAAGATGGTTACAGGACTCTGGATCCGAGCTACAGAGCCCCCAGCAGGAACCAGCTGGACCCCTATGCGGCTCAACCGCAGGTATCAACAATTATTGCGTCCCTTTTGAGTCACCTTTCACACTGTTTAAACGGTCCGCAGATATTTCCAGATTGACTTTCTCTGTTTTCCTTAAATGCTATGTGTTCACCACTGAATGTGTTTTGCGGGAGAACACAGATATACAAGACTTGACATGAGTCCGCCACAGCATTTGGTTTGAAGGCCGCCGTTGTTTTGACTCCCGTTCCTGTGCAGGTCGGGCGTATGGGAAGTGCCTTGGAGCTGTCCTCCATGGCGAGGTTTGTCCCAGAGCCGTACGGTCTGGAGGACGATCAGCGCAGCATTGGCTACGATGAGCCCGACTATGGCATGGGACACCCAATGCACTTCAGCACATTGCCACGCAACCACAACAACGCATTCCCCCACGGGCCCCCACGCAGAACTGGGTAGGTTGTGTGTTTTTTGTTGTCCTTCTACTAAATGTCTTTGTTTCATCTTTGAGAGGGATTGTTCTACATAAGAAGAGGAAATAATACGTTTCAATCCTTCATACTTAGTAAATATGAAGAATATATTGAATTGTTGTTGCAACACTACTGTGATGACCAGCTAAAGGGCACCCTCAGTTTCCTCCCATTCCCCTCACTTTGCATTGGCGGACGCCTGTACCTTGTCCACAAATGTAAACCTCTGCCAACGTTCTCCTCCTCCCTCACCAGGAGTTATGAGGGCACTTTGGATGGCGACATGAGCGGACCAGGGGACGTGTACTTCTGGGGAGGAGCGCCGATGGCCCAGGGCGAAAGAGGTAGCATGGCTTCATTGGACAGCACTTTAAGGAAAGGCCCCATTCCTGGCCCCAGTGGCTGGCGTCAACCAGAGCTGCCCGAGGTCATTGCCATGCTCAACTACAGGCTGGACCCGGTCAGGAGCAACGCGGCTGCATACCTGCAGCATCTCACCTATAAAAATGATAAAGTAAGAGATGCAAATGTACAAGCATATATATTTTTTATGGTACTATGCTTGTTTCCACTGTGAGGCAGGTGGCAATAGATGTGGTTGAGGAAGGCAAAGGTCAGGACGAGATGATTAGTCTTGACTTTTATGGATAAGTGAGGAATGTACAATGGACGATATAGCAGAGACGCACAGAAAGTTATAATTGTACCCGAGTGGGAGACCAGATTAGATAAGGTTCAGTTGAAAGGGTGCAAAACTTTTAATTGGAGCTTGCTCTAAATGTAGAAAATGTTGACCTGTTCCTCTGTCAGCGTACTGGTTGTTTTATCGTGTGGCTTTGCACTTGTGTTTATAATAATATATACCAGGCGTGCCTGTAAGAACCATAGATTCATCTTTTACTTAATTCAACTCTTTGTGTTACGTCAAACTACACGTTTTGATCTGCCTTTTTGCACAAAACCGCTTTTTTGCTTTGATGGTAAATCATTTCGTCTTATCATATTTCATATGATATGAGCTGTTGAAATTATATTACAGGTCATTTAGGCTTTTATCCAAAGCGACTTACATGGCATTTTTAACCCATTTTTGCCCGGGGAGCAATTAGGGGTTTGGTGTTCAAATCGTTTGGATTTGCAGTGAAGTAGACTTTTGAGCCCCTGACGTAATGCTTATGTTCTTCCCGTTGCTTTCCAGGTGAAGTGTGATGTGCGTCGAATGAAAGGCATCCCAGCACTGGTCAGTATGCTGGACAACCCAAACAAAGAGGTTAGTTGACTGATTTGTATTATTCATGCTTTCTGTTCGCTTACTGACTTGGTGTATTATGGTTGGAGTATGTGGGGTAAAAACAAGGCTCATGGGTGGAGTGTATTTCTGATGTAATAGTGAGACCGTTCATTGGGCTGAAACGAGGTTAACTTCGGACTCTGCTCTAATACCGATTTCCAAACAGAAATAAGCATTACGTCTTTGACTACTCTCGGGCAAATCCTATCGGTCAACATCGTGCTAAATATGGCTTCAGTGAACGCATGTGCCTTTTCTATGATCCCCTTTCACGTCGCACAAGTTGTGACAAGGTTTTGCTGATCTTTGTACTGGCATTACCAGACATATCACATTGTGCATTCCACTCTCAAAGGCAAAGAAACCTCCTGATTTCCCATTTTATTCTCTACGGCCAGCGATAAGTTTTGAAGTCTAAGTTTGTTTGGGATGATTTGCTCTCTGGAGATTTTAAGTCTGTGTGTTAGTGAGTTTGTTGTGTTTTATAGGATCAGGCAAACGTGCTGAACAATGTTTAAATTGGAGTACAAATATGTGTACTAGGATTTTAAAAACAAAAGGGACATGCAATGTTGATTATAAAGTAATGTGCTGTGATCAGGATCAGGAAACATTTAACATCGCTATAAATATGTCAGAAATGTTGCCAACTAATTATTCAATACAGACAATAACTAACTATGTTATTCGCATATAAAAACCTGTCTATGTATGTGAAAGCAGTGCTCTGTGGATCGTGGAACACAGAATACACAGAGTCCGCCAGGAACCGCAGGGTTGCCGGCTTGAACTCTGGCTGCTCCATGTCTGTGTTGAAGTGGGTCGTGCTCAAGGATTAAATGCAAATGCGATGGGTTAAATGCAAAGAATAATAAAGACTACTCAACCATATAATATATATATATATAATGATAAGTTTTTATTGTGTCTCCATTATAGGTCCACTATGCAGCCTGTGGAGCACTAAAGAACATCTCCTATGGCAAAGATCAAGACAACAAGATTGCCATCAAGAACTGTGACGGAGTGCCCGCTCTGGTCCGGCTGCTGAGGAAGACCCGCAGCCAGGACCTCACCGACACCATCACAGGTTCTTCATGGGTTTCATATGTTCAGCATTTGGCTTGCCCAGAGAAAAAAAAAACTCTCTCTGTATCCTAAAATTCACTTATTTCCAGTCTTAGCCTCACTTGTAATATTTGGATGTTTCAACAGCATCTTATTTTATTCACGTTGTGTAAAAATAGGCTGTACATTTAACTGTACATTTTTAATTGGCCTCTGTTCCTGTAAGTAAGCTTCATAATTAAAAACTGCTTTTCACAGGGACGCTGTGGAACCTGTCGTCTCACGACTCTGTGAAAATGGAGATTGTGGATCACGCGCTGCACGCCCTGTCAGACGAGGTAATGGTGCCTCATTCAGGCTGGGAGCGAGGGACCAACGGGGCCGGAGGAGGAGAGGAGAACTGCAAGCCCCGACATCTTGAGTGGGAGACCGCCCTCACCAACACAGCAGGCTGTCTGAGGTACGGAAGGGAGAGCTGTTTGACTGCTGATGATGATGATGATGATGATGAGGTGGAGGTGGAGGAAAGGTTGGTGGCATAAAAGTGAGGACGCCGGAGACACGCCAGCTCCACAGACTAGAAGTGTGAGGGAGAGAGGAAGCATTTAACAGCAGAAGAGAGGGGAATACGTGTGATGCAGCACTCTTGTGGAAAAGAGAGGAAAGAATGATAAGTTATATCCGTCCAATCAGAATAAACTTTCACATTTTTACACAACATTTTATTGCCCTTAATAATGAACCTTATCTAGTCCGTTTCTGCAGATAGAAATGTGTCATTATCGCTGCTTCATAGTAGTACTCTGTTTTGGGATAGTATTCATGCAAGAGCTGCAGTAGAGGTATACTTTAAAAAAAAAGCATCAGTTGAAATAAGCACCATTGTCCACATTGGAAGCATTTAAACTAGAACCCTAGCGCATATAAACAAGATATCTTGTTCAATTTGATAAAGTGGTCATTAAAAGACTCCACTGTTAAACATCAGCTGTGAGGTTAAAGAAGGCAAGTTTCCAGCAGGGGGACAATCAGGACAGCAGGGCATTGACTTTTCAACGTAAACAGTCTGTTATCTATGCATTCCCCCATACCACACAGTTAATTACTGTGGCTATGTGCAGGTTTAGAAAAGTCTGTGTGAATAATTTGTAATCACAAGGAGGATTTGGTCTGGACAGTGTCGTCTCTGAACACTGTTTGACCAGACAGAAGAGATGCACCTTCATTAAAATGATGTGTATATAATCTGTTTATTTGTCATTTTATTCAGACTAGAAAACTTGATTAATAATAAGTCACCACTTGGGTATCAAAGGTCTTTTAGAATAGTTGGATCAAAAAGTGTAACTTATTGAGCTGAGCAGAGGACCGGTGATGGTGGTAAATACAGAGAGATTTAATGGGGCTCTCTAAATGAAGAGAAAGGACTGCTTTAGGTCTACACACTGTCCTATTAAAAAGGACTGCAGTTCTTTGACAGGCTATTTATAAACTGATCATCGTGATGACTTTAAGGTTAATCCAGAACAATCAGAATTAGCTTCTGAAGTTTAGTAAAGCCATATAGTTTTTGTTCCCAGAGGACTAAATGTCTATCATTGATTAATCCAACCTCCTCGTATTGCAGCATTGACTTACTTTATAAAAGTTGATATTTGACCTCACTTTTTTCCAGTGCGCAAAGTGGATTTGCTGGGAGTGACCTGACACACTTAACACCAGACATTTATAAATATAGCACATTTAAACACTTATTTGTTTTGCCTTTTTTTCCGAGACTGCGACATGTAAATAAACCTCCTGAATTATGCAGAGAAGTGGAATCAGCGCCTCTTTCTGTGGAAGGGAATGTGTCCTGGTATTGTGTGACAGGGCGGGCCCGTCGCTGGGGAAAACACGCCAGCACAAAAGACTGAAGACCTTTTGCAGAGTTTTTTCCTTTATGTTCCTTTTTCTTTACACGTCTTCTACATCAGTGACCGAAGAACTAATTGACTCTCGGTTTCCACACGTTACCTTCCACCCAGTCCTTTTAGATCTCTAAGTAGGGCCGAGGCACAGAGCCGCTGAAGAAGCGGTTACTTGATCCCACCAAACTGTGCTATTTGTAAACCAGTAGATTTCACGGGAGTTTCATTCAAACAACTCTTGGAGGCGTGTTCAAGCATTGTGTGCTGGAATCCTTTTGTAGTCACTAAATTTGACTCTTTCCTGTCCCCTTTAACCTCTCAACTGCCTCAATTATTTACGCAACCTTTCAGCCCGCTAATCCACGTTTTTGTTTTCTCTTGTGTCCCTCTCCACTGGCTAAAAGAAATGTGAGTTCAGAGCGAAGTGAGGCGAGGAGGAAGCTGAGGGAGTGCACAGGATTGGTTGATTCGCTCATGTACATTGTCCAATCCCAGATTGACTTTAAAGAAGTCGACAATAAGGTAAGTGGAACTCTTGATTTATTTGAGATTTATTCAGTCATACTCATCAGCTTCCTGCCTATGTGAAACATGTTCTTCAAACAGCCGTTGACCCTGAGAGATTTGTTCAATTGCCTCAAACGACGTTAGAAATAAGACGTTAGAAATAAGACGCGGCATAGAAGTGAGTTTATAAGACCTCTGAAGTCTGCTACGCTGCTGCCGCTACTGGCATAACACAGCCGACTCTTAAGATAGCGATGCCGGTGGCTGAACTGCATTGTGGGTAATGCGTAAACAAGCACAATAATTCTTGATACTTTCCGAGTACAACAACGTTATAGGAGTGAGTGCTGTTTTTAAACTAAATGTCAAATCAATTACAACCGGAGTGTGTGCGACTTGCAGTGAGAGGAATAATAATAAAAAATTAAATTAAATTCTCTCCATCTCTCATTTTTGCAGTTGATAGAAAACAGCGTGTGCCTGCTGAGGAACTTGTCCTATCAGGTGCATCGTGAAATCCCCGGCTGTGAGCGTTTCCAGGAGGCCGCGCCCCTCAACCAGGGCCCCGCCCCCTCCGGACAGAAGGGTGGCTGCTTCAGCTCCCGCAAGGGCAAAGGTCTGTCAGAGGGAGAGAGAGGCTGTTTGTTAAGGCGGGTGGTAGGAACATTTGCGGTGATGTCACTGTTGACAGTGGCTTTTTGCTGAACTGATACTCACAGACAAACCAAAACCACTCGCTCACACAGGAATGTTAGAAATTTCCCCGACTGCAAGAAAGCTCATCCTTTTTCCTGCTGCTCACTGTGTTTATTTGTCTTTACTCAACAACGCCCCGTCTCTTTATTTGTTTGCTATAACCATGTTATTGTGATCATTACCGATTATCTAAATTGTGTTTTTAATGAAGACACACAAGCAATTGTTTCGTTTATCTAATGCCCAACAATTATATAAACATATTTCCATCACAAATTCCCAGAACCAGAGATTCGGCTTACCTTGAAATGGAGAAAAGCAACAACTCGTCACATTTGAGATTTATTGATTGATGATATTATTAAAGACTAGTTTCCTCACTGACATCACTAATTAAAACTAAATTAATTATTTCTGTATTTTGTTCGTTACTGCTTAGTAACTAGATCCTTGGGTTAAAGCAGCTCCCATGCAAGATGGGGACGTGATACTCGTGGTAGAAAAAAAGAAACGTGTCAGACCACTCGTTATAAAACGTGATCAGTCTTTCTGGTTCATTAAATGCTTACCTGTGGTTTGCACAGGAATAAATCACCGCAAATAATTCTCATGCTAACACGTTACACAGCGGTCCGTGTCAATGAAATGTTACACCAGCGTCTGCGTCCTGTTGAGTTGCTTTACACTTTGGCATGCCACCTTGCTGCTGTCTGTGTGGTGGCAGCAGTGCTGTTGTTGGGAAGCAGGTGTTTAACTAGGTGGCTCAGTCATTGCTGCTTTCCTCTTACTCACTGTAAAATGCTCTCTCTTCCTCCGGTTCTGCCTTCCTCTCCTCCCTCCTCCATTCCTCTCTTCCCCCCCTTTTCCTGCCGGGCTACAGATGAGTGGTTTTCCAAAGGTAAGCTCTTTACCGCTGTGCGACTGCCCCTTGCCTCTGCTATTGTAGTGGTAGAAGTAGTAATAGAGTAGCTAACAGGGCAGTATAACTGTTCAGTACTAACATGCACGCCTCATGCATCTCAGTTTTTGGTCGTAGCGCACATCTAACCCACCTAGAAGAGATGTACTAACGGTGGAACTCCTCGTCTGTGCGTTTCTAACGCTGTGATGTTTGATTCCAGGTAGAAAAGACGAAGATGCAGCTGCAGACATAATAGACATTCCAAAGAGGACCGCACCTGCTAAAGGTAACAAGGGGCTCAATGGACACTTTTATATTAATATATGAAAAGCACTAAAACTAAACTAAATATACTGTATTTCAACCTATCGCCCCACTCTTCTTCTTCCCTTTAGGCTACGAGCTGCTGTTTCAGCCGGAGGTGGTGCGCATCTACACATCCCTGCTGAAGGAGTCCAAGAACCCCACCGTGCTGGAAGCCTCTGCGGGAGCTGTTCAGAACCTGTGCGCCGGACGATGGACTGTAAGTGGACTCGCTAGTTTTTGAAATCATTGTCCAAGATTGAAAGTCTGAGCAAACGTGAACCTATGTCGACTGACTCAAAGCCCTTACAGCATGCCAAACAGAGCTCGTTAAACATGGTGTGTCTATTCTGGGGAGCGGGAAGCATGTGGATCGACCGCTTCACAAGACACGACGGTCGTAAACCCAACGTAGAGTAGTCTGTGCCCTAAACAGAAACACTTGTGTCTGTTTTTAGTACGGCCGTTACATCCGTGCCCTGCTGCGCCAAGAGAAGGGCTTGCCCATGATGACGGAGCTGCTGGCCCACGGCAACGACCGCGTGGTCCGCGCCATGTCCGGGGCCCTGCGCAACATGGCCATCGACGCACGCAACAGAGATCTACTCGGTGAGACTCTGGGCGCTTCGGGGCACCGAGCCCGTCACACAAGGATGTGTCGTTTCGAAGAGGATGACCTGTTCTTCATTTTGTAACGGCCTTCTCGTACTTGCATGTTAACAGGTAAACACGCGGTTCCCAACCTGGTGGCCAACCTGCCCGGCGGCGGTCAGAGTCAGCCAGTGCGGGCACTGTCGGAGGAGACTGTGGTGTCGGTACTGAGCACGCTCCACGAGGTGCTGGGCTCCAGCCTGGAGGCAGCAAAGACCCTCAGGGCCTCGCAGGGCATCGAGAGACTGGTGCTCATTAATAAGGACGGGTAAGGGCTGATATCTCACAGGGTTTATTTTAGTCTGCACGTCTGTCCGGTTTGGAATTGCATGCCTCCATTTAGTGCGCCCCTTTTTTTACAAGTTTTATCTTCTCTCTGCCTCCCCCGTCCACCGGGATCACCAGTAACCGTTCTGAGCGGGAGGTGCGCGGGGCAGGCCTGGTCCTGCAGACCGTGTGGGGCTACAAGGACCTGCGGCGCACTCTGGAAAAGGACGGCTGGAAGAAGACTGACTTCATGGTCAACCTAAGCCCTCCCACCAGAGCCAACGGAGGATACGAGGACAGCACTCTGCCGCTCATTGACAAAGGTCAGGAAGCCAAAGGGAAACGCATGCATGTAAAGGGTGCTGCCCCGCAAGGCCAAATATCTTTCAATTTGTTAAAGTGTTTAAAGTGTCAATTTAAGTAAGTATTGACTTATTGCCTCAGTGTTTAATGTGTAACGGGGTGTAAATATCTATCTCTTTGTGTTACTGTTTACTTTGTTCAGGTATGGCACATTTTTCACAGCTTAAGTGGGGGCATTAAAATGCTTCTTTTCTAATAGTTTTCCTTCAAGAGTTGGGTAATCTTATTCTACTGCGGCTCTGCTTTAAATTGTACAAATAAAACTGGGCCAGTGCTTCAAAGAATGAACGCTCGCAATGCGTACAAGTACAAGGTATGGAAGGGTTTGTACCACAGTGGGGCTTTTTAGATGATCCCAGTGATCACCACGTTTTCAGTTAAATATCTTTTAAAAACTTTTGCCGATTGTTTAAAAAAAAAAAAAAAGAACACCTCAACCATTTCTCAATAAGGTAACAGACTATATATTTGCCAATACCAGCTGACTCATGCTTAACACTTGAAACTTTTAACAGAGGATGTCTATTGCCTCTCTCTGTGATCAAAAACATTTAGCGTTGCACATCCGTGCTCATTGTCTTTGTGTCTTTTAACGCACAGGTGGCAAAGGGGACCGGGAGATGATCCCAATGAATGACATTGGACCAGGCAAGTGTGACGAAGCAACATACGCACACAGACACACAAGGGCATAACTGTTACTTACACACACACACACTCTCAGGTGGTTTTACATACGGCTTGTCTTCTTCAGATGCCTACTCCACACTGGACCAGCGAGTGAGAAGGAACACTCTGGATAACACACTCGAACCTGCTGACAGAGATGCAGTACAGGTAAAAATTGGCCACATGAACACACGTACACTCATCCCACACACACGCGCACACTCTCATCCCACACACATAACCCTGCATGACTGCACTTCTATAAGAATAACTCCCTCAATCCTAACAATCTCCTTCATACTTCAGTCCACTACAGTTTCTAGAAAGTGTCAATGTGTAAGACGAAGCTCATGGCTTTCGTACGTGTCTCTGTAGATTAATCCTCTACAGGTTATTATGGTCTGTTATCTCATCATCTGCTAATAGGGTTTGCCTCCGCATCGCCTCTAGCTCTAGTGCAATCATAAAGACGACTAAGAATAATAATTTAGTTTAGTGTGGATATTGATTGCACATGATCACCTAGTTGAGACCAGAAATGGTTTGAAATGTTCAACTGGTTAATCACAGATACAGACACACTCCCCTCGAGGTTCCAGATTTCAGGGCTCTCTGCTGAGAATGTTGCCGTGGGATCGGCGATGCTCTCACACACACAGCCACGAGCAGCGTGTCGATGCATGCTCAGTTGAAGCGCTGTTTGAACGCTGTCTCACCCGTGTCCTTTTCTCCCAGCTGAAAAACAGCGTAACATGAAACTAACCTTTTTTTTTTAACCCTTCTCTGCTTTCTCATCTGATGGGCTTATTTCCCTCTACTCTTTTTCTCTCTCGCTTTTCTTTCTACCTTCTTTTTTCGTTTGTCGTGTTTTCTCTTTCCCTTTACCTCCTTGCTGTGTATGCTGTCTCTATGGATGTCACCGTTTTGGTCTCTCTCCTTTCTCTATTCCTCTTCTCTCTTTCTCTCTCTCAGGGAGGCATGTATGGAGAGAGGCAGGCCTCTTTGCCTCTAATGGATTCTTACGATGGTTAGGCCACACCCACTGTCACACTGCATGTCAGCGCATGGTATGTGTGTCCCACAGGCTGCTCCACCCAACTCACTGCATGGCACAATATCTTAGTTGTGTATTAGGGGTTGTGACTTTGTGTTTAACAGTGACAACTATGGTTGAGCTTCCATTGTACTGTATGTGGACTGTTTTTTTTTTTTTTTTTTTTTTGCTGTTAATGTAAAAAAAAAAAAAAAGTGATTACGTGTAAACTGATTAGTTCTCCTGAGATGTGATTTTAATTTTGTCTCTGCACAGTTTATGTATTTTGTGACGTGTGGTGACTTTGTTTCCTGCAGCCGATGTTCTGTAATTTCTTTGAATACTTTCTTTGAACATTAGCTGCTCTACATGATCAATTCCCACACTTATGCCTCTTGGTCTCTTGCAGAAAAACTGATTGTGTGCATCACAAGAAGACAACCTCCTCCCACCTACTGCCCTTGCTGAACTGACAAATGGGGGACCACTACACTACCGATGGGACTAAACTCCATCCTTTATACTCAAATCCTCCGCCCCTTTTCACCCCGTTGCCGCCTCTCTTCTTCTTTCCCTTTGTTACATTCCTCCATCGCAGCTGACAAAACAACAAAACCACTCAGAAATAAAACCTGGACGTGGATCCACGCTCCCTGTGAACAACTGGATGAGACACTATGACCACTTCGTGCTCTGCGAGTCCTTTAAAACGCTAACCATTCGGATGCCACAACACTACATCACTACACTACAACTTGCTTGGACAACTCTTATTCTAACTCCAAGGAAAAGCGGAGGCCGTGGCTTTGTTGGAGGTGGGAGAGTAGATTTAAAGTAATCAAACAAATTGGAAAAACGGGATGAGAATGGGACACTCTTGAAATCACACACGTGACATTTTTCATAAATGGCTATTTTTTGCTGTGTTTTGAAGAAATCAAGCAAACATTCTCACTCTGATGGCTAAATACTGCAACAAATGTTTTCCTACCAGTGACAGTTGATGTTTAATTATTATCCGATACATGTAAAGCTTCTGCTTCTGTTTTGGTAGCGGTTGTTCCTCCTCTTGCTTTGCTCTGTACACAGCGATGTACATGTGCCAAATGACACCGCTAGTGCTGCGACTGCCAATTCTGAATGCAAGAACTTCACACACGACTTTTACAGCAGCTACACGGAACATTGTCATGTGCTTCATGCGGGTGCAGCTTGTGTCGGTCGCAGCCCACCTACAAGATGCATGGGCATGCTGCATTGTCTGTATTTGATTGTGATTCATAAATATAAAAAAGGGTGACGGTTCCAGTATGGATGTTCGCAGACAAGTTATCCTCCATCTCATCGGAATAAGCCGAGTCATTTTATGTTAATTGTAAGCCCCCTTGACCTTTTCATTGAGGAGATATCACAGGATTTGCGGGACACATTTACTTCTACCCGCAGCTCCGTCATCTTATGAATGTGTACAGACCAGACTGTCTCTAACTGGAGTGCCTCACTCATTCAGGACCCGTCGGATGGGTGACCAATCATGGTGTCTTTTTCTCAGCAGGTTACTAGTTGGGAATATTATATTTGGAAGTCATCTGTTTTCTATTCTGCAAAATAATATAATATGTGAACTTGTACGTATGTAAGTCTGTATTTTTTTTTTTTTAATAACGTATAAAACTCTTGAGTTCTGTATACCCTAATGCTTCTCCAACCCGTAACTTAGCTGGCTACAGAACAGTACATGGGGGAGTACATCGTATCGTCTGCTCCCCCTGCCCGCATTTAAGTACAGCATTCTGTAGGAGTCTTGTTCTTAGTGCCGAGTGAGATGTAGATACTTACTGAGTGGATGATTAAAAGAAGCACTGTAGGGGGAACATGTGTTTTTCTTTTTGTTTTTCCATGCCAATTGAAACACGGACAGGGTGCCTCTTTTTCTCAAAGTAACACGTTGCCTTCGAGAATGGACTGACTGAAAGAGGGAGCGAGAGCGAGGTTTTTTTTGCTATAGCATTGCGGTGTATGGAGGCGTGGACCAGAATTTGCTATTGGGAAAAAGGTGGAGAAAAAAAAATAAAAGCACATTTAAACTATATACAAGAGTATATTTGTTAATTTTAATTATGTATTTTTTTAATATTGATTTGGGTTCAATGGTTTTTGGGTGCTCCTGGTGAATGCATATGCAATCATATGTTTTGATTAAAAACATTCGATCTATATCTCAATTAATTGCAAGACAAGTTAGCTCAACAAAATCATCCAACATAGTCATCAGATACTGGATCACTAATGAAAAATCTCATTCTGGACTACATCTTAATCTTTTGCCTTGGCTCTTGAAGTTGCACATCATCACTTATGAATGAATCTTGTAACTAGCAATACTGTTTTTAATAAAAAAGAAAATGATTTTTGAGAATTTTCTGTTGTGCCTTTGAATTTATTTCTAATCACCTAAAATGAACCGGTCACGTGACGGAGCGGCCGCTAGGCGGCGCTTCGGGTTTGCGGCCCCGCTTTGGCGACAGTGAGGACCGGGGGGCGACGTTGCGGTTCAACGCGCAGAGGACGTATGACCTTATAATGTAGCTGGTAAGTGTCGTTTTAAGCTAATGCTAACTCCCCAACAACGTCACTGTTTTTGATAACGTCGTTAACTTTCCAACATGTTAAGTTCATTTTAAACGCATTACGTTGGGCATAACCTTACATTACCAATCGAGCGCAACTTTTTTTGTATTAAACAAGGTGGCCATGTTTTGCCATTTGTCGGCTAATGATTACGTTAAATGCTAGCTAACCTTTAGCCGCACAAGAAGTTACTGCGACATTTGCCGCCAGAGACAGAAAATATTTTTTTCCCTCCAAAAAGTAAGTAAGTGGTGGAACATAAAATAGAGTTGTGAAAGTAACGTTACGTGAAATTTAAAGTAAAGTTCACCGACTTCGGCATCGCGCGGAGCCCACGTGCGGCTGCCACCTGCTCTTAAGGTCGGTGCTGTCCGACCCAGGCGATACGAAGTCAATGGTAAACTGTCAACAGTCCATTTTGTGTCAATGGGCTGCTCCAATAATCTCGATTATTTAGTTTAACCTGATTTACTTCAGGGGGGCGGAACGGTGAGATGACTTTAAAGGTGCTTGTTGAAAACGGAAAATATGGAAAATAAAAGGGGTCAGATCACAAGTGGGTCCAGCACCAACGTCAATGGGGTCTACGTTCAACCATATTCCTCTGTCCAACATCCACAACTCCGTAGTCCTCCCTTGCTCCCAGTACCCATGAGGACATGCAGCCGTACAGGTGGCCTGGTCATGAGCTGCAGCTTCTTGGAGAGCTGCAGAGACAACAAAACAACGCCCAATTCTGTGATGTCCTGTTGAAAACTGATGGTGAGCCATGTAGCATACTGGCGGCTTTAAATCAAATGGTGATTAAAATATTAAGCTTTTTTTTTTTTTTTCTTCCTCTTCCTGCTCGTAAAGGTATCACGGTCCCGACCCACAGTTGCGTCCTTGCAGCGCTCAGTCCTTACCTGTCTCAGAGGCTGTTGTCCTCCCCGTCCCCCCCGTTGGGCCAGAAGCGTGAGCTCTGTCTCCAGGCGGTAAAGGCCCAGACGCTGCTGAAGCTCGTCAGCCTTCTGTACTCCGGGGAGGTGGAGGTGAACGGAAGCGCGGAGCAGAATGACTTGCTGTCTGCAGCGGGCCAGTTTGGGATCGCAGACTTTGTTAACGGACAGAGAAATGCAGAAGGGTGGGAGGGGGGACTCCAGAAAAGTTGTTTTGGGAGTTTCGGAGAGAAGAACGAAAGCAGACAAACTCCGGCTGCGCAAGTTCAGGCCGGAGGGGCCGGATGGAGGAACGCAGTTTGTCCAGTCGAAATGAGAAATTGTGTATCCACAGGGAAACATAATGTTGAAGCTGATCAAAAGACTGTGGGATGTTCCACGAAACACTCACAAACTGAACGTCCACACCCAGTACCTGAACCCGCTGTAGCTACACATTCGTATTGTTCGACCTCATTGGAATCCCAACGCGTCACACGTGATGAACATTTCAGCTCCTCGGCGACCTTCCCCGTCTCGCCCAACAAAGACTCAAACTCCTCATCACCTCCGGACGACAGCGCCAACGAGCAGTCGTCTAAGATGGGGGATAGCATGCAGGTGTTGGATGAGGAAGGAACAGGAAACACAAACGGCAAAACAGCTGCCATTGGGGAAAGAGATGAGATGCCAGGAGAGGAAAGGGGAAGCTCCGCAGAGAAGAGGCATGCACACGTAGGGATGAAGAGCCTGTCCAAGATGAGACAGATGCAGGAGATGGAGACTTCTATTAAGGTATGAAAGACTACTTAGTCATGTCCTGGAGAAAACAAACCGAATGGAGGTTTCTTCCAAAGTTTGTGTGTTTTATGAACTTTAAAGACTTTGAGGAGATTAGAAATTTACTTTGAAGTCCAAGTTCCTTGTGATGAACAGGGAAGTTTGAGACACATTAAACGGGGAGTCCAATACCCCGTCAGGTATGGAGCGCGTTCTAGCTCAGGAAGGGTCTATTTGCCCACCCACAGCTTTGGGTTTAAGTTGGATCTTCTGCCAGGGATCTTGACATACCTCTCTCATCTCACTTGTCTACCATCATGCGTAAATAAACAAGACTTTCTGTTTCGCGCCTTGGGGACACCTCAGAGACATATTTGGTTTGCTAGCTGAGGCTGCTTTGAGCATTTAATGGAGTTGTGTCATGCAGTCTCTGATCTTAACATACTGGGAATAACAGTCACTTCTGGTAATGCGTGGCGTTGCCAAGCGTTTCTCAAACATGATGTAATTGGAGAATACAGATCAGTTGCAGCTTTCAACTTCAGTGAACATTTCATCAAATTCGTCTGGGAATCAGACTCGCTCAACTGCTGCTGCCTTAATGTTTGAGCCATGTGTTCGCTTCCCCTGAAGCGTGCTTATGAAATGTCATTTCTACATCTCATAAGCAAAGAATGAAAAGGGAATTTGAGGATCTATTTTCTCGACAGAGTTGTCTATTCTCAGCATTGCTGCCCTTTACAATGCCATGACACACTTGTAAGAAGCCCTTTGGTTTTAACCCCTGGTGTATTTTCTTTCCTTTGTGCAGATGAAGCTGAGGAGGAGGATCAATGGAGAAGTGTGGGAGGTTGTGAATGTGCAAGACACAGAGGATGCGTTGTCAGTTAACTCCCTGAAACAGGTATACGTGTGTGCTGGTGTTTTTTATTTTAAGTGCAGAGTGGATGGCACCTCTTTCAATAAATGGAAAGGAAAGGACCTTGTTCATACCGGGCTCTGTGCTGTGGGAAAAAGGCCGTCACTGCTAATTATACGTAACTAATAACATGAACACAGAATTTGATCCCCTGTTTATTTAATAGTCCTGATATGATTCTTATCACCTCGTTATCCTTTTACAGGATGACTCCAGCCACAAAAGGCTGCGCGCTGACCCGGTGAGCCGTGAGCCTCCTCTCTCTTGTGTCCAGCCAGGCCCAACTCATAAACCGGAGGCCACGGCTATTCAACCCGCAACCAATCACTCCACCGAGCAACCGCCTCACCCCGACTACGACCCCCAGCTTCTGTCCAGTGACTTCTTCAGTGAAGCGCTTGAGTCGGTCCCGCTGAACCAGGCTGCAGGCTCTGCAGAGGAGTGTGACGAGCAAATGGAGAAGCTGCTGGAGGACATCATGATGGGTCTGAACATCCTGCCAAACTTGGACAGAGACTGCAAAGAGTCTGATTGTCCTCAAACGGACCAGGAAGGAGTACTGGCCAATTGCCGGGTCCCAGTTACAGAGAACAAGTGGCAGCAGAGTCAAACTCGTGTTGCCGCCGGGGCCGCGGGATGTGAGTATTACCAGGACTTTGAGACGCCAATTGGCAACACAGCAACCAATACAGGTATGTCGATGCACTCGTCTTATGATTTGTATTGTGTGCCCTGTTGATGTATTTAAACATGATTATGTCATTGCTAACAGCAGGTTAATGTTTTGCCAGGCGGTGGTTTAATGAAACAAGTAGTCATTTTTAAGGGATTGGTTTATTAGAATAAGGAAAAATATCTGACATATTCTGACCCCTCCTCCTTTATATTTACTGAAATAACTTATAATACATATTGAATCATGGAAAACAACAATTTCAGTCTTTGTAAAAATAGTAGTTTCTTCAAACTGCTGGCGTGTACACCGCTATTCTATCTACTATTGTGCTCCACTAACTATGGATAAGTACCTCATACACACCCAACTTCAGAAAAGCTGAGCTATTCCTTTAATCCGAGGTGATGACGTCAAATTTGTTATTTTGTTCAAATGTAGTTACTTAATTTCATTTTATATATGAGTAAAATTCAGAAAACTACTTGAAGGATTTAAATTAATAATTGATTCTTCAATAAAAAGTAAGTATTGTCCAGTGTACTATACACCCAGTGTGCGTTACTAAACAACACAAGGTCGGGTAAAGTACCTGAAATGTTACTTTCTGTATGTCACCTGTAAATTCAGGTTGATTGATGGTGGTCTTTTCACCTGTTGTACAGGTATCTATTGTAATTTTACAGCTCAGAACCAGCCCGGCTGTTCAAGCCTCTCCTCGGCACAGCCGGCTGCTGTCCAGGAGCACCAGACCTCCCCCGCGAATCCCTCATCCGTCACGCCTGTGGGAGGAAGAGAAGGAACAAGCCTGCAGGGCGCCACGCTGTGGAAAACGCTACATTGTCAATATCCAGAAGCGAGGCAATTTGCATCCCGCACTTATTCCCCAGCGTGCCAGGAACCGCCCTCACAAGACAATCGGCACACGGTGGAGCCTTTTCTCCACGTTAATGAAAATGGAGCCCAGTCCTTGCAGCCCTTACGTTGCATGGATGACTTGCGGCTTCCTCGATGTCTCTCTCCGTTAGAGCCGTCCACCTCCACAGCAAAACATCAGCCCGACCTCAACAGCTCCACGAACCACAGCGATATTTTTGAGCTACAGTCACCTGTACGCGGACGACCCTGGCTTGCCATAAAACCCGGATTACTACAATTCCCTCTCAGTGCCATGGTTCATGGAGAAAGTAAAAGTGTGTCTTTTCCCCGGCAGTCAAATTGCAGCAACTCTTCACAGCGAGAGCAGAACCAGCCGGAGTTGAATCCACCAGGTGGGGAAACCCGGACAGCATCTTGTTCCGTTCGAGAGGTGAAAGAGAGAGAAGCAATATCCGGTGGTCATGAACACGTGCCGGAGGAGAAATCTGATTTCCGGAAGGTGAAGAAAAATGTCAAATGTAAACAAGTGGACACTAAAGGTGAAGGTGTGGTGGCTAAAAAGAGGAAAAGGGCGCACTCCGGTCATCCACTGAACACCAGTTCTCCTTCAGAGTACATTCGAGTGAAAGTCAGTGATGGAGCAAAACGTCAAATGAACCTCGCCGTCTGTTTAGTCAGTTTGTCAAGCAACAACGTCCTGGCAAAGGAAAGAGAAATGGCCGCCAGTTCAAACGTGCCCAACCCCTTTGCAGGGAAAACAAATGAACCGTCGACCATCACAGAAAGTCGGAGAGAGACAACCAGAGGGCCCGGAGATCCCACTACCAGTCCCATGCGGATCAGGACCAGGGGCTTTTTGAAAAAAACTCAAGAGACCCCGGGTAGCTCAAGCACAGAAAGTCCTGTTTTGAAATCCGCTTCCTGCAGAGCTCAAATTGTGAATAAACAAGACGCACCCGAGCAGGGCCGCGGGAGGCAGCGGGCAAAGAGGGGCCGCGGGAGGCCGCGGAAAATAGCAGTCGAAGCGATCCCGCCAGACAAAACGAGCCACGATGTAAAAAGAGAGGAGCAAATTGACGGCGGTTTGTCAAAGGAGGGGAGCAGGAAGACAAGGAGGTGTATGAAACGGATCGGGAATGAACGCGAATCGGAGGCGGTTCCACCGCCGGCCTTCAGCGCTGAGGCGGGCCGCGACGCCGACGTGATCCCTGACCGGAGACTACGCGGAGCGACCAAACCATCCAGGATGGTCAATCTGAAGGAGTTCCAGAAGCTCGTCAAGCGCCAACACTCAAAGACCAGAAAGTCCAGAACGCAAGAGAAGAACAGCCAGGACGAGGAAAGCCGCGATACCGCAAGAGTCGCAGAGTGTGAGGACGAGAAGGCGCGCGGCAGCGGATTTGAAGAATTAACTCGCGAGACAGAAATGGACGTCGCAAAGCCCCGGGACGGGGACGTGCTTAAAGAGTGTCTCCACATCTCTAATGTCGGAGTTGATGATAATAATAACGATCCAATTTTTAACAAATCAGCGGCTGAGGATGGCGAGTCCCAGCGAGACGAGACGAACGTCTCTGCCAGTGAGTCCCGGCCAGTGTCGGCCTGCGACGTCTCGGGAGAAGAGGCCGCGTTAGCAGCTGAGACGGAGCAGCCACTGAAGTGTCCCGATGAAGGTAAAGGAGTTCTTTCCCGTCTTGGGGCGCTTACTTGCAAACTTGTGTACAGTAAGAGTAGAAAATGAAGACGATCACACTATGGAACCATTGTATATTAAGTATCACTTTGATTTAATACAATTATGTTTTACTTAATTGTTTTTAAAATGACATGGAGACAAGCCACATTACATTGAAAAAGGTTGTTTTGACAGGAATAGGCTTAATTCGTCCAAATCACACCAAAATGCAGCAATAATAGACAAAGTACTCTGATCTTTTATATTTGAATTTTGTTAAGGTCTTGATACAGCTATTTAAAAAATACTCCATTATAAGAAAATCGTGAATCATCTTACAAGAACAAAAGTATTATCAGCAGTAAATAGTGCTTTCCCCAAAAACTCTGTTCTAATCAGGATTCAGTTCTAAATGAAATAAAACCTGAAAGGGCTTAAGGCTGGCGTTGACAGTTTTGCAGTCGATGCTTCAGTAGTTCAGGAGTGAGATCCGTCCCTGCAGCTAACATTAGCCATGGCAAATTAGGTTCCATAAAATGTGTTTTAAAAATGAAAGCTAATTATTTTACAGATCTACAATGTCTAGTCTTACTGCTCATGACACAATAATAAAGAAATGTTGATTATTTTATTTTTATTCTAATCTCGCAGAACCGTTCATCATTAAGAAACGGGACCGAAAGCAAAAGACGGGAGGATTGGAAACATTAACATAATTTTTTTAGCACTATTTCATTACAAATAAATTTTTGGCTAAAAGCAAAAACTGTAAATATTTACAAATAAACATATCTATTCAGATAATAAATGTACATTCAAACAAGAAGCCCCTACTATTTTTTTTCTGTAAGAGGTCCGTGGTTCAATCCGTCATGGATTCAATCTGTACCTTCTTTTTTAAAAAACATTTTTTGTATAGTCTGTAAAGTACTTTTGGGCATAAATGTTCTTTTGTTACGTTTCCCCGCTGACTTGCCAAAGATTCCAAGATACCTAGAAAAGGCAGCTGACGACTATAGCGAACAATGTCCCAATTTCTTCAGATAATCCTTCGTGCCTTCTTTACGCAGCCTGTGGTAAAGGGGAGTCAGGTGAAACACCGCAGACTGCCATCCACGACGAAGGATCGTTTTACAGTGACACGCACTTGCCTCAAGAAGACGAAATGCCTCTGTTGAGCCACGGGACGCCACAGAGGACGAGTGAACCGCAGTCGGGCGCTGGGTCCGGCGGCAGCAGCGGCTGCGATGAAGAGGAGGTAGACGTCCTGCTCTTCACTCCAGACAAAGTGCCGCCGACCCAAGAGTGTGAGAATGGACTCGACCACATGGAGATAACTCCAGAGGAAGAGGACGAGGAGGATGGGAATGAGATTGATGTAACCGGAGATGAGGCAGAGTAATACTTTTGTATTTGTGCATAGTTTTTACTATGTTGTGTGACTAATTCAGCACTTTGGTGGGCTGAGCATTATGTTCTCCCTGATGTGGTTTTATGTATGTCCACAAAGATGCCAGACAAAGTCAGTTAAGCTTATGTAAAATAGATTTTTACGTCACTATTTTTTATGTTTTGTCCACCAGTGAGAGTCTGGCAAATATAATATAAGCTCTATGCTGCTGGTTTTACCTTCATTTAGTTCAATGTACGACTGTTCAAATGGATGTCTGAGTTCCATTAATAATAGACTAGATAATCGATTACAAAAAAAGAAAAAAAAGTTCTTACTGTTGTTCGCATTGTTCACGTTTGTCAATTTTATTAGTTTTATATTTTCAGGGGATATTGAATGGTCATACTAAAAGCACTTGTGGCATTGGATCCCTCTCAAAGTGACTATTGTTGAACAGAAACCTTATTTTGAGCTTGTATTTGTAAAGCACAGCGTGTTTTTTTGTAATTGACATAGTTATGGGTTATTAAAAAAAAGTGTGTCAAATTGTTTCGCCATCTAAATGTCTCCTTGAACATCCGTGGCCCAGACAGGCGCGAGAGGGCGCCGTGTCTCCGCCGCCACTTCAAAACCAACTTTATTGGCAACGGAAGTGTGAGCGGAAACGGCGCACACGTGTTTTGCGTCTCGCAGGTTTGAAGGTTAAAGAAGAAACACCGGGTAGGTATCCAGTACGCCGTCGGTCTCCGGGAGGGTTGCTGTTTTTCCTTTGGTAGCCAAAGCTGTGTGTGAGCAGCGCAGCAGCGCGGACATGGACCCCGTGAAGGCGCAGCAGCTGGCGGCCGAGCTGGAGGTGGAGATGATGGCTGACATGTACAACCGGTAAAGAGAACCAGCTAACGGCTAAAGCGAGCTATATCTTTTATGTGCATGAGATTCTTGCCAACTTCGTTTAGATAGTCTGTTAAACTCGACGTGCTGTAACAGAGGGTCGTCTGACGGTGAAGGTCAGCTGCGTTTAGTGAAGGTGGAACTGAATGATGCTAAGCGCTTAGCATGTAGCCCCAAGCTAAGCTACATGTGACAGCTATTCATTCAGATGACTGACCAGACAGCAAGCAACGGCTTCTATTTTTACTACCAAATCATAGTGCAACTTGATTAATTGCTTAGTTCGTATTTTATAATTCGTTTTGTTGTATAGTAATGATGGGCAATATCTTTTGTACATGTAATTTAAAAATGGAATGGAAGCGGTGTAATACTTCATCATTTAATAATTTCTCTGCAGCAGAAGGAACTTGATAGCAGCTCGCTATGTTTTTTAGAAAGAAAATCTCATCTATTGTAATGCATCTTTTAACAAACATCTACAAAATATTCCCCAGAAAACTAATGCTTAAAGAACTCATCAATCTCTAAACGGATACGCGTTAAATTAATTTTGACGCGAGGTTAAATCTTTATTACATGAGAAAAGACGTGTGTCTATTGGAGCTCAATGGCCTTTTAAATGGAATTTCTGCCTTAAAATGTTTTCCATGAATGTAAATTAATTTTCACTAATGGGAGTACCGGTTTAGAGCAGCTGTACAGGTGTTATAATGACATTAATGAAGCAGCTTCTGGTGTTGTCCATGCTGGTCCGCTGGGGCACTTGACCCGGACAGATGCACACTAGAGGTACACTACATATCATTTAGCTGACGCTTTCATCCAAAGCAATTTATAAGTGCATTTTAACCATAAAGATACAAACTCAGAAGAACAAGAAACAAAGTGCAATTTCATCAACTAACACCAAGATGAGTGAACATGTCTCCTGTAACAAATTCAAATTATTTCAAGATGAAGTCCAAAACCACATGGGAACTTTCAAACAGGATTTGTAGGCTTTTTTCTAGTTTCATGCACCTAACTTTTATTCAGATGTATAGTGGTCTTTCTAGTTTCAAGTTTGTCAGATTAATTTAAAGTTAATGTGATCACATCCAAACTCCACAAATCATTTCTTCAACCAATTCGACCTCATTACTACATTAAGAAAATAAATTGCGGGTTTCCAGTAGATGGCACTGTGCAGTTTTACCACGTTGCATTGACTAAATCTTAAGGTGCTCCATCATAATAAAATGTTCCTGTAAATGTTTTAACATGTGCAATAACATTCTAGTAATTTAGTTCTTTAACAATCTTTCTTCTCAGCATGACCAACGCCTGCCACAGGAAGTGTGTCCCGCCACATTACAAGGAGGCAGAGCTGACAAAGGGGGAGTCTGTGTGCTTGGACCGCTGCGTTGCCAAATACCTGGACCTTCACGAGCGGCTGGGACGCAAGCTGACCGAGCTCTCCGTCCAGGACGAGGAAACGATGAGGAAGGCATCTCTGGGAAGCGGATAGACACTAACGAAAGGCTCAAAGTAGAACATCCTGGGGATTAAAAGGTTATGGGTTATTGAGTGGGTGGGTTTTGTTTGGGGAATCAATCAAATGTGAAGATCAATGCTCTTGAGGGTCCACAAAGAGGGACTGCTTTCCTGCAGAGGTCAAGGATGAGACGCATGGTGCTCTGATGGAGTCACCGTAGGACCTGGTGGAATGACGACGACACCTTGAAACCGCTCCACCTCAGGATGAGTCTGATTAATGTTTCCTTTTATTTTGGCCCACTGACCTGATCATCAACAGGAAAGGAGAGGATGTGTAATTGTCTCTAATCCATACATTTGTTTTTTAGCTGCCTGGCGTCCCAGGCGGGTACTGGCTCTTATACCATGAGGTTGAAACAGACACCATTTACATTTAATATTTGTTCCCACGTCACCTTTTGAACAGGTGAATTATTTATTTATTTTCTAACATGGCAGGGCGATAAACAGCGATCCTCTTCATAATGTTCCTACACAACATGCAATTCAGTTAGACACATTGTTCACAATTACAAGTTGTCTGTCATGCAGACATGGCTCTTTACAAAGCAGTTAAATACAGATGTATCGAGGGCGTCTCCGGGATGAATTATGTATTCTTTGAATGTTTTAGTTAATACAAGATGCTGATTAGTTTAATGTCTTGGATGGTGCTGTATTGGCTTTATGTGTAAACTCCGTTACAGACTACTAGGCTCCTCATATGGGATGAAATTGGACTGAATTGGATGCTTGTGCAGGCTGCGTTGTGCTGTCTGACTGGACCATGTTGTTGTTTTTGACCTGATATGTTTTTGTTTTCATGTCCGTGAAGCAGCTTTTCCCCCCAACATGTCGGAGAAGCTGCACAGTGTTAAGAACTCTAATAAAACTGTCATTTTAACACGAGTTTTTACACTTTCTTCCTACGGGGATTAACGTGGTGATCTCTGATCGTCGCGCGCGTGTCCGGTTGACGGTTCGGTAAACACGTGGCTGCGCCTTTAAGACCGCGAGGCCGCGTTCACATGAGGAAGTGAACACTACCGGATTTCGCTTCCCTCTCTAAACTTGTATTTATATACACAACGTTGCTCTTTGCGTCGGAAAGGGGAACTTGCAGCTGCCGAGAGCCGAACCGACGCAACGACACCGGAGGGCGTCTCGTGTTACCGCGAAGCAACACGGTAAGTAACCGGTGTGGAAGCAGCGGCTCGTTATCGCGTTAATGGTTCTTACGTTAAACTAGAATGCAGTTTAACTCCGATCAGAGGACGACTTCAAATGGGTGTTTAAACGTGTCATTGTCACGTTGAGTGACGTTTAAATACGAGATCAGTCGGAGGTTTATTCCAATAAAGTTAATTAAACGGGAATCTTAAGTAGTTTGTTTTAAAGGTAATACCGGGTAAAAGAGCTACAACTACGTACAATAAACACTTTAGGAAAAACCAAATGCTTAAATTGAAAATGCACCTAGTTTAAGGGTTCTTGTTGACTTCATAGTTTGTGGAACGCGTTGGTGTGGCCTTCGTTATCATGAATTTACAGCAATTACAATTTACAAACACATCGTGATGAAGTCATATTGTCAAGCATCATGTCTTTGTCTAAATTACCAAAATGTTCATCTAAGTTAATACGATTTCTGCTCCTACCTCAAGGTAGTTCAATCCAAAATGATTTCACTTTAAACTGTTTAGCTCATTTTGCACTGAGGTTCTTGGTTAAATAGGAACATTTTCAATACTTTGGATTTACAGTGTATTTAATTATACAGAGCTATAACAAAATACACTTTATAGGTTTTACATTACATTACATTACATGTCATTTAGCTGACGCTTTTATCCAAAGCGACGTACAATAAGTGCATTCAACCATAGGGTACAAACTCAGGAGAACAAGAAACAAGAAAGTGCTAATTTCCTCAAATAAGCCAATTTACCATTTGCTATAGATGAGGTGACGTTACAAGTACCATTTTAAGTGCTACATTTGTTAGTCTTTAGTCGAGGTAGAGTCTGAAGACGGTGTGTCTTTAGTTTGCGGCCGAAGATGTGAAGGCTCTCTGCGGTCCTGGTGTCTTCAGAGAGCTCGTTCCACCATTTCGGCGCAAGGACAGCGAAGAGTCGAGACCTAGTCGAGTGTTTTGCTCTCAGTGAGGGAGGGACGAGTAGTTTTGCAGATGCAGAGCGGAGAGTGCGGGTTGGGATGTCGGGTTTGACCATGTCCTGGATGTAAGCTGGACCCGATCCATTCACAGCATGGTACGTGAGCACCAATGTTTTGAACTGGATGCGGGCGGCCACCGGTAGCCAGTGAAGAGAGCGGAGGAGTGGAGTAGTGTGGGAGAATTTCGGAAGGTTGAAGACCAGTCGAGCTGCTGCATTCTGAATGAGCTGCAGAGGTCGAATGGCGGTGGCAGGGAGACCTGCCAGGAGGGAGTTGCAGTAGTCCAGGCGGGAGATGACAAGAGCCTGAATCAGTACCTGCGCTGCCTTCTGAGTGAGAAGGGGACGTATTCTCCTGATATTGTAGAGCGTGTATCTACAGGATCGCGTTGTCGCGGCAATGTTGGGAGTCAGGGAGAGTTGGCTGTCGAGTGTGACGCCGAGGTTCTTAGCGGTCGAGGTGGGCGTTAGTACGGAGTTCCCAAATTTGACTGTCAGGTCCTGGGTAAGCGAATCTTTTCCGGGAAAGAGAAGTAGTTCAGTCTTGTCGGGGTTGATTTTCAGATGGTGGGCGGACATCCACTGAGAGATGTCAGTTAGACAGGCAGAGATCCGAGCCGCCACCTGGGTGTCCGAGTGAGGGAAGGAGAGAATTAGTTGGGTGTCATCGGCATAGCTGTGGTAAGAGAAGCCATGCGAGCGAATGACAGCACCAAGAGAGTTTGTGTAAAGCGAAAAACAGGAGGGGACCCAGCACGGAACCCTGAGGAACTCCAGTAGTAAGAGGACAAGGTTCCGACACAGATCCTCGCCAGGTTACCCGGTAGGTGCGACCATCGAGGTAGGACGAGAGAAGGGAGAGAGCAGAGCCTGTGACACCAAGTTCCTGAAGGGAGGAAATAAGGATCTGGTGGTTGACCGTGTCAAATGCAGCAGAGAGGTCCAGAAGGATGAGGACAGAGGAGAGAGAGGCGGCTCTAGCAGTGTGGAGTTGCTCAGTGACAGCAAGGAGAGCAGTCTCTGTGGAGTGGCCTGCCTTGAAACCTGACTGGTGGGGGTCAAGGAGGTTGTTACAGTGGAGATAAGAGGAGAGTTGATTAAAGATAGCACGTTCAAGGGTTTTGGACAAAAAGGGAAGAAGAGAGACCGGTCTGTAGTTGTTTTCTTCAGAAGGGTTGAGGGTGGGTTTCTTCAGGAGAGGGTTGACTCTTGCCTCCTTCAGAGAATTGGTAAAACAGCCAGATATCAGAGCGTTGTTGATGAGACAGGTGAGGAACGGAAGAAGGTCAGGTGCAATAGATTGTAGAAGATGTGATGAATGGGTCAAGAGGGCAGGTGGGTTGGACGGGCAGAAGGTTACTAGGGTAA